GTGAGGCTTTTTGAGACGGGCAGCAGAAATGACAGTCATGTAGGCAAAACTGCTCACACACACAATAGCGTTGCACAAAGAAATCTTGTACACGCAGACAACTTTAGCACCCTTCCCCTCCCCTTCCCTCCCCATCCCACCACACACTGGCTTCCATTCCTCCAGGTGTTGCAGACACACCCGACTGCTTTTGAGTTCCTTTAATTAAGAGCAAAGTGTGTGAAGATCCAAGCGTGAACACTCTGAATACGCGCACTCACACACATGTATGAAGTGGATTGTCACCCTCTCCAGCTGTCAGTTTTACAGCAAGGCAACAGGACAAACTTTACAGCAACACGGGGGGTTCTGTCTTAGCAAGAGCGAACATTCATTCTGGAAGCTTTCATCCAAAAACAGCAACAGCATCTGGGGCGTATGGTGGGTTTTGTGAGCTGCCTCTAGACGTACTGCAGTACGACAAACTGTGTAGATACCGTGGGTGTATGTGTGTGAAAAAGTGTACTTCTATAAGCACATGTGTTGACGTATGTATGTATAAGAACGAGCCTGTTTAAATGATTACGCACACACACACACACACACACAAACACATGTTCAAATCATTACACACACACACGCAATCAGATATCTGCATTTCACAAAGTAATTAGTTAAATTACAACAGAGGGTAAAAACTGAAAGAGGTTAACAAGAAGAAAAGGAGGTTCAGAACATCAACAGCAGCCAGTGAACTGAAAATTTAAATATTTCAGGAACTGCTTCCAAGTGAGTGCTATTTTCAGACCTGATCCATAATTCAACATTAGCATTTTTCTCACAGAAACCTTAAAACTCTTAGGTCTGCTCTGGAAAATGTTTCTCTTTATCTCAGCTGAAAGTACCAAATTGGGTTTAGTAGGAATCAGATTTTCTTTTTTTTTTTGGTAACTTGACATATGCTGGCTGCAACAAGGTTAAACTGTGCAACTCAGTGAAGCTATCCAACCTAGATGATAGGTATCTATTAAAAGAATATAATGATACAGGAGATATAATAGTGAGGAATATTTGATAAAAGTAGGAAACAATAGACAGATAGACAGTAGAAAAAAGATTTCTGCTATCAAAAGCGGTCAATGTTTTGTTGTGAAACGTTTTGGCATTTTGACTTTTGCTGCATTGGTAATGGTGCTAATGATTTGACTGAGAAATTCTTGAAGCTCACTGGTTTAAACAATGAAATCTTACTGTGAATAAAAACTCATGTTGATATAGAAACACACCACTTCATGAGTTGGCAAACCTAGTTTTTTAATCTACGGTAAGACGTTCATAAGTAACATATGAACAACCTAAACTCAGCTGAGACAACTTTTTTTCTGCAAAATGAAGTTGACCCTTCACACAATAAATACATAGTGCACTCAGTGCATTCAAACTCTTCATGTGGCTCAATGTTTATTGCAGGTAACGATATTAAATTTAAGACGATAGATGTTGTTCTCCAAAGAAATAGTATCTTGTAATGACTGTTACAGGGCGGCAATCTGCTCTATAGAGTTGAGAGGAACTACAGTGAAGTGATAACTAAACACAGGGTTCGTTGTCATGAGCAATTCCTTTTATCTATTGTTAATGTAAAGATATTGATCTGCAGCCCTTACCATAGTAGAAAAAAAGAAGAAAAAATTAAAGCTTATGCTTGACCTTGGCCACCAGTTGACCTCCCAGTGACCAGTAGCAGCCATATCAGAGATCCAGCAGGGGAGGGCAGGGGGGTACGCTGCCCTCTACATGCACCCTGAAGCCTGCAGCCTCGGGGAGTCCTGGGTAAAGAGATTAACTCTCAGTGTGTGCCTGTGTGTGTGTCATTGTGTGTGTGTCATTGTGTGTGTGTCGCTGTGTCCATGTGAGACCCCTGACAGAGACTCCTCCCACTTTTTCCGTCTCCCCCCCTTTTCTCTCTCTTTCCACCACTCTAATCCTTAAAACCTCTAAATCCTGCGCGCTCTGCCTCCTTCTGCGCCCCGGGTCCTCATTTCTTCTTCTGTCCATCTGGTGTGCAGCAGCAAAGTCCAGCCACTCGAACCCTTGTTGTGCGCCCACGCATCAGAAAAGAGTAGATGAGAGTTACTGTCACATAGTTTCTTTATTTACATGTTCCCATTGGTAGATGGGAAGGTGGCGCGTTAACAGCATCAAACAGGTCGGTCGCTGCTGCGTTCAGCACTTCCCTCGCTCTCCACAGCGTGACAGCTCCCCTCCACAAACATCCTCTGGATTAGGAATTTAATGGAAGGTTTAGCAAGTCAATGGAGGGAGTCTTGGAAGTCTATAGTGTGCCAGGCATGGACTGAGTGTTCGTTAGCGCAGTGAATCGGCGAAGGTGCCGCCTTCTCAGCCAATAATTGGCCTTGAAACAGGTGTTCTGTCTCAGTAACACACCGGGACACTCACAGATAAAGTCCCGTATCTCTGTGACCTTATCGCTGCCGGCTGCTCGGGTCTCAGGCGACGCTGAGACCAGTGACGACCAGGTGAATGGTGTTGACGTAAGCTACAGGACGTTTGTGGGAAACGTATGTGAACCGACACAATTAATAACAAAACGGAACCAAACTACTTCGTCATGTTTAGTTACACATGTCGGTTTGGCTTGAATAAGGTATGTTTGGCGTTTAGCTAAAATGAGTCAATGTTGACCTTTTGTTTTGAACAGATAACATTGATACAAATCTGCGTTTGATGCAATTTTTCAGTTACTTTTCAGTAATCAGACCTATTTGAATTGCTTGTCCAACTCCTGTGACCGAGGATTCAAAAGTGTGGAAACCAAACATATCTTTGTCTACCAAGATTATATGCGTGGCAGCAAAGCCCAGTACAGATGGAGACTGTTGTAACTATGACAACAATGTATATCACTAGATCTGTGACCAAATAAAGCCTGTCAGTGTGCATGTTTTTTCTTATCACATATGAATCTTTCCATGTTTCCCATCAATGCCAGTTATCTCTTTTATTCAAGGGACCAAAACTCTCCTGTAATCCAACTGGATTGTGGCATAAAAGGGCTTTCTCAGATGCCCAGTACACATGATTATAAGACCATACAGCATTATAAGTACTAAAGGACTTGTTCACTTTTGCTCATACAATAATATGTATTACTCCACAACTGAGCTTGTTCTGCCTTAATAAACATATTAATAAAGGGTGCAATCCATGCACAATGCTCTATGTACGAGATATTATGCATGCTCGCAGTGCTTTGTGTAAACATGTGCATGTGCCATAATGCCATTTGATTCATAGCGTAAGATACTGGGTATGGAAAATGGAAATGTGACACCATTGACATCCTCCTCCCACTGACAAAAAAGTGGGAAACACAAAGGTAGTCCAGAGATTTTAAAATGTGGGGGTTCTGATATTTTAAAATTGTGTGTGAAATGAAACTTATGTACGTATTCAAATTAAAAAAGAAGTTGAGTTGATCACATGAAGTTTACCTAAATTAATAAAAATGGATAAACTTGCTGTCTCCTCTCCTCCCTGTTCTTTTATTTACTCTGTCCGTGCGTAGTATAGTTTCACCATGGTGGGCAGATCCCATCATTGGTAAACCAGACGATGAAGCCATTATTGACTGAACCCGAGCCTGTGTGGAACATTAAATACATCACTTCCTCTCCAGATCCATCTCCCACCCAGCTTCCTTTCGCGTTGTAAAACAGCCATTAGAATCTAAGCAAGCCAGAGTGCCCTGCGATGCTGCATGTCTGCTACTGTAACATCCTCCACCGTGAAGCCAGACATTGGGCCCTCACGTGTTTCAGTGCAGGCGTGTATGCAGCTTGGGTGGATTATACAGCCGTGCCTCGTGGTGGAAACACCTGAGCTGGCAAACCAAAATGCAACCAGTGCTTTGTATGAGGACAAAACACTTCCTCTAAAAGAACAGACACTGAGTTTGAAGTGACCTGGTTGTCTCCTTGCATTTCACCCCAATGCTACTTTGGTATGAAGGTTTCAGTAGAGCCTATAGAGCTTTCCTTCTGGTTAGTAGTATTCTTACGCAGCTCAGATTCTTGGTGATTTCGGCGATGGTTCGCCAATTTGATCAATATGCAGAAGGTTTTCAAAGGTGCTACGATGTATCTGGTCTCTTTTCCCCGTCTGTACCGTGTCCGGTTCGGGGCTGCTAAGACTGCCAACCACACCCCATCTTCCTCTCTCAGCCGGAGGGGAGCACGAACGATCGTCCACGCCGCTTCACCGCCATGCGTCGGTCGCGCCTCTGAAACGGATCGTGTCGCTGTAGCCCTGCGAGCTCTAATGTCATTGTTGTTCCCATTATTGTCAAAGCGATCTCTCGCACACGCACACGCGTTCACTCCGCGGTGAAAAGAAGAAGAAAAATCTACAGTGATAAAGTCAATCCTACGTGCGTGCGTGCGTGCGTGCGTAAAGGGAGAGTCAGAGCGGTGTAAACTAAAGGGATGGGGTGCAGTCCCCATTGATGAAAACGAGCAGGTGAATGATGGATAACGCTATGAATCATCCACCACCCCACCTCCTCCTCCTCCACCAGCGCCGTCACACCCCATCCCCGCGGCCCTGTCTACACCTGTAACACGTTTGACCCTTGTTTCGGGTCATCTTCATTGACGGTGGCTGCATATTGTTTTGCGTTTACCGATTGATTTCAACGGCATCGAGCCCCAGAAGGCTACTCGCCGTCTTGCTGATGATGAGGACTTCTAAATATAGACCCATCCTGCGCTCTTGCGTTCTCCGGGTACATGTTTAGGAGCACACCAGCACCTCTGCGAGGCGGAGCTGCATGTGCATCAGCTAGCCATACTGGTTGCCGGTTGTGCGCGGTGTTAACCACAACGACGCCAACCCCGGGTGTTATTGGGCAGCAGCGTGCACCAGGGACGCCTGTGACGGGGATCGCTCGCATTACGCGACGCATAACTTCCACAGGCAAGAAAATGAATGGTTGGTCTTACTTTAGCATGGCTTGTTCTTTATCCTCTTCCTCTTTCTGGCGAGCCATCACTGCCATGATGATCTTCCTCTCCTCCTCGGTGAGATGGCTGAGGTCCGGCAGATCCGGCATGGTTGTCGGCACGGTGGGTGGGTGAGGGCCACCCTGGGGCCCCACCGAGGCGGACATTTTTTCCACCACCACCACCACCACCGCCGCACCACCTCCTCCTCCTCCTCCTCCTCCTCCTCCTCGTCCTCTTCCTTCCCCTCGGCGAGTCGTTTTCGGCTGACAGGTTTCCAGGAGCGTTTCCGAGCCACACCTCACGACTTGGTCCGCGGGCATAGAGGCAGCGGCGGCCGCTACTCCGGCGAGCAGTGCGCGCCGCTCATGGTCGCAGGTCACGCTCGGTTGTGCTTTGTTTGTCCTTTCGGGTGTTTCTCACACCACTCTTTCGTCGTCGGTCCACCACCACCACCGCCACCCCCCTCCCCGCCACCCCCAGCCCCCGCCTGCCCGCCTCTGCCCTCCACCGCCCGGATTCACGTGGAGCCCATCTCCGTTTTTTTTCACACCGGGAGTTGAGTCGAGCTAAGGGGGGTGTGTGGGGGGGGGAGGAGGAGGAGGAGGAGGGGCTGGATCACCGGCTGGTCTGTGGTGCCGTCGTCGGACTGGAGCTGGATGTTAGGGCGGTATAGGCGGAGTCTGTGTACTGCTTCTCTCTCTCTCTCTCTCTCTCTCTCTCTCTCTCTCTCTCTCTCTCTCTCTCTCTCTCTCTCTCTCTCTCTCTCTCTCTCTCTCTCTCTCTCACCTTATGTCTCTCACTGAGTCAATGGGAATGCAGCCCTTCTCCCTCTCCCGTTTTGCGGAGGCACGCTTACTCATTTGAGAATGGGGCTTTCATCACTATCCTGTGCAATTGTACACACACACACACACACACACAGTTGACACACCAAGTTCAGAGTTGGTCACAAGAGGATGTGTGTAACGGCCACAACCAACTTTAATCGACCGTTTCTCGGCGGTATTGTTTTTGGTCTGTTCCAATAAATGAAGAATTAAAGCAGTAGACGTGCAAACGTTATCTTTCGGCTACTCGTGTTTCAGCACCATGGACAGCAGCTTGTCTGAACAGCACACCTACAACCAAAGAAAAAAAAGAAATTGGCAGAATTTGATACAGAGAGATCTTATTTTATCATTTTGCACATGCAGCTTCTACCATTGTCTTTTCTTTGTATATTTCTATGTATCTTATGGTTAGCATAAGTCAATCTGTGTGTGTGTGTGTGTGTGTGTGTGTGTGTGTGTGTGTGTGTGTGTGTGTGTGTGTGTGTGTGTGTGTGTGTGTGTGTGTGTGTGTGTCTGTTTCACCTGGCTGCAAAACCGACTTCATAAAACTCAATAAAAACACGAATATCTTATGTTATGCTGTGTGTTATTGTTTATTATTTACACTGCCTGTAATAAAATTCCACAACTGTGAATTATTTCCTATTTGCCACATCGGATAAGCCAAACAAAATGTAACTATGGGGCGCAGGAGAATATTTCCTATTTGAGGGGAACTTTCAAAAGGTGTTTCTCATGTCAGATTATCTCGAATGATTGAAGCCCCCTGCCCGATCGAACGTACCCTGTCCAATAACAGCCTTTGTTACTACAGGCCAGTCCGCCTCTCGGCTCGTTGTGCATTCACATCCAGACTCCCAGGCTATACCGATTGCAAAGCTGGCACCGGTTTCTCCCCGATGACGTAATGCCGGGTGAGTGGCAGGGTCCATCCAGCAGATGGCATCAACTCCCACTGTTGCCACCAAGACTCCGTCACGTGACGTCACCGAAGAGGTGACCGTACCGCGCTGACGTCAACTTGCCGTGGTGCAGAATTTTGTCATGATTTCGTGTCGTGACTAGGGACCACCAGCCTCGAGTGACACAGTCGTGCCACAGCAGAGTAGATCTTTGCTGCAGACATCTGACTATAAATAAAGTGTGAGTCTATATATATATAGGGCACTGAGAGTCCCTGCTTTAAAGGCTCTTTCCTCTGGATTTATTATGTGTTCAGCTTAAACGCTACTATGTTAAGGAAGATATATGGGATAACATGCACAGTTCTGAAATATTACATGCCAAAGGTTAATGCATGAGATGTGTCTCATTTACTGCGAATGATGAGGAACAACCAAGCAACTACACAGAAAGTTGAAAAAAAAACTTCCCCACAACTATATTTTTCCTGAGTGATGGACAGGGAACATGTGCATTATGAAATCAATTGTAATGGCAAATAATTGAGAGAAACACGTTGAATGAAAGGCTGAGAATAAGTAGTGGCCTTATTACTCTGGAGTAAAGTTAGATATCCAAAAGCCTTTTATAAGAATTTACGTTTATCATTATGCCACCAATATAAAAAAGAAATGACTAAAACTTTTGATCAGGGAGTGTTGAGTATAGTTTTTTATTTTTAAACAAGCAGTAAAGATAGAGACTCGTTTTCATTTCTTACGTTGAATTCTGAAGTACTGCATTAGGAAGACATTTCTAGAGAAACACGTGGACATCGCAGTATCCCAGACTTTAAGTCAAACTACAGCCATCTAGTGGGAAGTTTAAAACACTGCATATACACATATATAGATAACATGATTCTCTATGTAGCCACATAATGTTTGAGATTACAGAAAGCAAGACCGCATAACGTTGATTTATCAGCTGCTATGTTTGTCTCAAGTGCCAATGACAGAATAATCCTAAATGCGTAAATATTCGCTAATATTGGAATATCAGGAGAGGTCGTAAAGTCTGGACCCTGGTTATGTCTGTTACCATGAATGTGTTAATGGCCCACGGGTCCTTCATTTACAAAATGTCACTCAGCGAGTCATGGACAAACCAGGATAAGAGTAACAATACCATGTGAAACACATGGACATAATACATTTTTTATTGTAAGCACTGTGCTGCATCATATCCCACACTATATAAAACCCTTACTGACTCTCTCACTCAAGCATTTAGCAGGTGACGTCAGTTGGGTCCCTGATGGTTCAGTGTTAATTAAGGTCTCTGTGGGGACATTGGGATTGAGCCACGAAATTACGACAAAGCGGTGTGAGTGTTGAGGGGCCTGCAGCGTCACCTCTTGACAGAAGACTGTAACTGCGAGGTAAAACGTTTATTATTCCAATTTAAATTTAAAATAAACTCTACATTGCACTTCTGTTACTTTAACCTTGCACCCATACCTCATTCTAAACAATGTACTATTACTTGTCAATATTGCATGTGTAACCATGTGTTGTGTTGTTGGCCATTCAAATTAATAACAAAACATGAATGTTGCACAGTCATTTAATATTATTTATTTCTCAGCACCCACAATAACCACCAACTTTTAACTTCCCAAGGAGATAGAAAAATATGACTAAGATGCCACAACAACTACAAAGATGTGCAAACCAGCTGCAAAGAAACAAAAGCAGACCTCTTCTTTACATACTCAACACCATTTCAACAGCATCATAAATGAAAACAGAAAACAAAGTCAGTAAATTTGTTGTCAATGGGTCTTTAATGAATTAGGTGGTATGACAAGAAAGAAAAGACCCCAAAACCTACAAATTCTTTTTTTACTTTTTAAACCATTTTGTTTTTCAATAGCAATGTATGTTTTCTTAGGATAATATATTAGGATGAATAATTCTGACAATAAATCTACTAAATTTTAACGCTGCACAAATATTTGGAATGAATATGTAAAAGATGTCCTAGTCAGTTTGAGTAGACTTCAGGTGGGCAGAACATCAACTGGGTGTCAGAAAGAGGAAAACAGCTTTTATTGTAATTTTGTAATTTGATCCATTGGCAACCGGTCCGTCTACTCGATGACCTCTGTGTTTACATCTTCTGTGCGGGACACCACTTTTCCATCAACTATCTCCTCAATCAAAATCCTCCTTCTCTGGGTTACGACTGGTTTAGCTGTGGACCAAATGAAAACAAAGTTAAATATCAAGCATATTTAATATACGAGACAATACCGAAGCGTATACCTAAGTGTTGACTTACCTTTGACCACCTCCACCACTTTGATCTCCACTGACCCTCTCCTAGAAGACAGGAAGTAATATTTAATTAATACGAAGTGAAGATAAATAATCAAAACATAATTGCTGGAAATTCTGGGAATTCATTTTTTTTCTTTTCTCTTAAGTTCGATGAGAAGACCACCACCTCTGTATGCTAAACACAGAGATCCAGCCAGTGGCCAGCTAGCTTAGTTTGTAAAGACAATAGTAAAAAATAAATAAAGTTCTTTGTTAAAGTAATATATAAGTATTATTTGGGTAACGTTATTTCACTCTAATAAAAAGTCACAGTTCTTGTCATTTTGACCATATTAATAAAGAAAAGTGTAAGCTGTAACTTTAGTTAAGTTAAAATACTTTTTGAGACAAACATCTCAATGAAGAATTTCCTTACTCCTCTCCATCCAGCAGTCTTCTGTACTCGGCGATCTCCATCTCCAGCCTGGTCTTGATGTCAAACAGCACCTTGTAGTCATAGGCCTGCCTCTCGATGTCCGCCCTCACATTTTTGAGTTCTTCCTCCAGGGTGTTGACCCGGATCTGGAGGTGAGACAGCTTCATGTTGTAGTTGGACTCTGTCTCTGCCAGCTGACCCTCCAAAGCAGATTTCTGCACAGGAGAAAAAACACATGGGGAGATATCAGTTAATTAAGCCCTAATTACTCGTTCCACTTAATTTACCTCAGATGTAAAACATAAAGCAGAGTGAGAAACTTGTTATAAACAGTTAGCAAAAGGTTTAAAGAGCGCAACAGGTTAGAATGATACTGCGGGGGGAAATGGGGACTGAGATCTGAATTACCAGGCTTTGCTGGGACTGCAGCTCGATCTGCAAGGACTGCAGGGTCCTCTTGAGATCATTGATCTCAGTTCGGGAGACCTGGAGTGTCTCTGTGCTTGATGCCACCTGGCTGTTCAGTTCGTCAAACTGGAAGGCGTGAAATTGGACAGGAAAATGGTCAAAACCGCTACTCATGCCACTGTTTATTCATGATATGAACATAAAGATTAGTCTCGTTCCCCTTACCTTGACCTTGTACCACTCCTCCATTTCGCGGCGGTTCTTCTCAGTGATGCTCTCATACTGAGCTCTGATCTCATTTATAGTGGCAGAAATGTCCACCTGAGGTTTGGCGTCCACTTCCACGTTGACAGAGCTGGAATTAACTTGGCTGCGCATGGCTGCGATCTCCTACGGGCGACAAAGAGAGTAAAAGGTCAAAGATAAATTCCACCGATTATTTTATTCTAATTGACATCTATAGGTCACTTCACTGAATTAGGTACTCGTTTTTATTTGGACTCCTCTCTTTACTACATTTGATAAATTACCGTTACCTACTTTGATTAACATGCTGATACAACATTTCTCCAATGGGACCATTATTTTATGTATTTAACGGTTCTCTCACATTGATGATCGTTTAGAATAGCTGTTTTTGCATCTATAGAGACGATTTTCCGATATTGCGTTTGCCCCACAGAACTGTACCTGTAAAACTTTTACAAGAGCCCAAACCACTTGTAATCTAACGACGATTAGGCGTGATGCTACATCCTTACAGTACTAGTCTCACCTCTTCATGGTTCTTCTTCAGGTAGACCAGCTCCTCCTTCAGGCCCTCCACCTGCATCTCCAGGTCAGACCGCGACATGGTCAGTTCATCCAGAACCCTGCGCAGCCCGGCGATGTCCGCCTCCACCGACATGCGCACCGCTAACTCATTCTCAAACCTGGCGTGAAAAAAGCACAAACATTTCTGTTGGTGCGCCCGCTCAATTAGAATTAGAGCAACAACTGTACAGAGACTGTGCAGGCGGCGCAGTGAAACTAGTTACACCAGTTGAATCACTTTGATCACCGCTACGCCTCTTGGGAAACACTTAAAGATACACAAAGCCTGAAACTGCTGATGTTGGGATGAAGTGCTGCAGAATATTGCAACTTAAAATCCCAGATTCTTCCATTACAAACAACGGCAATCAGGTTATAAAAACGTCTTTATACTTACTTGATTCTGAAATCCTCTGCTGCCAGCCTGGCATTGTCAATCTGCAGCATCAGCCTGGCATTGTCCTGTGTGGCAACACTGATCTACAAAAAAAAAAAAAAGAAGACCCCAAAAAAGGAGCATTGGCAGTAGTTTCTTCACCACCTATACAACCATTTCGTTTTCTGAAAGCGTTTTTTTTTTATAATTGACTGACTTGCATTCAGAAATCCTTTAACAAAAAACATATATAAATATATACATGGTTATCAGCCATGTCACCAGCTGAAGGGGGAAAGTTTTCATGGGGAAAGTTTACCTTTTTGCGCAGGTCTTCGATGATCGCCTCATACTTGCTGTAGTCGTTGACGGTGGGGGTCTGCCTGTCGTACCACTCGCGGATTTGACGCTCCAGGGTGGTGTTGGCGCCCTCCAGCATGCGCACTTTCTCCAGGTAGGTGGCCAGGCGGTCGTTGAGGTTCTGCATGGTGTGCTTCTCGCTGCCCGAGATGGAGAAGCTGCTCCCGTCGCCGCCGCCGCCGCCGCCGCCGCCGAGGGCGCTCGCCAAGTCAAAGCCAGAGCCGAGGCCATTGGAGGCGTACGACACCCGGACGTTGGATCCGCCTGCGCCGCCGTGGACGCTCGTGCCGCGCCTGTAGCCCGCGGACCGGGACACGGAGGACATGGAGAGGGCGGAATAGCCAGAGCCGTACATCGTCATGCGTCTTCTGCGTGGAGTCGGGGAGAACCTGTGAGGACCCAAGGAGCGGTGCGGGAGAGATGCAGCACAGGGCGGCCCGGAGGATGGACTTTATAGCCTCCTCGTTGGAGGTGGGAGCGGCCCGGACGGGAAAGATGCTGCTCAGGTGTGTCCGCACAGGGCGTGGAGGGGTTGTCATTCAGGATTTAGTAACGGCTGTCAGTGCGCGTATACGTTTGTGAGGCATTTTTAATTAGAACTGTCACCTTCAATTAAACCAGCTGAAGTCTGGTACACAAACGAGTTTAAAAGATGTATAACTCATCATCATGCTTTCTGTTAACAGGTCTAACTAATTATTTCAACCCGCTTATTGTAGTTAGAAGGAAATGTTGAAATTAATTCCCTAGTTAATTTTACTTAAAATTATGCATTGTTTCAAATGACAATTTATAGTTGAGCAACACCATGTTTTGTTGCAAAAATCATAATTTTTCGCATTAAAATAAATAGTTTTTACATCATAACATGCAGATATCTAACAAATTCTGCACTGTAATTAAACAAAATATTCAGTGGAATTTAACAGAATATTCTCAAAAAGTTCAGACAGAAAAGAAAAGAAAAGGCAATGTAAAATGGACTTCAATTTACAAATAATGAGCAACTCGATACATCTTTCTCGAGGCAGTTCAAAATGTCTGCAGCTTTGTAGACCTCCGGCACTCTTGGGACCAGGTCATACACGTCTGCGTCCAGCTGGCCTCGTAACAGCCTCCCTGCTTCGGATCACGGACCAGAGAGTAGAAGCGGTTTGCCGCGCTCACATCGTGGCACATCACAACATTTCCCATCTGGACCAAAGTGGTGGACCAACCAACTGGCCGATTGAACAGCATTACCATGACTTGAGCCACAAAGCTCAACAAATGTTAGCCTACTTAAAAAGGGAAAAGTATTGAACCCCTGTTAGTATATTGCCTCACACATATTTATTCTTCCACGCTGTTTACACAATAATACCCTTTGCTGCCAAGGCGCCATGGAGCAATGTTTTTTTAAGATTTTTTGGGCGATCTTGGCACAATTCCCAAGGGATCACACTGTAGATTGCTCAGAAGAACTATTAGTTTCTTTCCTGCTGCCTCCGGCGGCTGATGCACAAGCCGTTTTGTGTTTTGTAAGCTCAAACTAATTACGTTGAATAACTTGAAGAGCAACTTTCTCACTCGCACACTCTGGGCTTGTGGACTTGTGCTGCCTCTTCTAATCTAATCGGTTGTTTTGTGTCAATACGTTAACTTATTTTTAGGACACTTATGAACACATCTCTGTTACACTTTAGGAGAGAAACATAATTTTTCATGCTGAAATGAGAATGCCTCTTATCATAGTATCATTCTATTTACATTCTTTCTTAGTGGTGCTTTAACTCGATAATTCATCTATTTTGTCTATCCAATCTCAGAACCTGGATTTGACTAAAAACAAGAATCGTTCCAGATCCCCTTTTACAGATAAACAGAGGTTTCGTGTTCAGATAATCGTTGGTACTTAGATGTAAGCAGGTGTGTCGGCCAGTCTGTCAGCATGTTTTCATTCAAGTGAACTTAATTGCAACCGCAGCAGTGTCATGAAATCCCCTACTGGTAGACCGGGATGGGATGTCATACTGGCATGAGTTTTTTCTTCTTTTTTTTTAAAGCTGTTGCAGGTATGGGCCACTCACATCCTGGATAAAATCAGTAAACGCATGAGGGCAAGAGCCTGCAAGCAAAATTAAACAAATCCAATCCGGTCTCAATCTTTTGAAGGATTGAAAGCGAGTATTGTATGACGGGAAACGTTTCAAACTTCTTGGTACTAAAATGAAAATAGGTGAACTACAGAAAAGCAAGCTGCAAGGAGGCCTGGGAGTCCCTATCATAAAGATCTACTATGGGCAGCACAGACGTGGTACATGAATGGGCAAATATAAACCCATGGATTGACGTAGAGCCGACAAATTGTGGTTTACTCACTTTAAAGAACTGTCCCTTCGTAAATTACAAAGAGGCAAAGCTGGAGGTTCAAGATAACTTTATTGTACAGAACACACTTCTGATCATGACATCTGGAACATGATCAGGCTGATCAGGTGATTGGCTCAAGGAGAAAACCCAGACTTCCTCCCCTCATGTACTAACGCTTTTACGGCCACTTCAGGCCTATTTGTTTAGCAACGTGCGCGTTAAAGCATGGCGAGGTGTGCACAAACAAGCCGCAAGTCGCGAGAATTCAAAAGGCAAATTCAGCTTTTCGGTGTAGAGCATATGCATTCACAAAGGGGTGTGGGGGGTTAAGGGGAAAGTGGGAGTTGCCCATAACAAGATGGGAGGGGATGCATAAAGTGCGCCTAATTGTGTATTCCACCCTCATGCAAATAGTAAAGTGAAAATCTTCACGACCATGGGTTTACCGTATGCTTTTTTTTGTATTGAGACACTAGCACAACACAGCGACTGTCTTAAATACGGTGATGTATGTCTTAATGCGAGCTTTTAGAAATCAAGACAAAGGGATTCTGTATTTGATCACAAGGCCTGAAACGCGTCATTCGGCCAATGTTTTGATAGCCAACCGCAGTCCTGTGTTTCCCCTGACTCCGCGCCACGTTCCAATTATTGGAATCGGGGTCATTTCATAGCATCAGCAGCGGGACTATCGCAGTCTGCACTCAGCCGCATCACACCACAAGTACTTCACGCTTTGCTACAGCGCATCGGTCCAAACATTAAGTTACCCGCCACTGATGCCCAGATAACACTTCGTTGTCACTGACTTTTTGTTCTCGCTGTTTTGACTGTGGCTGATCCATGATAGAATGAGAGAAGAAGCGCTGTGTTCGCTTGCACGTAATGTGGGGGATTGTGGGCGGAGAAAGGCGCCGATTACCGGATGAGCTGCAGGTTTGGACCAACTTGTCCACCTCTACGAAGGAGGAGCAATGGACTCGTTTGATGTTTCTGAAGAGCAAATACTCTCTCCAACAGTCACATTTATTCTGCAAACAAGACATTTGCATACCCAAAAGCCGACATGCTTTCTTTGGAAGAAATCTTCACACAACACATACCAAAAAGGTGCATTTCTCATGTCTATGCAACCTTTGGCCTTAATCTTAACTACTCCACTGACCACATTCGCAAACAGTGGCAGATTGACATGGAGATGAAGATGGACATCCATAATGGAAAACACACTTAAGAATCTGAGCTGGGGCACAGACAGAGAAAAACTATTTTAAATATAACATAGAGTGCATTGTACATCACTGCTAGGTTTTGGCCTGAATTCCCCTACATGTATTAAATGTCATTCTGAAGCTGCTACTTATATAGACGCGTCGGGCCTAACAACACCCTTGAACTGTAACATTATTGACGATAAACCACAGCCTCTCTTACCTCATTGCTTAATTAGAGATTAAACATTAAAAGTAAAACTGACCGATTCTGATTCAACAAGTTTAATGAACCCCGTAGGCTTTCCTGTGTAGAAAAAAACACTTAAAGTATGTTCTAATCGAATGTAATCACTCCTCCGCTGAAGGCCTCTGCTAGTGGCAGGTAGAAGGTGGTGATTTCGGCTCCTCGTGTTGTCACGTTATTACATGTTGCCAGGTGAGATCAAACAAAGGAAAGCCTCTTCACACTGACTAATTATCTTGCTTGACATACACACGCCCGTCATCAGCTTCTCTGCTGACCCCACTTATCGGCAGGAGAATCTCAGGAACCCGGCCTTGACTTGTCGGGCTGTGAAAAATATTTGCCCGACCTTGTATTACACAATGTTAAATGACAGCTGAGTCTGGCGCTCCTAATTTAATTGTTATTTGAGAAGCAAAAGTACATTTGAGTTGCTTTGAAAAAACATATTATGACAAGGATAATCGTTTTTTGGGCCCCTGTTGCACCACGACTTTGTATTTATAATGTAATTACTTAAGGATACTGGCTTTAATTGAAGTGTTTAAGACTTTCCTCAAGTTTTTGACCTTAATTAAGTTATCTTTCTGAGGGGAATACAACATTTTTTTTGATTTTGAGTACCAATGACACAAAGCAGCATTAAGGATTCTGTTCTCCACACGGCATCATATTTATCCTCTCAGTCGGGAGGAAACAGCCTACCTGGTTCATTCATGTGTGTCCAGAGTCTAGTTGGTTCCTTTGTGGTAAAGTAGTGAAACATCTTCAAACATACTTGTCTTGTAGACTATGATACGAATGGAATGATGTGCATCTGGGAGGCAACCACAAATTCTTCACTAGTAAATCTAGTAAGATCTGAGGTGTGGACGGCAAAGGAAAGTTAGAGTTAAAAGAGGAGGGCAAAGGAAAGTTAAAGAGTTAAAAGAGGTTTAAATTAAAAGTTGTTAAAATGTGCACATCTGGTTGTAAAAAGCTGTGTCTTCTTCCTCTTGGGTTCAGGTTAACCTGTCTGGATGGCTGCGGTATAAGGCGACATTTGTTTACAACACGTGTACGCATATTGGCTTTAGCTGTGAGAGGGTCCACACAGGTGTTATTCCTTTATGTGACAATGTGAAATTAGGAGGATGAGAAAAACGGGACTGAACTCTCTGGTGGGCTAAAAAATGGAAAAAATAAGCATTAAGATGCTAAAAACGGTAAACCGTGGATGTGGCTCCTTCTTGGGGGGAATCTCTTTTACGTCACAAATTGAAATGGCCGGTACAACAAGAACTATTTTCAGTGGAGGCTGAGATGACGTGTGCTTGAATCAAAGACGGGCCTGCCGTGAGTGACGCAATTTACAGGTTGAGTGACGTAGGAAGAGAACAAGTAGTAAAAGCACATGAAACGTGTTTTAGCTGAAGATAACCCTTACGGCACAGTTTGGTAAAGAGTTTATGTGAAGATAATCCCTCCTAAAGCTTTGGATTTACGCTACAATATCTTCCACTCAGGAACTAATGAGGTTTGCGCAATTCTAACGTGTGCAGACAAAAAAACTCACGGCAAGGAGTTTTGTTTACCATTGTTACACATCGGAACAAAGTTTGATATTCTTTTTGTAATGGATATTTATTTTTTCAGGCCCTTGTACAGAAAATGAGGGCTCACAAAGGAAAGGATCAAAGAGCTCGTTGGCAACGCGAGCGGAGGAATGCGAAGTCACCGAGGTCGGGTACGTGGGGGAGCTCCGAAAACGGTTTAAACCTGTAATCTGAGACCGACTTGTTTTGCTTTCATCCTCTCAAAGGCCGCGTCCACCACCAAGCCTCCGCCTCTTCCCCCTGACATTTCACTAACAAATCCCTACCTGAATATCACTGGAGGCTCAATCATGGGATTTCCCTGGCCGAACACTCCTACAAATGTCGTGCGACAAGGAGAAAAAGCGAAAGACATTTGTTGGACCTTTTGAGGGAGAAACGGCGTGACGTGTAAAAACAGGCTCGGTGACATTCCCAGTGCACAGTCACAGCTGAAATCATCCGTCCCAGACACTGAGACCAGAGTTAATACGCCCCGACAAGTTCTGTTTTCCTAGGAATTTTATCTCATAGGCGTAGTCATCATCATCATCATCGCTGCTGCTGAGGCCACCTTGCTGAAAAGGTGTGGGAGTGAGATGACGACAAATTTCCTCGCTAGCGCAGTCAGCTTCTTTTGTATGTTTTATTCAAATTCATTTCACCATTTCCTCCCTCGTTTTCAGCAATCAGGAGGGGTAACCAAAATCCCGACACCCTGTCAGGAAAACAGGGCGTCAGGAACTTAATCTGGCTCTTCCTCCGTCGCTCAACTGCCGAAGAAACTAAGGGGGGGAAGTGCAGGCTCAGCTCTATGTGAATAATCCCCACATCTCTCAGCAAGGCAGACATGTTTGCCACCTTTAAGCCACATGATTAGCAAACACTCCGATACAAATGTAGCTCCTTGAGGGCAAATTAGGTTTTCACATGGGAGGAACACATAACAAAAAGAAGATTAACAGTGAAACGCTTAACAGTAAAACCCTTTATTGAAATAGATTCAGACTCAACTGTACCGCTCACACATCAAACCCATAAAGCTTCTATATGATATTCAGACTATTAATATAGCAGCAAACAGATATTTACTCTGTGAAGACATCAGGGAGTAATGGGAGAAAGTTGCTCTAGCACTGTATGTTGTCATCCAAGCTGGTCCTTCCTCCTCTGTTTACATTTATGGGTTGCCATGCGTGTCCTTAATTCCAGGTTTGTGCGCGTGAGCGTGCCCGACTGGTTGGCTCACCGCAGCGGCTCTTAAGATAAATATTGCAGAAAAGCTAACATGAATGACACCCTCTGCGAGGGGAATTGCTTCTTGCATCACTGTGTGTCACAAAGGTGCACACATAGATGTTACCACACTGTCACTTTTTTGCCATGACTTAACCGCCATGCTATATTTGAGCATCTAGCCTGGATCAGCAATATAGTCTCAATTTAGCGGAATCAGCAAGCGTCTTTAAAACATTGTACCCAAGGACATATTGAAAGCCACATCACAGTAATTATAAGATTAAACCTTTGACCCAGACTGACACAAACTCAGCTATTCTCAAACCAGCCAAGAGTGTTATTATGCAAGAGGTAACTCTGCACAAAGTGTTTATTAGTTGACTTGATACATTATTATAGTACATGTAATGGTAACCCCTTTTTACAGCAACACAAAAATACAAACCCACACGGGTCCTGTCGCTGTGTCTCCCTGAACATTCCCTTCACAGCTTGTGTTGGTGCCCATTTGAAAGCGGCTCAGTAATCCTGGATCTGACAGTACAAAGGGCCCCAGAGTGCTGGTGGTGCAAGCACTGTGTCCAGTGCGAACCCCACTGCTCTCCCTTCTCCCACATGCTGCCCCCGGAGGGTGGGGGGGTGACAGGGAGGAACCCCCGAAGACAACAAACCGTCGGTGATACTTGCAGACTGCCGGTGTGCTCTGTTTCAGAGTCCTGCTGATGATGACCTGGGACACAGTGGGAAGGAGAAAGGGTTGAACGGATCACTGTAGAGGAATGCGGCTGAGCCGTGGGGAGTTCTGGATCCGTACAGTGTGACCACGAGAACAGACTGAGGGACTGTTGCTGCCTCGTTACACTTACTGTGCCGTATTCAGAGAAGGTCACGTTGCCACAGGTGAGTATCGCTGGGTAAACATTTACCTTGTCAACGCCTCTGCGCCGTGTGATCCAAAATGGGTGGAAATCCGCTGTTGTAACTTTGTATTACTGTGCGTTCATTCGGCATAATACAGAAGTCTCTCGGTAGCTCAACTGTCTGAATGTGTTCGGCCGTCACGGGCCCTGCCGGTTGTGTCATTTGGATGGAAACGTGTGGCAGTGTGCGTCTGTAAGCATTCGGATGTTTGCTGTCTCAGGTCTCCATGGATTTGCTGCAGGATTCCAGACACACTATGTGGGGACTGAACGCCCGTTTGAAAGGCTTCCTGGAGCAGGTAAACAGGCTGCAGCAGGCCAACCAGCGGCTGGAGGCTCAGATAGCCGACTGGTCCGCAAGGAGCACATCACGGTCCCGGGACTGGTCCCAGCAGGAAAACACTGTCCAGGAGCTCCGCGTCCAGGTAAAACACTCTTTGTTTGTTGTTGAGACTTTGTAGCTGATAAGATGTTGGGGTTATCGTGGCGCAGGGGTTAGAGAAGGTGTGCTGGGAAGCACAAGGTTGGTGGTTTGATTCCAGGCTGCCCCAAGTTCCATGTTGAAGTGTTCCTGAGCAAGACACCTAACCCCTAATTGCTCCCCGGGCAAAATGTGAAAAAAGCCATGGGTTTAAAAGTGTAATGTAAGTCGCTTTGGATAAAAGCGTCTGCTAAATGACCTGTAATGTAATGTCAATTCAAACACTTTGGATATTGCCGAAAAGTGTACAGCTGCTTTGCCAGAAAAGGATATAAAAGTATACCCATTTCAAAACCAAGTTGATATTAGTTATTTTGTAACTATGGTTCAAGTGCACAACTCTTCCAAATATTTGGGGCGGGGGGTTAATTCCCAAAGACACTTGAGACACCCAGATCTCAATCGAGAAATGTGACGTGAATGTCAGTACACTGTAAGTCTATATGGGAGGTAACGCTACATCAAACAAAGTTGTTGCAAAGGATTATGCGTTATTGTCCGCGGGCTACAGCCAGACAGATGTCGGCTTGCACACACTGAAGTTCTGCAGAAGTCTTAATTACAACCGTCATCGAAAAATTCAACAGCAGCCTGAGATCTTTCTATTACGAGTAGTCGGCCCATGAGGGCAACTGAGCAATAAGCTCAGCAGACACGAGTGAATTAATTCTTTGTTATAAGAGGCCATTTGTGGAAATGAAGTTTTGACAAAAGGTCACTGACTCTACGAGGAAATTTGTAACTGAATTGTGATGTGGCTGATTAAACCTTGGAGCTCGTAAATGTGGCCGGCTGATGAGAATGACTGACAGCCCCGGACGATGACGACATGCGATTAGGAGTAGGACCAGGATGAAGGATACGTAAACTACAGGCCTAGGCCTGAACGTAAGCTTAGAGATTATTAATACAGCCTGTATTAATACTAACCGGTAATCACGTGACCCGACATGATGGTTTTTAACTGCTCCCTTGTGTTAGTGTCTCTTTCTGAATGAGTAAGTGTCACTGACAGACATTTTAACTACTTTTTCCACACAGCGTCACATTGACTGATGTTCCCATGAAGATAAATGCTTTATTTGTCATTGAGGGAATGTGGTTATGTTAACATATTGGATTACTTTTCTGTTTGTTGTCTCGAGAAGGGCTTCGCATCATGCAGTGTGTACCACAAAGACGAAAGCTGCTAAGACAATAATTACAGGTCTTGTCAATCGTGTCTTGTCAAGTGGATTTTAATCATCTCACTGGGGCCCAGAAACAAGACTGTGTTTTGGAACATCTTCGCGATGTTGAGTGTGTCTTTAAGCTACGAATGTTATTGGGTGTATGTCATGTTATCTCTGGCTACCCGCCAACATGGGTGTGTCTGGTCCTAAGAGTTTCACTCGCGAAAAAACAAAAAGGAATAAGGGTGTGTTAACATCTTTGTGTGTGATAAAAGTCACGGCGGCACCTCTCGCAAAGAATGGCAAAGAATTGTACAATTCAGCCTCTTCCAATGTTCAACATGTAAATAGAGTTGTTGTTGGCGGCTGTGTTGAACACATTAAGTTAATTCCATGTACAGTGTGTGAACATTATTACATACTGAGAGATTAACGATAAATTGTTTTGAATGTTACTTGTCACGCTTTCAACTTCAATATATTTAACAATTTAAAAAAAAACATTTGGATTACAACAGACTCTTTATTGCCCTATAAAATCATTACTACAAACTATTACCTCACCCAGATTTTTGTTGTTCCATAAAAGATTAATAGGTTTAGAGAATGTTTATCTTAAGATGTCTTAGTTGTGGGCATCTTTTAAAAGACAAATGCAGCAACAATGATGTCAGATATCTTTTAGTCTTTGCAGCTTTTAGGTGAGTGGATGAATTTTGCATTCTTTTTTTTTGAAACAAGTGAAATAATATGGAAAATCAAATCAGCTGTGGTTGAATGGTTAAAATGTTTGTCTGTCACTAGTTCATTTGATTGTGTTTACACTTGGCGAGTGTCTTACTGAGCACCGTGAATGGTATTGAGAGGCTGGGAACAATAAAAGGTGTCCTAGACCCCAAAGGACTGGGGGAGTGACGTTGTTTGGATGAGCGTTCCTCAAGAAAGCAGCAACGCCGAAGGCCAAGCATCAAATATTTGAGTGATGTTCATACTATTGTATGACGAGGAGATACGTTGTCATAATTGACAAGAAGGTTATTCCTCCAGTTGTGTGACGAGGATTCCATCCTAATGTCTCAGCCGACACCAAGTTCACATAGTAAAAGCTATAGGATTGGAAATAGCTTTGTACTTTCCTTGATTTGAGTCTATTTTTGTGTTCCTGTTTTGTTTCGTCAGGTTGGTAACCTGCTGATGGAGAATGCCCAGCTGGCATTGCAATCTGACAGCATGAAGTCCAGAGCTGCTGACATCCAGGCCAGGTCAGCTGTATTTGGCTGTAGTTTTCCTGAAAGCTCTTTTTTATTAAGTATATGATGCAGGAGGTCGCATCCCCAAAACATGTTACGGTCATTCACACCGCTTATGTCTGAAGCGATTAGGTACAGAGAAGGGAGATACTGATTTGAGATAGTAAAGCAGGTAGCATGCAAGAAAAAATGTGACTGGCCCATAAAGCCATTCCAACATACGAGGCATATGTTGAATGACAAACACTGTTATCTGCCTCGTTCATCATTTCCTGCGCCTGTGAGCAAACCTGCATGCAAATCCAGGCTGGGCTTCGTGCCGCGTCAGCACTTTCACTTATGTATTGATGCATAGTGTCACAACCCCCCCCCCCCCCCCCCCCCCCATCCTCAACACACACACACACACACACACCCTCCGCTGTCAGCCATTAACCCCTGAAGGACAGTGGCACCCTGTTCTATTTACAGCTCTACCTGATGTGTTACTGACTGAGTTGGACTGTGAGACTCTTTTTATGACACGTTTAAATCATGTCAAGGTCTCTTTCGCGCCTGGACTATAAGTAGTTATGATTTCTTTACTGCCATACATTTAAAACGCTCAACCCCTTAAGAATACTCAGCTATTATCTGGTGATATCAATATTATATTTTCCCTCCCAAAACCAAATAACAAAGTAGATTAATTCAATTGATGAGAATATGACTGATTTTTATATCTTATTGTTGTCTTATTGTTATTAGCGTTTATGATCATTTGTCATAAGCTGCGAGAGGCAAAATGTTAGAGCTCATGATATCTGTTTTATTTTGGCTTGAAGACCTTCTGTTGAAAGAACAATATTTATTCAGGATTCTACATTTTACATAAAGGATTATATTTGAATTTATCATAATAGCATATGCCAATACTTTCCACTGGACATTGGTCTGGGGCCTCTGTTTGAATGAATTTCTTTGGCCTTATTTCTCTGCTGTGTTTATAAAAGTATGCCGTCAGTAAATAGCCTTTCACTAGACGCCACTTTATAGGTGTGAGACGGAGGAGAGGAACACCAGGCGTCTGGAGCGACAGGTTGTTCTGCTCAGGGAGTCAAAGGCGAAGGCAGATCGGAGCAGCGTGACGCTGCAGGCTGACCTTCGGCACTCCATGTCGAATCTGCAGGAGATGCACCAGGAGTTTGAGGTCAATAAAGGTGTTGCCCGCAAATGCGTGTTATGACATATTTGTCTTTCTTCTCTTTCTAACTCTTTTCCTTTAACCTTGTGCCTGTCTATCTTTATTTCTGGTGGGGTTCTTTCCAACTGGATGCACAGTCTCACACTTCAACCTTTTCCATTTCAAAGTGACAATATATGAGTTTTCAGTAGCTTGGATAGCCCAATCCTGCTAATGGTAGTTAAGCCGTTTGGTAGCTGGCTGATGCTACGTTACAATTGGCCAGGGTGGCACATTTTAAGCACTTTGTGCAGATGTGCTGTTGCGTAAGCTTTGCCAGTTCGGGGGAAACCTTGCATTGACTCAACCACTGAGTCAGTAGTTGTGTGCAGTGTATCCAAGAATGGGAGAATATCTTGTAAAAGGTAGTCAGTGTCCATGCTCCATGCTAGAGCTAACGCAGGTAAAGGATTACATAATACCTGTTTTAGCTGCTGCCTGTCCTACAACCTTCCAGAGCATCGAGGGTGGCTGTTGAATCCTTGCTTTGCACAGACATTGCTGTGCAATGTCAGCTCAGATGACATTGCTGTTTGCCGTCTTGATATTTGTACTGAGCTGATGCTGATTCTGACCCGGACAAATTCTATTTAAAGTATAAAGAAATGAATCACTAAATCATTGAATCACTAAATCATTGTTACTACGATTATAAGTATCCTGTTGTACTTTATACTTCCAACCCTGACATTAGTGTTGCAGTGTGTGTGTGTGTGTGTGTGTGTGTGTGTGTGTGTGTGTGTGTGTGTGTGGTTGGTTTCAAATGATGCCTAGTCCCTTTACTCTGACCTCATCCAACCATCTTCTTTTCCTCGTTTCCTGCCTCCTTCTCTTCATCTCCTTATTCATGCTGAGGTTATTTTCCTGCACACAGACACACACACATGCTCACTTGCACACGTAGGGCTCCATCACAGATTTTTCTTTTGTCTCTTACCGCTGCATTGCGTGGACTCTTTGGCCGCACATACACACACACACACACACACACACACACACACACACACACCGACATTCATTCCTTCTTTCTCTTCTGCATCTTTTCATCCACAAAAAAAGCTTCATCTCCCTTTTTGTCTTGTTTCTTCTCTTCTCAGTCTCCACATCATTCCCTATCCTCTCCCCTGTTATCTGTCTCACACTCTCTCTCCCTCTCTCTCTCCCTCTCCCTCTCTCTCTCTCTCTCTCTCGCCCCCCTTCTCTCGCCATCCCCTGGTTGGCTGTTTCGCAGGCAGCCCGGGCTCTGCAGCTGCAGCGGGCCGGCTCGTGCGATGTTCTGTTAGCGACGGCCAGAGCAGCAGCAGTAGCGAGAGGGGAGGAGGAGGATGGCACAGGGATGGAGCTCACCCAGCTCCTCGACCGAATCAGAGCGCAGTGTGACCAGGGTAGACTTCCGGGCCTGGGCGAGAGGCCCCTCGGCCCGGGTGCCGCGTCAAATCCGGCCCGCTCTGGAGCAGCGTCCGGAACACACGGAGGAGTTCTCAGTGAGGTACGCATCTACTCCTGCATTAGTTATGGGGATGGGAGGGGTTCTGTCTCTTATGTTGTCCTGGCTCACTGCCAGTCCGACGCACCCTCAAGACCGACTCCCGGCTGCCCCACAAGGCCGGCTGGTGGATGCCTGTGCTCGGCTGGAGTTGAATGGTTAGCAGGTGCTGTAGGTCTGTGCCTGTTATAGATTAGTTCCTCAGTTTTTAATGTTATTTTATGTATTCTAATATCTCTTGAAGATGTCTCATCCTTTATCCACTCATAGCAGCATTGCTGGCTGTCTTCCTGTTTGTTATTACTGGGAAAAGCGCAGTGTGGGTGCCTTTTATGATCCAAATGTTCCGGTGCCACAGAAGAATGACTTTGGTGTCAAAGCGACCATAACGTTTCTTTGACAAGCACTGCAAAGAAACCACTGTGCTTAAATGGAGCAGCTTTTATAAAAACGCTGGTGTTTACATGAGTCTTTTGGCTCAAACTCACACAGTGGTTACTCAACAGTTACGCAATGGAGCAGTCAAAACCCTGGTCTGAATTTAAAGATTAAAATAATGCCCTTTTGAGAAGTGCTAAAGTGGTGAAATGAACATTATCTCTATTTTGTATTCTGATACAATGATACACATTAAAAAGCCAAGAGAATAGAACATTAGCTAGAATAGGATAGGCTCTAAGAGTAAACGTTACAGTGAAGTGTAAGAATTATTGTCTGATTTATCAACAGAGTGTCTTGTAAAATTGCTCTATAGCGCCACCGGTGGTCAGAATCTACATAAAGGACCTTTAAGGTTTGCTAAGTCAGAATAGATGAATGGTTTATAATATAAACTTTAAATCATTAATGATATCTACAGTTTTACAGACACCATTAGTTGACAAAATCAGACCAGTGATTTATGAAAAAACACCTGAGATCAGAACAGTACAGTAACAATTAAGAACAATTTAAAGGTACTTTCCATAATATTTGTACTGCAGGAATCAAGAACATTAATTGCCAAAGTATGTTTGACATACAAGATATTTGACATGGCGGTTTGTGCGTAACATTGGACAGCAAGACAAATAACACAGTGCAGGAAAGAAGATGTTCAATTTACAAATTTTCTATTTAAATCTACAGTATAAAATAGAAGGATATGAATAAGAGCAATATGGAATGAAAACAATTAAGTTAAGCTTTTTTATTCATTCATTCAGTTAAGCTTCTTTATAGAAAATAGGTCTTTTATACAAAGCAAATGATTGCCAAATAGATAAGATGCATTGTTATCTAGCCACCAAACAGTATTAGTTTAAGTTCACGTCATCTCAAATGCTTATAAAATGCTACTTACAGTACATGTTAAGTATGTATGTGTATCATATATAGCCAGCCTATGCATGATGCATAGCTTTAACATTTGTAATAACGAGTGTCATCCATCACTGCCTGAGATTACATTCAACTTTAACTTTAGTTAAAACAAAACAATTTAAATCAGTAGAGTAATATATTACAAAATAACTTGGATAACTTGAGCCATCTCCCTTCGTTTTTACTGTCAAAATATTGTTGTAACTGTGCAGACACAGCTTTGCTGCTTGACTGCGTTTGAACGGAGCGTGTGAAGCGCCTAACAACTGCACAGTGTACACACAACGTGTTCAGCTGTGTGTACACTGTGCAGACGGGTCCGGGTGTCTGCCCTGCTGTCTGTTTACCTGCCCTGAAACACACACTACCAACAGCACCACCTGTTTCTGCTTCGCCTCTGACTTTCTGACTGGGTGCCGACGGGGGGGGGGGGGGGGGGGAACTGTTCCCCACCAGGTGTGCGTTTGTGTTGCACATTGATGACGTTAACTTGGGATTAGAAGTTAAAATGCGCGTTTAGGTGTAGTGGCAGTGGCGTTTGTGTACCTCTTTTGACATGCGACCCCTGTCCCCTCGCCCAGGAAGAGGCAGCGTGGATGCAGGTGAGCCTCGGCGGCGCTGCCCTGAGGGAGGCCCGGGCAGAGCTGGCTGAGGCCAGGAAGCAGTGGCGCTCGCTGCAGGTGGAGATTGAGACCCTGCATGCCTTGGTAGGAAATTACACACCATACCGTATCACCCCGACCAGCCCATCGTGGCTTATAAAAACTCAAACAATTCACAATGTAGCATGAACACACAGAACTGACGCTGTTTGTGCCGAGGGATGATTCGCTTCTTTCTTAGAACTATAAGACTATGTCACGTTTTAACATAACCACTTTCCACGCGCTTAATTACATTTCAGGGTGACTGTGCAATCATTAACCCAAAAGCACCTCTCGGCTTATTTTTAGGAGAAAGGCCTGGAGAGCTCCCTGCAGAACACCCAGCAGCTGTACTCCAGCCAGCTGCAGGACCTTTCCCAGGTGATCGGCGGGCTGGAGAGCGAGCTGGAGCAGGTGAGGAGCGGGCTGGCGACACAGCGCCAGCTCCACGGCCAGCTCCTCAACACCAAGATGAGGCTGGAGCGAGAGATCGGCACCTACCGACGTCTGCTGGAGCGCGAAGAGGGCAGGTGAGGTCGAGACGCAGAGAGAGGAAGGAAAACCTTAGAGGAAGAAGGGAGGAATAGTTCAGTTGGTAATTTGTGGTTTCAGTGTCAACCAGGTAATGAATATTTGGTAGTCAGTACAAAGGACCCACTAGATTAGGCTTGCTCTTACTGGTTTTCTGACATATAAAGGTTACCTGCAGTCTGGAGTGCTACCATATTTCTTTGAATGCTTTTCATTCATGATATGGCTGAGTGAAGTCATTGATCCGGGAGAGAGACAGGACGCGGCACCTGGTGTTTGCATTGGTTTTTCATATTTCAGAAGGGTGGCGAATGAATGAGGCACAAAAGGTTCTGTGACAGAAAATAAGAGAGGAGAACGTCCTCATACAGTGAAAACACTTTCTCCCGGAAGCCTCTGGACACACACACACAAGTTGTTGGGTATTTTTGTAGATTAACCAAGTGAAAGGAACAAAACATCATACTGAAAGATCAGTGCACAATACTTTTATATCATCTTTTAACAGGCACCGCAAAGAGAGTTAGGGAAGGGAAGAAGGAGGAAGCGAGGAGGAGTAGATGATGTTTCGATGAGTCATGAATCAAGTTTATCACATGCCCACACTCTTTCAGTTATTCTCATGGAACTAAACAATGAAGATGACTCTAATGTAATACCATCGCACAAATGTTCATCGCATTAATCCAGTGAGCTTAGGTAGACGTGTCAGAACTTCCACCAGGTCGATCGGGGTTGTAGTTCCTGGAGTGGTTGAAAATCCACTAACTGACCACCCATAAGTTTGGATTTCCTGTTTGTAAGTTATGCTGAGCTAACTGTCTCCTGGCAGTCTTCTAATATAAGGAGTATAATATACACGCATGTAAACATACAGTCTATTGTTTACATCAGAGGTCTTCAACAGCGGGTCCGCTGTTTTTTTTTTTTTTCAACCAATTTTTTCTATGTCTTCAGAATCAGAATTGTATTTAATGTCTTTAAATACACACTAACATGAACGCATTTATGCTCACGTCTAAAGAGCGGGAAGCTCAAAAATAAAAGATGGAGGACCAAACTCCGTAGAATAGGGGGCCCTGCTCCATCTCGCCATCAGTTCGGGGGTCCTTGGCCTGAAAAACGTTGAAGACCGCTGGTTTACATCATTCTGGTCTGCTCTTCTGCCCACAGGTACACGGGCCGAAGTGGGCAGCCGACGGGTTTGTGGCCCTCGAGGTTTTCAGTGGAGGAGCCGCAGGAGAACGGGTTAGAGAACGGCTTCAGTGATCCTGCAATTACTCCGGATGAACCCAAGTCTGAACCCCTGCCTGAAATCCCTTCACTCCTCCCAGCATGCATACTGCACAGACAGCAAAGCCTTGTGATACTCACAGGTAACAAACACACACACACACACACACACAGACTCTTACTGCAGTCATATGTTGATCTATGATTTGTCATTAATGTCTTCTCGCAGGGCCAGAAAAAGATAAAGACCTGCCAATCTCCACTGTGAAGACTCAGGAGATCCTTCAGGGCAATGTGGTGCGAGAGAGTGCTGAGGGTCACGGCACCATTGAGTAAGTATTGATCCCCCCCCTCCCCCATTTACTTGTAGTCAGCGGCTTTCGCTCAGTCCGACATTTTGGTTGGCAGTTTGGTGTAGCGAGCACTAACAGCATCACTTCAGAGAGTCCTGCACTACATTGACCAGATAAAGGCCTCTTTGACTGCTAACAACGTAGCTCCTTGCGTGCTTAATCTCCTGGGGCCTTTGCACCTCTCAGGCTTTGACTCAGTCATGTTTTAATGACTTCTTCGTGTTATGATTACACAACCACACATGTCATCCCCGCCCCGGCGACGTCTGGTCGAGCAGACTCGATGTTCAGGCTCTTAAGAGAATAATCAGTACACGTTCAACAAGTTGCGAGGCATCAAGCGTTTAGTTGGCCGCACAGGTTCCCATGAGTTCATTATGGTGCTGCATGGGAATGTTCCTCCTTTAATGGCTTGTGTTTGATGTGGAGATACTGGCGCGGCGTGGAATCTCCAGGGCGTGGCACCTGCTATTGTTGGTTAGACAGGGGCGGAATTCTTTGGTTATGCTTCAGGTGTAACGACCTACACGCACATTTTTTTAAAAGCGGCACATTATATGATAAGAGAGCTACACGCATGCACAGCCAGCCCAGCCAGAATATTTACTTTGTCTGTGAGCAGTGGTCCACAGTAAAAGTCTGCCTGTCACTTGATTGATTATTAACTGATAGCAACCGACACCTGGATGTTCCGTGACTCTTTATCCTCGTCATTTCCACCCGACAGGATGCATTGCCTCGAAAATACTGCCTCTAGTTCTCGATGCCTTTAAATGAATAAGTTGGACTACTACTTTGTAAAGGTAATACATCCAGTCATCTACATCCGTATCGAAGGAACCAGTGAACCAGCTGAATGTTTCCCAAACCAATAAAACTACCTCACAAAAAACGCACAAAGTGCATGTCATAGACGCTGTTCCCACCACAGCCGTAGTCAAAAGCTGTGATGTCAAAGGATCTGAGATCCACGATGCTACACAATCTTTTCACTCGCGGATGTCTCTTAGCTCACTGAAAAAGCATCCGCAGGTAAATTGTACCCGAGTGTGTGTGTGTGTGTGTTCATACAGAAAAACGTGCTACGCACTTACCGAGTAAAATGTTTACCCCTTAACCGCATTGTGGTGTAATTGTGGTGTGCTGCTATATAAATGTGTTATCTTGGCTCACTTTCTCTTCACTCATAGACCTTTGTTCCAGTCGTTCTCAGCAAACACACGCAGATGACCCCACTGTCTGCCACGATGCAGCTAGCTGTTGAGCACGCTGGAATATTTAGCTGCTACAGAGACAGATATTTTTCTACGGGTGAAACTAGAGAGAATGCTGAACTTAAATTCATCCTGTGGAGAGAGACGCCAAATAAATTTGAATGTCTGCTGAATGTCCAAATAGGTAACTGTTTAGCAACAAGCATGTAATAAAATGTTAAAGTTGAGTTTAAAGCGTGTCGCAATGCCCCTCAGTGGCCTAAATTAGTCCTATAAGGCCCCAGGAAACATCTCCCACATTCATTACCCAAGTTATGAGGGGTTTTTGGTGCCTTTGTTGAAGTCTCTTACCGTTCTTCTTCTATAAACCCATCAAATCTACGGCACCTATTCTCAAACCCAAACTAAAGTGTTCTCTCTCACTGCCCCCTGGTGTTCCTGTGCAACCAGGTGCGTTAAACATGAATAAATGAATGAGTGAAAGGATTTTAAAATAGCTTTAGGACTTTTGTTGACAAACTATTTCTGCGTATCATACACTACAAATGTTCCACCCGAGCATGGGCTATTATTGCCGCAGCCTCTAACCCGTCTCCTTCCAGGACTGAGAAGATTGACGCGGTGATAAAGCAGTGGGAGGGCTCCTTCTTCAGAGGGAATCCTAAGCTGCGGAAGAAGTCGGTGTCACTGCGCTTCGATCTGCACATGGCTGCAGCGGACGAGGGGGGGAACCGGACCGAACGGAACAGCCTCCCCGACGTGGAGGTGCGTCTGATTATGACGAGATCTCGCAGCATCCCAACTATCCCACAGTGACTCTAACTGCCATTGCAGTGGTTTGCAGAACCCATGAAGATGAAGTTACAGAAATAACATCTGGATCATTGACTTCTGGGGTATTACCATCGATAGCCACTGCACTGAATATGTTTTTTCTTTCAATCACAACTTTCATTGAGCTGAAATTTCTCTCATCAAATCTGGACTTTGGCACCATAAGTATTACCCATTACTATGAGTTTATACTTTCAGAAAACTAAGCAAATTCAACTGACATCCATTACCTTACAGTAAACATATTTCTTTTCATCATCATTGGATGAAGAAAAGTGTCTCTGACTACCGTCATTATTTCTGTATGAGGTATGAGGTTTAGACTAAAGAGATTAAACCATATGACTCTGTTTAACTTATTCTAATCAACGCTTAGGTTCACAGGTAGATGGAGGTAGATGGAGATAACTATGAACTGCTGTGAACTATCAAAAAGTGGATTTTTAGCATTCTTTTTAGCAAGGGGAGAGTTCTGTACCAAAAAGGAAATTACTGTTTTTTTTTAGTAATCGAACATTATCTCTTTATGATTCTGCTATCACATTGCAAAAGCAGATCCAATATTCACCATAATCTGCATCTCAACACAGCTTCCGTAAACATAAAGTGAAAGGTGTTTATTTCATCTTTAGTGTAGTTCTGTTATTGGCCATATGTTTGAATAAGAAAATCCTATATTATTTGTGTGCTTCTATTAAGTTATAATGGCAAATGTATTTGGAATAGAGCTGTCTTACTTTAACATTGCAATGTTTTCTTAGTCGAAGGATGCCTGAAGAGGATCATGCTTTTTAAAAGGTGAAAATAATGTACCGCCCACCCCGCTAATTATTTTTCTATAGTCCCTAAATGCTTGCACTGCAGACACTTGCAGCAGAATGTCAGCACTGACAGATGATAGCCTGATTGTGTGTATATTGAGCTTTATTTTACGATGCATTATTGAGAAAAAATCGAAATCAACAGCGACGCAGCTCACTGTGATTTTACAGCACCGAGGCTCTTAATGCTCAACGTGGGTCTCAGAGAACCTGCCTCAGCCACAGGAGGGCAGTATTTGTAAAGAGATAACTATTCAGTAAACGCTCCACTCAAGATGTTTAGATCAGTTGCACCTTAGATTAAGAGATTTTATGCTAAATTTTGAGTTGCACTAAAAATAGTAAAAAGAAAAGGACTATAGTGCATTGCATTTGAGTGCCTTCGAAGGTATCATATATAAAGGTTTTATCTATGCAGTTCTGTGCTTAATTTTGCTTTTTGCTTCATGACGCACACTTCATTTTTGAAGATCTGTAACTTCAGAATGAGGAAATCATGCTTTTATCTAAAACTTTGATTAAATAAAAATGAGTAAATAAAAGAAATTGTTTTCTGTTGATTGTTTATCATCTTAATTTAAGTTTCACCACTAGAAGACGCAACGTGGTAAACGATCATTTTATCCATTTTGTTTACTTTACTTTACTTTTAAGATGACGGTAAGGAAGAGATACATCTTTCACACTTGGATTGGTTTTACATGTTTATTTGACATAACATAAAACAACATGAATATAGAATAACTTGTTTACAGTGCTGTATAGTAAATACATTTTAAACAATACAACTAGGGTGTATGTAACTTGAAATGAAAGGACGTCTATTAACGAAACCTTAGAAATTCCTCACCACTATAAATAGATTACAAAGGTGCAGAAATAACCTCGTATTGCACAAATCAATTAATTTACCATAACCTAACCTCCAGGTAAGTAGTAGTTTGAAGCGTTTTCATTAAAAAAATAAAACATTTTACATTGAAATATTTTTCGCGAGCTTCATATATCAAGATTTGGTAAAATATTGTGGAATGTTTTAACATATTTACAAACTAGCTGGAGATTATCATAAAAGCAGCAGTGCGTCATATAATTACAATAATGTATTGCTGGTTCCCTGTTGATTACGTCCTTGCTTGACGGCTTGTCTTGTGCAGTATATCTCCACATGTATCTACATCTCTCTTTTAAATATTATTAATCGTGGGACCATGAGACGAGTCGAGATCGTCTAAGGCGCTTCGAAATCCAATTTCGGTGGTATTGTGATCTGGTAGAAACAGTCTTACTCGATGAAGAGACTTTCAAAGACCACCACAATGCACACTGAGAAAAGTACAGTGTAACACAGTCAGTGTAGGTAAGGTCATCATGTTGTCTCAGTCCTCGTGTTTTTAAGGCTTTGCTGTAGCAGCCTGAATGATCTCAATCGTTTTGTTGCAAGACTGCAGAGGGTCATATTCTGCAAAGACGTGGCAAACATTCTCCACGCCGACCTCCACGCCTTTTGCTACGAAGCCAAACATCCTGTCAGGAGGAAGAAACAATCAACTGGAAGTTCTAGAGCAAGTGTTTTCTTAAGTGGCAATAGAAAACCTTTTAACTCCCCCATAGTTTCTCAATGGTAATACTGTTGGTGCAAAGGTTACTTTTTTGTTTCCCTTTGTGGCTTGTACAAGCAACCAACTCAGAACATCAGAAAAACAGATATATTGTATACTCACATATAATATATTCTAATGATTTCCAATGCTACTAACAGTTTTTCTACCAACCACAACCTCTCGTCGTGCACAGGAAGTATCTCAACCCCGACCAATAAGCATGTGAGCTGATGCCAACCGGCGGTTTCCACAAAAAGTATGTACGTAAAAAGTATGTAGAAAAGTTAAATACAGAAAAATATTTTTCTGACTTTTTAAAGCATTTAAAGTTCAAATTTACCTTGCACCAGAACTCGAGCCTTTCAACCACCTGTAAGAGTAGAAAAAGAAAGTTTCAGATTAAAATATGTCAGCATAAATCTTTTGTTTATGAAATGTATTATGTGTTATAAAAATAACGATATTTCAATGTCGTGGCAGAAGAAGAACCGGTAATATTAATGAATCCTTTATTAGGGTGTGCCAGTTCAAGCCCTGGTATTGTGATGAATGTAATGAATGAAATGAATGTGACATTTTAGGGTATCTTTTATTTATATATATTTTTTTTCGACTCACCGTCGATCGTCTGGATCTTCACCACTGTAGCTAAGCAGGTGAGCAGGGTAATGGCGTCTGAAGAAGAGTCTGGGAAGAAATGAATACAGCTATTAGATTTGATCAGTATTAATAAAAAGTTGCATGCAAACAACCATGGTTTTGTTGTGTACTGTAAAAAGAAAAGTAAAATCCAGGCAGCAGGATAACAGGATGTGTGTTGTCTTACTTCCTGTTGATATCTGTCAGTGTGACGCCCTTCAAAGACACCTTCATGTTGACTATGATCGGTGTGAAGGAACCGGGGGCCTTCTCCAGTGTAGAGCACACCGCTTTCTGCACTGCACAGGGGCCCGTCAGCATCTCAGTGGGGACAGCATTCAGGTAGACAAAGTTACAAGCTATGGAAGGGGCAAACATTTTGGAGTTAGAGGGGAAGGGGGATTAATGATGCATGTAGTACATTTAAGTTAGTAAAACTCCCTCCAGGGTTGTAGATTCAATTAGCATCTCTCGAAAAATACATAGATTTACATACATACATAGCTATTTTCCTTATTTGTGTGGCTTACAGGAGACACGGTATCCTTTGGAACTATACTGAGAAAAGTCTGCTTGGGCCAATGTACAGGTTTATTCTCAACTAATCCACAGCCAATTTCTTAATAGCAGGTAACGCTGCAGCGTTATGAACAATAACACAAATTGTCTACTCAAGATTCTGGTAAACCACATCAACCATACGAACTCTAGCTTGGTAGTGGCACACCTTAAAGGAGAGCAGCCTCCATTAGTTAGGGATTAGTAACACCTGTGTGAGCTCCTTCCTGTTACACAATGGCGCTGATAAGGGCCCAAACAACCGAGCCTCTGTTTTTTTGTCAGCTAGCTCAACCCTCTGAGGTCTTTTGGGCTCCTTTCATCTGTTTTGTTCATTTTAGTAGTTTCAAGACAACTTAAGTTGTTATAACGTTACTAAAATGTTGTTACCTTTCATCGAAGAGTTTCTAAAAAGCGTCAGAGGATTTCTAAAGACAAACTGTGACCTCTGACACTGTTATTTAACATTAGCAACGGTTAGCTTTTAGTTAACTTAAGCTGTCTTCCACAAGCTTGCGTTACTGTCAGCATCCCCTTCAAAACATTCCTATTTGACCACAGAGGGTAAGTTGTATTTGTTCATTTAATGCCTTGTGTTACTGTAATGTGTTGTTCATTTGTATCCTATCCATAATCCCACTGACATCAGCAGTTTGATGACGTTTTCAAGTTTTCCTGTGTAACGTTATGTTTCTTTTTCTAACGGTTACTTATATTTAGTTTGCTCCTAGTTAAGTGTCTTTGTATAAGCAATACTTGGGAGACAACTGTAAACAAGTTCATGTAGGCAATTTGTGTTTATATTCTTTAGTATTTATTGATTCGTCCCACCTGTTTTACTCTCGTCCTCTGATGCTGGTTTGTGATTCGTGCTCTCCTCTGCTGCAACCAGATCTGTGTATGCAAAGATATACAGGTTTACATGTATCTACACACACACACATGCACACACACACACACACACACACACACACACACACACACACACACACACACACACACCTCCTGTGTCTCGTAATAATGGCCTACCTCTGGAGTGGATCAGTAATTTGCAGGGCAAAGCATAAGCACACATAGTATGCTGGTAGACCAGGGCAGAGAGACTACCTGAAAAGATGACACACAAGCACAGCTTTGGTTAAGGTAGAGTTCCGTGGAGAAATTCAGACAAAAAATTGTCACTGGCATTCTTTTTGTCGTGATATACAAACTTTTAAGATAGAATTGAAAACAAACTTGTGTATCAAATTGCAGCGTGGTGGTTTTACACATCAAGAACTGATAGATTTCACACGAAAAGATAAAATTCAGCGGCAGCAGATGAGAAGGAAAGCCCTGATAATAGCTCTGTGGTTCTGGGAATACGCCCTGTAAAATCATACTGAATAAAGAAAAGAAAAGGTTCCACCCACATCTTAAAAGGCCCGACAGGGCTGACTCATTGCTGGTGAGCCAAACATCATCATCATCATCAGACCAGGGTGTGTACTAATGTTGAGCAGGCGAGAGCATTTCGAGTGAGTTGAATAGGTAGTTCCCTTTTTAGATCTTATTCAACAAAGTTATCTTCTAGTTGACCTTTACCTACCAAAGTATGGTTCCTGAGAAGAGCCTTTGATGCGTACGCCCTTAGCCGATGATTCAATAAGGAAGTTTCTGATGAGATCTGAGCCGCTCTCTCCTGTTTCGATGAAAAGACATATTTTCAGAAAATAATTTGCATGCAGTTAGTGGAGTTAATGATCATTACATCAAATGTAGACATATAAGTTTTGGCACTACTTATTTCATGGCTTTCAGGTGGTCCATTTAAAAGATGACATTTTCAGTATTTTTACATGTTGATTGATAGTATCTTACGCAGCATCAGGTCCTCCCCAAATGGGCTTATAAGACTCTGGAGAGCAACAAGATGATCCCACCTCCAACTTATTAAAAAGCCAACGGATCACATTGGCTTCAGACAACCAAATCAGACAGTAGATTCTGTTGGTTTACTATACATGGGAACATCTAAATCCTCTTTATGAATACCAACATCACAAAGATGAACATGGCTCCTCAGGAATGCCTCTATACCGGTCGACTTCATCTGCCAGGGTTAGGGTAGCACAAGCTGCTGGCACTTTTAGATTATATATTTAATATGTGGTCCTGTCATGTTTCTAAGTTTGCACTTAGAAACCGATCATGTTGTTCATCAGCCCTCCCATTATGTCATTGAGTTATCTCCGCCTCAGTTGGCGCCTTCGCGTAGAAATTATATTTTTCTGGCTGGATCCTTTAACGCAATATCCCAGGAATGCCTAAATGGAAATTCTTAAAAATTCAAAATGTTCTCAGGGATGAACTAATTTGTTTGGTGACTGTGACCACAAAGAAAGGGAGGATGCTTTCAACCTGATATGCTGATGTTGACAGTTTATTGACTTAAACTGCAACATGACTGGTTTGGCGGAGGCATAAAACCGCGAGGTGGTAATTCTGGTTTTCTCGCTGATTGCTTCGAGTGCCATAATCAGCGCGTTAACGTTTGTGTTTACGCAGCGTGTGCTGTGGGTGGAAAACGTAACGGCACTGTCTTCTGCCTCGTCGCGGATTCCTGGAGGTCCTCAGACATTCCCATTCCCATCAGCACAGTTGGGTAAGTGATCCCTTGTGCCTTCCCGGCCTCTGTTGTAGACATATGACCAAAGCTGCACTATGGTACACCATGTTCACGACGACAATTGTCTGTGATTCTGGGAGTTGAGGCACTCGTGACCTTATCTTTGCTGCAACTGACCAAACAGTCACTTTTATAAAAAATAATAATAATAACAATTTGATTAAAAAGTAGCCATAACAATTATGATTGTCTATTTGGAACACCTGTAAATTCTTATGTGTATGAGTTGATCTTGTTGCCAAATGAGATTCATGACTGTGGATTTATAAAGCTTTGTAGTCTAATAAGGGAAAGCCCATGCAGTGTCAGTAAATGTTTACCTGGGTAGGTGGTAGCGGTGAAGTTGGTGTCCGTTTGTTTCACCTTCATAGCCAGACCGAAACTGCCTCTGTGGGACGTGCTGTCCCTCACAACAAATGCTCCTGCTTCCTTGTCTTTTACCAGAGCTTCAGCTGGAATACATGAAACATCACAGAAAAATGCCTTGAGGCGGTGGTAGATGTTTGTATCTGTACTGCGAATGAGTCCTACATCCCTGCAGTGACAAAATGGTATTGGTCCTGCAAGAAAACCCTTGAGCTAGTCCGTCATCATAGTTATTGCTTTAGCAATGTTTTGAGGTTCTCACCTTCTGCTCTGTTGATATGCGGCCGGAACCAAAACTTTGAAGTGTCCATGACGAACTTCATTGAGGGCTGGCTGCCGTTAAAACGGCCTTGGAAACCTTAACAACCATAAAAAATATGACAGGGAGGTCAAATACTGTTTTTAAATGAGATAGCTGGCCGTGAAATAGAAGACTTTGAGGCGTGCGACTCACTTTGAGGAGAAATGGGCTTTGAGTTGGACACATTAAGGGCGGTCTGCATTAAGTCAACTTCTGGTCCAGCAGAGTGGGTGTGCAGATCCTGCTGGGGTTCACCGTTGATTAGCAGCACAGGAATACTGCTGAAGGACCCCACATGTGGAGCAGGACATCTCTGTGCTCCTTTCCCTTGACGCTCCTGCAGGTTTCCTTGCTTGTACAGCGGCGGCTTCTCTGGGCTTTGCCTGTTCTCAGATGCTGTACTTCTGGACCTTTCGTTTAAGGAGCCATACGTGGGAGTGTTGATGAACTCTTGAGAGTCAGCGTCCTCACTGGCCAGGGACAGGTTGCTGCGTAGTGAGGAGGACGATGTGTTACAAATGTAAATATCAATGCAAAGTAAAGGTAAACATTTTATTATTGAAGTCACCACATTGTGTCTGTAAATAAATTATTACATTTCCTGTTTCGTCAACTTCTTAATACAGCGCAGTTAAGGTTTTGCTGCACATTTGCAAGTCACCCCATGCCGCAGCAACATATTCATTAGTTACACTGTTTTTGAGTTTGATTCTCACCTGCCAAGGATGTAGCTGGTGTCTGAGCATGTTGACATGGAGAGAAGGGAGACGGCGCTGTTTCTGTTGGAGTGTGACAGGCGCAAGGATCCTTGTGCAAAGGCTGCATCATGTTTTGGTGAAGGATGCCGTCGGGCCCCCACTGCCGCACGGCAGCGGAGGCAGGGAGGACGTAGGTGAGCTGGAGAACACCAGTGAGCCATGGGGACTGCAGCTGGCACGGCTGGATCTAGGGATCGGTATGCTGGGGGACACGGATGGGACCGCGGCAGGCCGGGAGCAGGGAGAACATCCCCTAGCGACCAATACGCAATGGGAGACGTCCTCATCGGAGTCATCTGGGAATGGAGAGTAAAGTGTTAAAACTCTGGAACAGGCAGGAAGAACCCTGCACGTTGTCTGGTTTTGAGCCAGCAAAAGGGTCGCATTTCTCCTGCAGGTACTTGCTTGCACAACTCGCGTCACTCCTTCAAAAATATGTGCTTTGCATACTGCATGTTTGCTGTAGCAATGATACAAAGTCACCTTGTGGAGTCCCAACTTGTTCTAGGGGGTCTGCCTGCCCTACAGTGTTGATTAGCACGGAGTGAGTTCATTTTATGAGGAAGACACTGAAGCCGGTGAGCAATGTGTAACTGGTAGCCTCAGCAATCACTTTCATAATAATGACTAATTAGCTCAATGTGTCTAGACTACAGGCGGGTGCCGTATTGAGTATTGTTTTAAGGTGAAATACTGTGTTTTGCATTGATGGGAAAAACTGAGCATATTCACTTTCGGTTTTAACTGTTTTAACTGTTTTCTGCTTTCTGTTGCTTGATTTCCTTTTATTTTGAGCACTCTGACTCGTAAACATGTCACCAAACATCTTTCAACACAAGATGAGCAACAGGAAATCCATTTATATGCTTTGCTGTCTCTTGTGCGCACTTTCTCATCAAAGCAGGTCTAAGTGAAGACACCGCTCAGCCTGACTCTACTTCACTGGGCTTTTCTGTGTCTGCAGCCCAACATCTGCAGGGTGTGGTACTAGTCTGGGCACCAATTAAAACAATTTAAAGCATTGCAAAAGGTACATTTACAAATTCACATCCTACGGGTGTTTTTGTTCCGTATGCGTGACTGGGGTTTATCGTACTCTTTGTCCCAGCCGAGTAGGTTGGAGGAGTTATTTCTGTCATTCTGTTGACCGTGTTTTAATAATAGTTACCCTAAATGTTTGAAAAGCGTAGAAACAAAGGGATGTCATACAGTTACACTGTACCTGTAGGCGGGCTCATGCACAAAGGACTATGGTTGCCCGCAATGGGTTCAAATGTCGGATCCAGTTCCAGGATGAGCTGGTTGAGATTACTCAGGGAAATATCAAGATCAGAGTCACCATGGCTACCGTTTGGTTCCGTGAGACTGGCGTGCCGATGGACTGTCTCCTGTGGCCCTGAGTCCAGACGGATAGTTTGACCCACTCTCAGGATGTGATTGGGTATCATTTGGGACATGCCTCGAGCTGTAGGCATCATGTTAGGAGAGCTCAGTCTTTTGGGACCACTGCTGAAACAGATACAATGCAGAGCGATCGGTTACACCGTCCTCACAGGAAGGATATGCCCGCGTTTTTGCTTTTTGCAAAACCCACCCTTCAAAGCCACGGCGTCAGCCACATCATACTGTAAACTCTGGCTGAGATGAATACGACTGACTATCCCAGATGTAGGGACCAAATACAAGCTGAAACAGCAGCTTGTAGTTCTTCCTTACGTTGAACTACTTAAAATCAGCAAGTGATGCGGATAGAAGCAGGAGGCACAGCAGGTTTTGCGGCTGCAAACTAATGAGATTATTCAGTCAGTCTATTTAGGTTTACCAGCAACACTGATTAGACTACCACATAAAAGGTAACAGAGTTTCCCTCGGTGGGAAAATAACTTAACAGTGGTAAATGATTAGTGACCCGCAGGCCATAAGTGAGTGCACGCAGCCCAAGGTGTTTCATGTTTCTCAACCCATCCAGAAAACAATACGGTGAATAATGACACAAGCTGAGTAAATGTGTCAATTCAATGCTGATATCTGCATGAATAGCTGTTCAGGAAGGGCGTGTCGTATGAGGGATGATCAGATCATAATGTGTCTCCCTCAGACGAGGAGTGGTGCTCAGTGAGTCACACAGGTGACTCTGGGTTACCGTGGCTACATTAGTGTTTTCCTTAAACAGTGAAAACATTCAACAAGTCTACAGACAGAAATATGCTTGTCTTATGGAAAAGTATCATAATTTAACAACTTTAAGAAGCACCCACTTAGTTTTGCAATTCCTCACCTTCTTCAATAACAGCGTGTCGTGAAATATGAGCTGTAATGCAACTTCTGAGTTATTCAGGAGTATTTAGTTTTGGTGAACAAGAGCGTACACGTGGAGGCATCTTAATTAGCTCTACAATAGTGTGTTATGTGTCTGCAGTAATAATAATTCCATAAACATAAAGCAACATAAAACAGAGTTTAACTGCAACTGATAAAATATCTTAAGATTGAGGTAAAGAATGGTCTGCTTACCTTTTTATTTACTTCTAGTTGAGATTTTATTGATGCAATGTTTTCCTCCTGGGCCGTTCACTGGATTACCTAACATTTTGTGAGTTGCATGCTTTTGTTAATGGAATCCAAACCCTTTTTTTCCTGTGAGCCTATCAGCTGTGAGGATAACTAATCCATGTGGCTCAGGCGGATGATGTCACTGCAGCAGTGTAAAGTTTATGCCTGTGGGCTTTCTTTTTTTACTACTTTATCTGTACTGAAGTGCTTCAAAAGAGTTTTGTTTCCACCCTGGCATGAGGAGCCTTTAGTGGCCATGGAGTGTTTGCAGAGAATGTGTGTCGTAGGAATTGTTAAAACATGCACAAGTTGAATGTGTGCTGCATTACTGTCAGTCATCAATTTAGACATTTTACAAAGCCAGTGTGGCAACGAGTTCATTAGTACTGCTGAGTATTTAGATTTTAATCAACGTGTGAAGGGAAACATGCTATAAACTCAAGCTGCACCTGTAAAGTAGACCATAGATATTAAGTGTATAAAATATAATTTGACTTAGTCATCCTGCGCACTCTTCATTCTGGTGTGTTTAACAGTACATGGTTATTTGTTTTAATATAGCTTGATTAAGTAAAGTAAAGTCTACTGTGGGGTTTCCTGCCTTCCTTAACCTTTAAGTTGAGTCATCTCTGGATGAATCACGATGTCTGGTGTGTAAAAGACTTGAAGAAGCTGCATTTTCCATTCATTTTCCTTGAAGCAAACTAAAATCTGTGTTTCTTTTTGCTGTAGCCACTCAGACCTCCCACCCCCACCCACCCCCCACCCCCTGTGTCAGGTTCTGTTGCTGCCATTACATCAGCTGTGGGCCCTTAGCTGGATAAATCCATTCCATCTCCAGTACCTGCCAACCGCTCTAATGTAACCTCCTGTTGGCATGATGGCATGAAGGCCTTTTCCTCTTTCCTCCGACTTTTGACTTAATTCAATAAAGAAACGATAGAAACGTAAACTGACACAATTACAGGCAGAAGCCACACGAGAAGATTACAAGGTCTCCGGGTTTCGGAAGTCTGGCGGAATTTAGCATGACTGCCTCTGAAGTTTGATACAACATCCGTGCAAGGAGTTGGGATCCCTGCCTGAAGAGTGATTTAAAAACTGCCCGTCCAAATAAAAATCAATGACATGCATTCTCAGTAGTACATGTTCCTGGCCCGGACAAAAGGGCCGCACACAACGGGCACGACAGAAGTATAAATCATTACGGTCTGTTGAGAAACGTTGTTTCCCAACGAGGTTCTGCCAGGAAACCTTTGTGGTGTTTCATAACACTAATAGGAATTCTAAGCTTAAGAGGAGGTACAGACACTGCAAAGTGGGCGGGATGCATCAAATATTTGGCAGAACAAGAGTCTGGGCAGATCACCTGCGTTAGCTAATCGTCCAAGTCTATGTCTGAATTCACTCATATCATTTTGTTTTGTTGTTCACTTTCTTCAAAAGTAAAACTACCACACCTAACCAGGACGGGGTCTTATGTGTCTACTTATGCATAGAACCCTTGATCAAAGTCTAAGAAAGGTTTTGACAAGAACAATGGAATTATTTTCTACCAAGTATTGTTTTCCTTTTGATAGCAAATCCCTTAATAAAATGCTAAATGCTAGGAAACATTTTTCCTATATTTTATCAACTTTCCTTAGGATGAGTTAATGTATTATTTACAGTATTACAAGTAGCTTAGAATACAGGAAAGAAAGACAATGTGCTTTGTTCAGTTTATTGAACATAGTTTTCATGATTTTGTGAATTTCTTGAAATACTGTTATGTACAGATAAAAAAATAACCGTTTTTTGTCCCAACTGAACAAAATGCAGTAAAAAAGAGAAAAAAAATAAAACCTTAAAATTGTCATTTAACCTCTGCTATGTACATGTTACATATGTCTTGGGTTTCAGGTGAGACATTTGTCATCGCGTTCAATCGTCCTTTGTGGGGTCTGCGCTTGTGAATGGGATGTTTCTCCTACTGAAGCAGCGTTAAGGAGAGAATGTGGTGGTGGTGTCCGTGTCGGTGGCCCCTGAGCTCCTCCTCCTGCCCCCGCTGAACTTGATGAAACAGTCGTGGTTCATGCAGCCCAAGTCCTTCATGAGCTTGAGGAGGTCATGGCGGAACTTGACACCAATGAAGGCGTAGACGAAGGGGTTCAGGCAGCACCTCAGGAATGCCACGCACTGGGCGACATCGCTGACGTAGAGGAAAGTGTTCTGGTAGTAGCAGTCTTCGCTTCTTCCTTGTGCTATGACGACCGTGTTCAGGAGCAGGAGCAGGTTGTAGGGCATCTGGCAGACCAGGAAGACGGCCGCCACGGCGAGGATCACCTTGATGGCCTTGTTGCGTTCGAAGCCGCGAGCCTGGAACAGGGTTTGGACAATCCTGCTGTAACAGATGCTCATGACCAGGAGCGGGAGAGCAAAAGCCAAAGCGATCTGGCTGGCCTCTATTTTGACGTGGAGCATGTCAGAGTAGCTGCTGTAAGGCGTGCAGGTGTTGTTAATGATTGCGGTGTAGGTCATTTCTGGTATGGAGAAGATCAGTGCCATCAACCAGATGCCGACTGATGACACCTTGCTGAGAAACAGTGCTCGGGAGCGGTAGCGGTGAGCGGAGATGGCCTTGGCGATGACAAAGTAGCGTTCCACGCTGATGAAAGCGAGAACAAACATGCTGCCGTATAAGCTGACCTTGTAAATTGTGTACATTGCTTTGCACATGGTCAGACCCAGCCTCCATTTTGTGGTGGAGTTGTATGCCCAAAAGGGCAGCGACAGAGCGAAGAGCAGGTCCGCAAAGGACAAGTTGAGCAGGTACACGTCCGTCATGGTCTTCAGGCGCTTGAAGTAGAAGAAGGTGAGGATGACGAGCAGGTTCCCCGCCAGCCCGAGAAGGCAGATGATAATGTAGAAGGGCAGCATGAAGCAGCTGCGGAACTGGCCGTTGGATGTTGTAACACAGAGCTCAGGAAAGTCACTGTAGTCCAGACTGGCGGAGTAATTGTAGTCGGTTGTATTGAATTCAGGGTAACACATGGAACACTGAAACCAAAGTGAGATTCAATGATCAGATAAAAGCAGGTTAAGAAGAGCAATTGACAACCTGTTTTTAGTGGCGTTTAACCACTTCATTTGAAAGGGTGCGTGAGAGGAGAGGGATGTGGTTAGTCACCTGGTGCCTATTCTCAGCAAATACCATGTAGATACAAATTGCTTCAAACATCGTGTGATCTGTCATGTCCATAACTCTAATAAGATTATGCTTCACTTGGGATTTAATTTTACCTTGAAAGTGATAAACCATATCAGCACAGCTGGCAGAAGGTGTGGGAGATCTGAAAAAAACAAATTAATTCCCTTTTTAGAAGACCAAGCACTGTAATATCATGATTACCAACATCCTTAGTGAGCTGTCTAGACAACCAGTATGTGTAATGATGGTGAGTAATAGAATGAGTCCCTGAAGAGGTCAACTATGGCAAGGTATGTACAGACCGATTTACAAAAGAAGGTTCACCAAAACCAAAGACATCTGAACTGCAGCAATGCCACAATGCTACACTAGCCCTTAACACAACTAGTAGCATTTCTCCATTCACCTGCCTGGTACATACAGCCATGTGCACCCATGTAACCCAGACCTGCCGTTGTCACACGTGTGTCCGCCAAGACTAAAATGATTATTTACCTAACTAGACGTCACAAAGCGTTCACAAAGGAGTTCTTTTTATCACTGGTATACTGTGGGAAAATAGATGGCGTTCCACTTTTAATAGTTGCCTGCTAGTCCGATTCTCCTGCTCTGAGTCGTGGCGTTGCTCTGCCAATTTTAAGAAGTGACTGTTAATGGGGTTTTAGTCAGTTCTGCATTTTTCTTAAAGCTGTGTTATTATTGTTTACACTGCTGTAAAAGGGGAATTATTACACTTTAATGCAGACATATAACTTGAAAAACAAAATGTTTACAGGTTGAATGTCAGTAATAGTTAATACAAATACGAGGATAAGTATTAAATTATTTAATATGTTCAGTTCTTACTGATTAAAAAACATTCAAAACATTTCTTTGTGGCCTTATTGTTTCAGTCCGTCTGCTCTATTAGTTTACTCATTTACCCATCGCCATGTGAAATGTTAATCCCGGTTGATACAATTTCTATTGGCATTTTAGGTGACCTTTTTTTAGCTTTGAAACATTTTATGATCATTTTGATCCCTTGTTTTTACATGTATGCCTTCACTAGAGTAAGTACAACATACTTTTGACTATCTTAGTTAAACCGTAATAAGGTACTCACCGCTGACACACGTCATGTTGACTGAGAGAGGCCCGCTGCAGTCAAAGCCAGCGAGCACGACGAGCTGATGTCTGCGTTTGATGGTGGTTTCCCTTTTGTTGAAATGAAAAAAAAAAAAAAAAGTCTCCTCAGCCCTGAAGTATCATGTGAGAAAACCACAGACTACAATCAAAATGTGAACCAAAATCTATACCAATTGTTAAAATAAAATGTTGAAGACAATGTGCACACGTTATCCACATGAATGAAACACAAGCACCACTTGTGTGAATTTGCATGGATTTTTTTTTTTTGTCTTTTGGAGGTGTCTACACGGGTATGACGGAGACCCTGGTTTTGTTTTTACTAATTGTGGGTCTGCGTGTATCTTTATCTGAGTAGGGTCACAGTCCTCTGAAGCTCAGCATGGCGCTACATTCTTATCTTGACTTGCTTACTATAGAAGTTCGTGCTTGTGTCTATGTGGTCTTATTCTGGAGAAATACAATGATTACCAAGATAGAACAGTTTGTCTTTTCTTAAATGGTGTACATTTATTTCCTTTTCACTTCTGTATCTAACAGTGTCAAGTCAATATTTATTTCAGTGTTTGTACCAATACAATCTTCTTTTTTTTAAATGCACCAAGGCATATTAACCCAGTTTCAGACATATTTATGGCGTTTCAGTGTGAAAAAAAACCTCCTTAAAATATCAAGTCCTGATACAGTTTTATAAAGTATTTAGCAAAATATAAAAACAGACATTCCTTTTAAAAAGCTTTTCTCAAATACATAATTCTGTTAAAACAGCTGGTACCGCCAACAACCTTTTGCGTCGCATCGACGGTTGTTGTGCCGGACATCACACGAGGCCCACTAGAAGCTCCACTCAGGCTGTTGCACACCTGTATCTCTGCGGTTTGGGTTGCTTGCTTTCACTGCAGGCAGTGGTAACCACACGGAACAAAATGTGGCGAGCGGCAATGCAGGCGCACTGCTGTCACGTTGAGGCTGCAGCATTAGGGAAGTGTGATCATCCAACGAGGGGCTGAGGCCGTAGAAGACATGTCACGTACAGCGTTCCTCCTCTGGGCTCTAAGGCGGCATTTTGTGACAACACAAAAGAGGTTTCGGGACGGCTGCTAGTTCTTTACTGATAACAGGAAATCGGAACCATTCCCTCTCATCTTACCCACTTCCCTTACCTACTCTATGCAAAGGACACACGCTGTGTGAAAGCTGTGCAGGTAGCGTGCACTGGTGACTGTTGGATGCGAGCCTCCGCGTACAGCAACAGTCAAATGTTTGAACACGCTTTCTGAAGAGAAAATGTGTGAAAACTTTTGACTGGTACTACAACGGTTTATCGCATACTTTTAACTTTTATGTATCGGGATTGATTAACGTAGTGTCATCAAAGAATACTGTTTGTTGATTGCTGTCTGTCTGATGATAAAAAGTTGTTAGTAAAAAAAATGAAGTGAGAAGTTGTTCAGGGTAAAAAAGTTTATTGGTATAAATATGCAAAAAGGAAATTCATTGTAAGACTGCATGTTAATGAGTTCTTCAAGCGGTTTCACGACAGAAAAGGCCATGTTTAAGCAAACCTCGTTACACCGTGTACACAATTACAGGACAGAAAATTGCAATATTCTTCATAACACAGATATTTTCTAAGCATACTGCTTTTGATTTGATTGACAGCTAGCAAACTTGAGAACACTGGTAGTCAGGCATTGTACAGCATTGATGATTATGTGACGTACTCATCGGATGAACTGGGACAACCAAAACACAATTTTAATCAAAATGCTGATAATAAATAACTACTACTGATTACAAACTCCTGAGACAATACTGCCACTGTAATACTGATACGGAAAGTAAAAAACTTTCTCCTGCCAAGGAGACGTCACGCAGCATGGCAAGTATGCCAACTTATTTTTAACATTGCATCATGCAAAAATACCAATCAAAGCGACAAAGGAATTACAATACAAAGGACAAAGTTAAATATAACACTGAACAATGTCTGTTTCATAGGACAGCTATTTTCATATAGCCAGTCTCGACCAGCGACGGTCCGGGGTCTGCTCGACAGAGGGCATTCTCTTTTGAACTAAGTTGATACTGCGCAATGTGTGTTTTTAGAGAGTGATGCTGCAGACCGGCAGAGGTAATGATTTACGGTTGATGATGATGATGATGAGTCAGGAGCAAATATGCAAATATGCCAGACTCAGTGGGCTGCTCTCGCCCTGCCGGGCCCCTCTGGCGGTTCACTAGTCGGGGCCTCTTCTGTCTGAGTCAGCGTGGTCTCTGAGCCTGTGTTACTGTCGCTGGTTCCCTCCTCCATGGCTCCCTCTGGGACGCTCTCCTTGTCCTCTGATGCCCCCTCCTCACCGCCTGGACGAGTCTCAAGCTCGTCTGGAACTTTTGGCTTCCCTGAGTCAAAGAAGCACAAAAGCATGATGTTAAAAACACAGAGCCGTGCTCAGATGGCAGAAGCCCGTAGTGAAAGCCTGCGTGCCACACCTGGTGCATGTGCTGGGTTGGATTCTGCTTCCTCTCCTTCTTTGTTGCTGCTTTCACCTTGAGAGTTTTGCTGGGGCTTGTTCCCATGTGTTGCACAAATGTGTTTTTCTTCTTCTGCCAGCACACAGGTCCGGGCGTCTCTTGCGCCTCTGTCTCCTACGTCTTTATCCCGCTCTGACATTCGTTTGCGAGCTGCCTCCTCTGCTGCAGAAATCTCTGCAGAGATCTTCTCCATGTCCACTTCCACCTTCAGACAGCACAGCTTTAAAGTGCAGCAATTTGGGATTTAATGTAGAATGGTGAAAACAATCGCTACACTCTTTTCACTTTTAAGTATTGGCTAAACATGCATGTGCAGATTGAACACAAAATTACTGTAAAAAGAAAAAATGTAACTGAATGACAACGACGTGTAGGTATATGTTTGAAAACGATTCAATGGCGCCGCCTGCTGTGAACAGTAGAAAGTGCATTTGACTGCTGCATCTCATTCAGAACAAAAGTTATCATCAGCGTGACACATTTTAACCACTACCAGCTATACGATTACAGAACCGCTGCAGCTGGTGGCTGTAAGGCAGATGCACGCTGGCACATAACCACAGCTGCACATTGCATTGCATTGGTAAACAAAATGCAAAGGCATTTGACCAGAACCGTGACGTCAAAGACGGCGTACCCTTTTGAGCTCATTCGTGAACGACTCTGTGGCGTCGAGGAATTTCCTTTTCTTGTCCTGGTGGCGGTCTTCAATCTGAAGCAACTCTGCTTCCAACTTTCTCTGTGACACACACAGTTCTACATGGTTATTACACGATTTAACCATTAGAAACAAAGCTGTCTGTTGATGCCACCATGACATGAAGATTAGAGGGCCACAACTCGATCATACCTGGTGTACCATCAAAGACTGGACCTGGCGCTTAAGGACCTGCATGCGAGCGGTGGTAACGACTGAGCGCACATCTGGGACGACGCTCTCACTAAGAATCTCGCTGATCAGACGGTGGTTGCGTTGGAAACGAGCCGCAGCCGAGTGCTTCATGGAAAACCCGTCGTCGTAATCTGAAGAAATAAAAACCGTTGTATTGTCTGTCAAAAGGCAAAGAGCAGAGATGTGTTACACAGACACCATTCACAAGGACGAGGGGGCTGATGCAAGTACTGCTGTATCACGTGGATGTAAACATGGGGAAAATGTTGCTAATATTTATACACAGATAAGTATAGGCCATTATGCCAGAACCGTTATTGTAAGGCAAATGGGACAAGCAGTTCATTAAAACCCATTGTGACTGTTTAAAAATGTAGTCTGCATTTTCATTAGTCAGCAAATGTTCTTCTTTGTCCTGAATGTATTCCCTACTGACATTTAGGTACAAGGTGATGGTGTAAGAAGAATTACCCTTGTTTACACCTTTGAACACAATAGATATATATAAACTTTGCCGAACCTCTGTGTGATGGAACAAAACTTTCACCCCCTCAACTAGTTCCTGCTGTGTGGGTTTTCAAAGAAAAGTGAATCTCCTCTGCCATGTTGAAAGTTTCAAAGGTGCTCAAGCAGTTTAACATTACAACAGGAAACAGTCAAGTAAATTATTCTGAAGTAATGGAGAATTAAGGTGTTGAACATTCTCTGACAATATTGCACATGACTAATGTTATTTCAGGTATAAGCGGGGCCTCCCAACAGGCAAATATTCTCCAAAAAATACACAAATAATCAACAAATACAGTTGAATTCATGTTGACTGTTGGTTCCACTGCTGGAAGAAAACAACATACAGAGTCCTCCCAAAAACGCAGGATCGACCATCCTTTGCTTTCAAATGTGTGTCTAACCGAACAGCAGAAAGTGATACGTGGCAGCAGCTCCGCGCACAACATCTATAAGACTGTTTATTATTAATAGAGCCCAGTCTCTGAGTATGAAGCCACCCAGAGAGCTAAATCTTATTTCATGCCGTATGTGCAGTCGTTTACCAACATTTTTATGGTTTTGGGTGTTACTGGATAGCAATTGTTTTTATCTGTAGTTTTCCTGTACATCATTATCTTCCACTGTAACCCTGCCAGACCCCAGACAAGCATCATTTCCTTGAGGTGGGTGTAACTCAAACGTTGTCTTCTGGCTTGGGTGTCTATCGTCTATGTGAACGTGTATATGTGCGTGTGTGTGTGTGTGTATGTTTGTGTCAGTCTTAAAAACAACAGACAAAAGAATGTAAATTCTGCAATTATGTCTAAACCAATGTACTGTAAACAACTGTGCAAAATAAAGAATGTTTTTTTCCATTGGCTGCTTGAAAGCAAATATGTCATTTCAAAGGTAGAATGACCAACAATGTGGATGTAGCGGTGGGAGGGGGGGTGAGACAGTGTGTGGGTGTGCGGACTGGCAGCTCTGTGTGGTTGTGTTCCAGTAAATACAGCTCTGTAACATCGCTCTAATCCTTGGGAGACGGAGCATTCAGCGGAGTGGCCTTACCATCTGGATCCTCCGCTGGCTGGATGCTTATGTACGGCTCGCCCTTGTCCAGTCTGGACTGCCTCAGGCGGCTCTCCTCTTCCAGGGCCGCCTCGGCCCGGCTCTTTGCAGTGACGTAGGCCAGGTACGCTGGCGAGTTGTGATAGGCCTTCATGCTCTCATTATACTCAATCTACGGTGGAGAAGATTTAAAAAAAAAAGGAATGATAAAAGGAACCGAGATGGAAAGCAGACACGACGTTTCTATCAACTACGACATGACAGGGAGAGAAGTTTACTGATAAGTGAGGAATCGTGACAGGAGGGAGACACCCATCAGAAAACTGCCCATTGTTAAACAACCAACCTTCTCTGCTTCGTAGTCATTCAAATAATCCTGTTTCTCCTCATCAGTGAGGTCCCTCCACATGCCACCGATTATCTTCCCAATTTCCCATAGCTTCAGATCAGGATTGGAGGCTTTTACTTGATCCCAAACCTGGTGAGGAGAACCAGACATGGGTGTGGAGTTGGGTTGGGTTGGAGGGGCTTTAAGTGGTTATCTCTTTGCAGAGAGGTCACAAACCAGAGGAGGCCGAGTGCTTTAAGCTCCATCTCCAAGTTGAAAAAAAAATCCCACTAAGTGATGCGGCTTTACACTTACCTCAATAAACAGCTATTGGTGTCTGAAACAAAATGTACGTCTTAATTTCTCTGAGCTAATGGAACGTCCTAAGAGCAAAGCATCCCGTCTTCCAACAGAGCAAACCATTTTGCAAAATGCAGCAATTGCACACTGTGTACTTACCTTACGGCTATATCTCATGTATGGCATCAATGGCTTATCGGGTGGCTTTGGCGGCTTCGGAATATTTATTCCAGAGGAATTCTGGCAAGTGAAGAAAAAAAAGTCACCTTAAGGCACTTTTGTTGGATAAGGCAACTTTTGAAACCATCTTGACTAGGCTGAGGACATTGCATGAGACTTTGTGCAGGTGCATGTTATGCAATAAGCAATAGCTAGATTGTTGTACCAATTAAATTATCCTGATTTGATACAATGACAGTTTGAGGCCATACACAAGTCAGGAACCCTACTGAGTGCAACATAATAGCGCTGACTGTGAAAGAAAAATACAAAAGCCCAATTTAAGCGGAGCTTTGCCCATAGTGCCATTATTAGTCAACCAACCACAGCTTGCATCCAGCAAATTAGACTCTAGATCCATGCATTAAGTCTGTAATGCCATGACAACACTGGTGGCATGGATTACTTTACATGGCTGTCAGAAATATAGAGGGAGGTGTAATTTGAATACACACTGTGGTGCAGACAGCAGAGGCGGTTCAGAGTGACGCCCACAACGTTTTCATTCTGAGTAAGTGACTAAGGCTTCTCATACTGAATTCTTTGCAGCATCCGATCTTTTAACAGTGGCAAGTGTCTAATCATACTCGCACCGAACAAATAAAACGTCTATCTTGCAAAAAGCTCAATGCTATTGAAGATTGCAGAAACCTCCATTCAAACTTCAATGGAATTGAACCGTTACAGATTTGTTCTGCCTGACTTTTTTTTGTCAGCTTATTTTCTTATTTTTAATATTCCTACCGTTACCCGGCTGTTGCTGCTCTGGCTCCCGCCCAGGCGGTAGTTGTTGTAGGCCAGGTGGCTGTACGGGTTGTAGCCCACAAACCCGGCAGTGTTGGGTAGTTGCTGATGGAAATAAGTTAGATTTAAAAATATGCATGAGAAATCGCATTAAAGGAAGAAGGGAGGAAACAGCAAGACTAAAGATTTTTTTCACATTTGCATTCAGGCTGAGGGAATAAAGGAACATAATTTCAGAAGCAGTGGTGTGTCAACACTTCGTTTGTATCCATAACAGATTATTTATACAGTCCTGCTTCCTCAAACTGCAAGATCTAGTAAAATTTCAAACAGCTACGCTGATGTATGAAGCAAGAAATAGACAACTACCAGATAACATGCAAAACGTGTTTACTGATAGAGTGGGGGGCTATGATTACAGGGAAAACCTTAACTTCAGAACCTTGAGGGTTCGAACCACCATGAAGAGAATGTGCATTTCAGTCAGTGGTGTGAAGGTCTGGAACAAACTTCAAAAGGAGCTGAAGCAAAGTCCAAGCAAGACTCTGTTTAAAAAAAGGCTCAAACTGGTGATTTTCAACAGGTACTTTGATGAAGAGGGGAGGTGAATGGTATAACTATGTTATATTGTGTTTAGTATATATGGTGTATATGGTATATAATTACTATTAAATAAATATTATAATTATTAGTGTATGTATATATGTGCACTATGTGCATATGTATGTATGTATATATATATATATATATATATATATATATATATATATATACACATGTTATATGTATGTTTGCAGGGATATGTATGTGGTGTATGTTTGTTTTTGTGATTGTATATTTGTGAAGTGTATGTGTGGTATGTAGGTGTGTTATGTAGTATTCTGTGTGGGTACAGGCTGAAGAGCAGTTGAAGAGGGGTGGGACTTCAAATAAGTGTCATGCTTCTTCCCACTCCTTTTTTTCAAACTGTTTTTTTTTGTTGTGTCTTAGCTCTTTGTTATTCTATTTTTTTTTATGGTTTTTGTTTTTTCTTTGTGTGTGCAGGTAGTAACATTTTTTTTTTTACTTTCATACATGTTCGAAAAAATACATTAAAATTCATTCATTCATTCAACAGGGTTAGTGGATTCAACAAAAATGTGATCTCTTTCAAAAATGTACGTTGAAGCATATATTAAAAGCATGCACGTAAAAGAAGTGTCCAAACAGCAATAATGTTTTAACAATATGTGGTGCTACACTTCTTTAGGAGATCTTACTGTTGCAGGGGCCGGGGGAGGTGGGGGGGCATAGGACGGTCTCTCTGTTGTAAAAGAAAAAGTCAAAATAAAACATCATATTCATATTATTTGCAACCATCCAACTTAACCCTGAGCTATCCTTTGCTATTTCCAGTTATTTCTTCTCACAATACTGTCCATATGAAATAAAAACATCAATAATAAATTAGATCTAATTCTATGTATGTATGTATGTATGTGTATGTATGTGTTGTGACTGCATCATGGGAGATTGATTAAAGGAAACAGATGCATTTCAAATATTAACCTCATCACCTATGAGGAGGTTCATATCACAACCAACGTTAGCTAAAACACCCCCAGATCCTTACTTGACATGTCTGCAGTGAGGAGAGGGAATCAGCACATTCCAGTCATTGACTCTGTAATAAACACATTGTAGAGCACAATTGCCTTGGATATCATGTTTATGACGGGAATAATGTGGACGGGCTCGTTCTCTACTTGGCACAAAAACAACAACAAAGAGCCTCCGTTGATAAAGCTCGAAAGAAAACGGGATTAGCTTTACGTCACGACCAAAACCGACAGTCCGGAAAGATGTTGAGCAGCTGGGCGTTTCAGTTAGCCAAAGGAAGGCTGTCAACAACAAAGGAAGGCTGTCAACAACAGCCTTCCTTTGTTTGGGGGTCGCACGAAACGTGAAATACGTGGATATGGTAATGTCAAGAGGTGGACTAGCACGAGTAGCTGGGACCGAACCCCACGTCGGCCCCGGGCTAGCGCTAAACGCTACGTCTATAGCGCAGTTCATTCATTGAACGCACCGCAATTTAGCTATCGAGCTAATGTTAGCATGCTAGCCGGTGATGTAACGTTAGCTGCTGAAATTCGTTGTTTCTCCTCAGCGTGGTGGGCCAGCATGCAGCAGAAAACCAGCCGCCTACACAGCGTTTGTTAACTGTAATTATATTGTTTTAACGGTAGTTTGATAAATAGATACCACATTGTAAGCTCGTCTCGTCGGCCGAGTTAACGTTAGCTGGGCTGGTTGCGCAGCTTAGCTGGCTACGTGAAAATAATCATAAATACGATCATTATTAGCATGCAACGTCAAGTCAAACCAACACATCTAGAGATAAACACATGCCCATAGATTCTGGTGGTGACAAGCGAGCTTGAATACTTAACGTTAAGTGAGAAAACTCACCCTAATACCTTTAGCCCCCCACCACAGTCGTGGCTTTGACGGGGATTGCTAACCCACCTAGCTCCTACAACAGTCCCCACAATAAACGGATGAAATGGGGTCCACTCGTAAGATTCCTGCAGAATCTTCCAGAATTGCACCCCCCACCCTTTCCTCATTACAGATGTGCCTTGCATCGATGCCGATGCTCATCGGCATCAGCTGTCACTGATCAATATATAACAGCAGAATATCTTTCTCCTCAACAATAGTCACCCCGTATAATATATGAGGTTAGCGTTAAAACAGAAGGTAACTTGACAGTGTAAAGTCTACATTTAATAGCTTTATCTTTGACATGCAAATGTGGATCACCACAAACATAAGGAAGGCAAAAAAAATTGATTTACAGTGTTATCTTGACTGCAAAATAAGTCACGTTGTGTCAAAAATGTGCAGATACTCTAGAATTTACACCCATTTTTCCAAGAGGTAATAATCTCAGGCTATTTAATGTTTGAAAAATGTATCAATTATGTCACCATACAGCAAGTTGTATTACAGAAATTTCACAGGCCACTAAGCTTTGGAGAATATCGAGGTTGCCCTATTCACTGCTCCATTGTTGTTAGAACTGAAATACTTTGCATTCTTGTTCACATTGTTTGAGAGCCGCCCAGGTCCATAGTTGTAATAGTGTGTTCCCCTTAAGATAACAATCCAAAGCCTGTAGGATTTAGCTTCCATCTATGTCCATTCAACCCAAATAGAACTTGTTTTGGGTTTGTTAATTGATTGTGTTCATTGTTGCCCCATTTCTGTCTGTTTGCACTGCACACTTGAGAGCTTATTTTATTTCTGCTTGACCTGTATCCTTTATAATATGCACGCAGACCATGTTGTGGTCTAATATGCATGTGTTTTGTGTTTCTTTTCATCAACCGGGCCTCGGCCAGAAACACGTCGGCAGCAGAATCCACTTGAGGCGCGGGCAGGAAGACCTTGCATAGCGGCGGACACCTGTGATGGAGTCCACCAGGAGGTAGGGTGGAGGTAGGGTGGAGGTCACATGCCTCCTGTAAGCTACTGTGCAGATTTAACACGGAAACTTGCACAGGGCCTCCCAGGCACAGCTGTGGGATTGTGGATGGCCAGAGGCAGCAGTGCTTGTGACATTTTAAATCAATCAAAGGCAAACCCCTAAAGCTGTTCATGTTATTCAGCCTCGGACCCGAATTCTTAAGCCTTTAGACCTCCCCAAAATAGACTCAGACAGTGGAACTAAGCAGACTTGAAAGTTTGCTCTGGTGGTGGATGGTGGGGATATTTTTAGAAAGCTGTCGCAGTCAGATTATTATGATGTATCATTCCAGAGGTTTTTCTTTGAAAAATGCGAATTAGTTTTTATCAATAACCGGTTTGTCAAACCAGCAGTCATCCTACCCATCGACACATTTGGGGCATTTTCCTACTGACTTGGTTAGTTTCATGAATTCCAAAATGTGAGCCGTAATTGTTTAATTTTTGGCCTCTCACTTGAGGCAACACATTTGATTTGTTGCAAGCTCTGTTCTGGTTGTACATTCGGATGTAAAGTAAAAACTAGAACACAGCTCAATATGTTATCAAGCACCTACAACCTTTTATCCAAAAATGTGTTTCCTGCAAGATTTTGGGAAATCTATTTTTTACCAAATCCCATCTAAGCATTTAGAAATAGTCACATAGCATTAATTCTTGATGAGAGCATTTTAGTGGCTATCAAACAAAGAACTAAAACAGCAATAAAGTAACACAAAACTTTGACAATCATCACATTGCTGTCAGTAATAACGTAAAGGTAAATAAACTTTTATAAAACTATAATAGACTACTGAGCTATGCGAACATTAAACACAATTAATCATATATCATATCATATGTGTGCTATCTCAAAGGTTTGGCTTTTAATTACATTTTGACCAAATAGCCATTGAGGAGCTCATCTTTATGTACTACTTCATTCCTAATGTATCTGTACGTTTTGTATGTAGTTGATGTGATACAAGCTAATAGAAAACAAACCTGCAGAATGGCGTTTTGTAGTTCCTGTGACTTATAGGCCAACATAAATGCTAGTTCTCATATATCTGCGATCAGCTAAAATACTACAATGCTACAACTTACTAACTACTGCTACTAATAACGGCGACAGGAAAAAGAATGTATTTTTAAAAAGGGTTTTAATTGATGTATTACAATGTGTACTGTTTCATTGGTTAACATGTTCAACGTAACTGATCGTCTCATTTCTTTCATCACACAGTGATGCAGACGGTCCTGTTCTGGACAAGATACACAACGGCGTAACTGTTTCTAACCCTGGTCCAATGTATGCATGCAAACATGAATGAATATCTTCTAGACGTCAATCGATAATATCAAAGCCAAACATGACAGTCTGTTCCAGAGAAATGCAGTTACAGATCAAGCAACTTACTATAGATTATGTAATACACAGCTTATGTTAGTTAAAAGTTACAATGTCAAAGCCAAAACCCTCGACAGATGTCACCTGTGTTCAGTAACTATTCATTACTTGATGAATGATTAGAAAGAGTTTATGCATGTAGGTAACTGAACAAAGTTTTGTGCTGTTTGGTGTTTGACCATTTTAAGCCGTAGCAATGATTCCACATCCACATCCACGCCATCTTTGTCTATTTGTCTGCATTTTGGTGAACGGTAGTTCACCGTAGTGCCTTTGAACACATTTATTTTTGTAGTGACAAGCAAAATTGGTCATCAATTTCCAGCGACTAACAACTAGTGGTTTCAGTGATTTGATAATGTTTCACCCTTTATGTAGTTTTGTTACATTGTTTCTATTAGATTAGTTTATACCGGCTAAACATACAGGATTTCAATATATTGCAAAAGCGTTTGTTTTGTAGCAGAGTGATAGAAGTCATAGTGCACAAAAAACACACCATTCAAGTTCTTAGGTTAACAAATAGTAGAAAGCCTGTTTTCCAAAATGTTACTTCCGGACGCATTGAAGATAGATTGGGGGAGGGCAACAATAAATCGCTGCTAAAGTTGTCATGTTTTTCTACTTTGCACAATTCCCCTATCATTATAACCCCATCCCCCTCCCCCCTTAATAGGTCTGGTATAAAAATAATAATAATAATTCTAATAGTTCTGCACCGACACGAGTGCGAATAGGTCTGTGCACACACCATTGGACAGAGAGCACCAGCGGACTGACTACTACCCCTCCTCCATCCCCCCTGATGGTGTAAACCAAAGGGAAACACTGAACAGCATTAGAATAGCACCAGAATTGACTTTTCTCCTTTACCGCCATCTACATATATGCATATACTGTTGCATTTTAGGTGGGGCGGCATGGGTGGGTTTGACCAAACTGAATAATGAAAAAATTTGCAAAAATACATTATAATAATGATAACATCAATAGTTTTCATGGCACTTGTTAATAACTGTTTATAGCTGAATGGACCTCCCGTCAGAGGGTTGTGCTTTTAATACTTCTAAGATTATTGGATGATATCAGCATGTGGAAGCATAGAAAGAACACAACACTGCAGAACCCACGCCGTTGATTTGTAAGGTTGACATTTGATGTTCTGCGCGGGCAGCAACGCTAATACTGTCCTTCTATCCACACGAGATGAATTTGTGCTTGTATCGTCTATAAGGTACTCCGTCAAACTGAAAGAGCAGGCTGTCCAAACACCATCAGTAGCTTAAACCTGCTGCTCTGCCCTGAACTTTAATAATATTGCCTGCAGTATCTAAAATATTTGATGAGTCACTACGTCACTTGTACTGGTAAAACACTTGTTTAATTATTTGTGTGAGGCCCTACAGACAATATAAAACCAGTCAAATTAAAAAGGAAATTATTGTTTGCACATAAACACCACGCTATCTTTACTGCTGCACCTCCTCCATTCAAAGCTACATGTTGCCCAAGACGGGAGTTTAATCATTAAAACTTGGATATTAAAGAGACATCACGCCTGCAATTTAAAACACAGGCCAATGAAACAATAGGCCATTTGTAGCCGCAGTGATGGCGGGATGTTTCTCATATAATTTAACATTACCATTCAAAACACTCATTTAAAGAAGCCATTTTCAACAGTTAGTGCAGACCGTCACACATGTTGCTGTTGCTCACACATAGTGATGGTAAGTTTTCGGTTACAATCCCCCCAAATGCCCCAAAAGGTTTATTATGTATTTTGGCACAGTAAGTACATAGCACCACCAAAGGTCTGCCAAGCAGTCTGTTTGGAGAGAAATCCTGTGTTTTGAACCACATTCTTCCAGAAATGAAAGTCACACTGTAACTTATCCTATCAGCGGCGCGCAGAGCTTCTAGTCCTTTGGAGCTCGATGATAGAGAGGAAGAACAAGGGTTTACGACCGGGACACGAAGCAAATCTATTCTGGCCTTTCAGAGATACAGTCGTTCAAACTAATCTCACTTTTCACTTTGGCTTTGATGCTGTGAAAAGCTATGGCTTATCATTTGGTAACACACAGCGGGGGTTTGTTGGATCCCTTTGTTGCCCCTGTGTCCTCCTTCACTTTATCTGTTCTCGTCCCTTCTTTTATCGCTGCTCTTAAACCAGACTCTTGTGCTTTGCGCTCACCTTCTGACCAGATGAGCGGCGTTTATGACATACAGGGCAGTTGAACCAGAGCGATGCGTTACAACCAATTCCGCCAATTGTGTGAAGAAACTAGTTTGCAATCCTTTGACGAATCTTTGTGGATTGCCCTGATGCGGTGATTGCACCTGGCCTCGTGCTCCCAGAGAGATTAAAACAAACGTTTACACATCCTGTCCTAGCGTGGGTCTGATTATCTGGTGGGTTGAAACATTTTCATACTTTTACAATAAATCCCGGCTGACTCTATTTTGCTCTCCAACAACAGTCACATTTACAACTGTTATCTATGGAAAGTTTTTTTTTTCTTCTTCCACACGTAACTTTAAAGCACACGGGCCATAAGACGTAACGCTGTTAAGTTCACATAGTGGAAACAACACAACACACAGCAAGTGCTGGAAAGACTCACATACTCTCACGGACAAAAACAAGATAGCAAAAGAACTCAAAACAATAGTTTCCTTTTTGTTGCGCAGGCTCAAAGTACAGTTGGCCTCAGGTGAAGCTGAGGCTCTAGAGTAAAGTCTTTTCCTCGTGTAGTTCTACTAGTATACGCGCAGTAGAATCCCGCTGGTGCTGCACCCATCGCTGCCTCTGCCCCCTTCAATCTCTCAGGGTTGCGGTCATTAGCTGGTGACAGTCCAGATCCCCTCGGAGCTCCAGTGGGCCTGGCAGCCTCATGCCCGTCTTCTGGTCCACACACCAGCACTTTCCCCGCAGGCCGTCGCGTGCAGGATGACACTGTGGCCAGGGAGGGATGTCAAACGTTATAGTATGAAGACGTCTTTAACTACAGGTTCAAATAATACAATGGCAGTCAAATGTTGTTTTCTTTCAACGGTGGATTAAAGCAGCACGAGTAGCGTAAAAGTCGTTGCTGCTAATTTCAGCTGGTGACCGCAGACGGGTACTTGGACTTAAGTCGACTTGCGATTATTTGGGCTTTACTCTAACACAAAGACCAGAGACTGGACTGAGACTATTAAAAAAAGCTGGTTTCTACCTTTGCTGAAACATTTGAGACTTGGACTTGGAAAAAGTAACATGTTAGCCTCCGCGGAGCACAGTCTGACATTTGGTGGAGAGCAAAACAGAGCTGAAACGGGGCAAATATTTAGTTTGCCAGGAGGATGAAACACAACTCCATGTTGTTTGGAGTGTTTCTCTGTCTCTGCTCGATGTGTAAATAGGCAACTATTTGTGAACATGTTTGGTGAAGGTGACCATTTGTCTCGTGCTGTGTTTACAGCTTTGTTGTGCTTCCTTCTAGAAATCAAGTAATGCAGGTTTATATGAAACTGAGCACTAAGTTAGAGGTTACAGAATAGCACTCGATGCTCTGTTGGCGGGCCATATTCCTCCAATGTTAGCATCAGACCTGCAGATGTTTTGATTGTTTTGCACACCCTGTCCTGCATAAATTGTGGTGTGGTATCCTGTTTCTACACGTTTGTATATGTATATATCTAAAGATATAGATATAAATCATTATATTGACAGCTGAGATCATATGATTCCTTCTGTGAACTTTGAAACGTTCCGCCAGTAAAAAGTTGAGTGTTATTTTGTACTTGCAACCCTGCCATGAAATGATCGCCAGTCGTCCGCCCTGAGCTGTGCTTTACTTCCCAACAGGGTTTACCGCAGTGCAGTTTTAGTTAAACAGTAAACAGATGCCTGTGATTCTGAGCAGACAGAGATCCTTTAACCATGTTACACAATCAACTCAGGCGCTTGGTGACTGGTGCCTTCGCAGAGCTTTCTTTTCTATCTCTCACTCTGCGTCTGCTGCTTTGATTGCTTAGACGAGTCGCTGCAGTCTTATCTGTGTTTTTGTGTTCTCTCTCTCCCCCATTACCTGCATAGTTGCCCAATCTTGCAAAGACAAAATAACAACAACAAAACATTTCATCCATCACAGCAATAAAGGGATTATCGTTAATGATTGGGGGGAAACCACTTTGCACAAGATGTTTAACTCTTGTTCCTGGACACAAACTGATCACTTTTTAAGTGGGTTCAGGAGGAAAGAAAGGACACGGCATCCCCACAACGGTCTGCTTGGAGACACTTTTGTGTTGTTCTTATAAATGTCCAAAGGATACAGCCACACATATCGCTTGTTTCAAAGAAACTATTTAAAGTGCAAAGATAGGAATGTTTAATACAACTACTGCGCAAAACTCTGCCAAATAGCGGAAATGGCGGTCTGCTCATTAATTCCTTAAAGCTCATAACAGGCGTTGGCTTGAATTCCCACACCTGTTTGAGATGGAAATCTCCGTTCTTGTCACAGTTGGGGATGGGGATGGTGAAGAGATCATCGTGTGTGCGGCTGTTTGACGCCAGTCTGTCCAACGCCCTCTGTAGCTCAGCACGACACGGCGCCTGTAGGAGAAATCATTCGTCAATTGATGTTTGTAGACATTTACCGTTTTGACAAAATATTGCTGTTTATAAAAGAATGCTAATTATTATCTTGTATATTTCTGTGATAAAACATTGATAAAGTGGAAACCAGTATAAAAAAGAAAAAAATATTTCCTCTCCACGATCATCCTCATGTCCACATAGAAAGTGTGTACATAAAATATGCATAGATGCACTTTTATAATGAATTTTAAAAAAATCCCAGTTCTTTAATAATGCCCATTTTTAAGTAAAGCATTCAGAGGAAGCAAACTGGGAAAATATAAACTTTTATTTTACAATAATTTATTTATTTATTGATGTCAAAGTCCAAGTGCTTTAGTGAGGTACGGTTTTGATTTGACACACAAAAGTCCTGAGCCAACTAATGAGTCCATGTGAACGCACCATTCTGGCAGATTCTTCAACCAATCGCCAGCGGCATTCTTAGAAAGTCTTTAAAAACATCATTCGTTTCATGTGTGGGAGACGGTGGTGTTACTGTGCATTCACAATACACTTTTCTATGGTAAAGGAATGTACAAAATACAGCACAAAAAGCCTATTACACATTCTCGTGGATTTTATGATCCTGCCCTCGCCAATCTCAAAACAGCAAATTGCTGATGTTGATGTCAATGTGCACCTGCACGTTATTTTGCAAGACTGCAATTAAATGTTATGGCCTTTAAATAACTAATTTGTACATTTACAACCTGACATTTGCGCTTGTGGCTTTGGAACTAAAAAAAAGGCCTTAATATAAAACACGTGCTGCGGCTGGAGGCATGTGCTGCTGCAGAGGAGATTTCTCAGGTTCGTAGCTCCCTGTGAAACTGATAAGACGTCAGAGGGACTCTTTTTCTCACCAGCGCTGCCTTGGTCTCCTCCCTGGCAGTGTTGCTCCTCTGATTAGTGGATTTGGGAGGATGCCTCGCCAGGTTCTTCTGTATGCAACGCTTGTCCTGCGGACTGCAGCGGATATTGCTGTTGTTTGGGTGGTCAGGAATGATCTCATCCTGCCTGTCCATCGCTGAAAGAAAATGAATGATACCTTACTTACTTAAATCCATCAACAAAGGTGTGCTCGAGCATAACATAAACAGTTAGTCAAACACATTTGCTTTTAATATCACAATTGAATTATACGGGCAATATTTAGGGCAGCATATTGTAACGATTAGCAGAGCCAGCGCTTTTCTGCCTTTCTGCTTTGTCGTTCTGCATCGCTGAGCACGGCGAGATGAAGGCTAAATATTAGGCCAGGTCAATCTCATGGGGGTGGGGGGGGGGGCGAAGGGGAGGACTCTTCACTCTGCATCTCGGCTCTTGCTCTGCAGCTACCACACCACAGCTATGGCACCAGCTCTGAGGCCTTTCAAACGATAGCTGGAGCGCTGTGGCCCGGCAGGCAGCCAGCTGCTTCCTCAGGAAATGTCCCCCCCTCCCTTTCCACTCCCCGGCCCTCCACAACAACGTCGGACTGTGCCAGATGGAGGTCGTTAGAGGATGTTTGCAGTGGGCACAACTGTGCGCGAGGTGGTTGGTGGCTGAGGGTGGGAGGGAGAGAGGGGTGGGGGGCACAAGTCGGGCAAAATGAAGGACAGCAGTTGTGTGTGCCCGGCTGCGTGCACGTGCGTGCACGTGCGTGCGGCTTTTGACCTGTGGCTTGTAAAAGCCGGCAGAGTACACACTTTCCGCTCGTAACCAAAGGCATTTTACAGATTGGCACCAGAATCAGAGCGCTGCGTTTTGGAGGCCGTTCCTGCTCCGAACGCGATCCGAGCTCTGGTTAACGTTTAAGACGACTCCCAGGCGTTCGAAGCTTTGCCGTTGGCAGAGAGAGAAATGGAGGTGGCCTCGTAGCCTCGTGAGCAGCCTTCCCTTCAGGTGCACAGTGCATGAAGCATGTACGTACACACAATCCAAAGCAGTGAGCTTTTCGTTGTAGTTCTACTTGGTGAGCTAATCCTGGCCCTGGTGTGTTCAGGATATCGATCCTGGGCCACCTTCTGTTCTTACAACAAGACCGGGGGTTCGGAGGTGACAGTGTTTGTCTGAGGGAGAAGTGTCTTGCCCATCAGCGCTTTCTTCTCCCAAGAGCAAACAGGGCCTCAGCTGTTTCCTTTGTTCCAAGTTGTTTGTTCGCCTCGTTTGCAACATTCGAAGCCGTTTTGCAGGGCGAGTCAAAGTGATTTAGAAGTGGGTCAGGGGTGGCATGTCCTGTTTGCTACCACTGCTGTTTTCGATGGAGGAAGTTGCAACTTCTCTGTGTGGTTTCAATAGAGCAGCTGTCTTTTAAAATATTATTCTTACGGTGCATTAGCCAGGGCTGACATATTGCCAGTCAGGTGCACAGCAAAGATAGAGACAAATCTTGAGTTAACAAATAATCCTTTTTGAACATTTGTTGTCACATAATCAGACATTGTTGAAAAGGTATACATCATTTAATTTACATTATTACAAGCCCATGCCAAGTCTTCCGTCTGTGAAAAAGTGGCAGAGTCTCATCAGATTTCAAATTCCAGTGTTCGCGGCTTTAAGGCTGAACTGGAAAAACATCAGCGATAAATATCCTTCTCGAATGAATATTTACTTATGCTCAGGGAGATTGGCAGAGGGCTTTCCTATGGTTTATACTTCCACTAGCTCAGATATTGGGTCTTAAACAAAAGAGTATCCACTGCGTCGGACCTTTGAGGATTGTTACCGGTAGTTTGAAAACAGCGAGAGAGGAACTGCTTGCTTACATAGAGCCTGGCTGAAGTACCGGCATGGATATAAGCTTGTCATGGATATCACTGTATTGGCATTTGTTTTGACCTAACAATAAATCCGAGAACATATGTGAGAATACTGACAGATATATTTACCAACCGTGAAATCTCCCACTCAGTCACAGGTCAATTCTTAACAAAAACAACTCCTATTCCGCTACTTTCCTATATAGACGAAGATCCTTGTGTCTTTCTGACCGTTTGTGGTTCGACTTCTTAATTAGCTGCAGAGATGTAGGAATGTGACATGACTCTTGGGTGTGGTCACCGGTCCGTTATAATAGGTGCGGCTCAGCAGAACTGTGAATGTTTTCAATCACGGTTTCCATTGGCCTTTTCATATGGAACTTGTTGTTTTAAGTCTGTTACATATTCTGACACCACCCCCCCCCATTTTTATTGCGGTTACCTAAATGTAAGGTGTGGTTCTTTTAGAATGTTGGACCGCTCCCTTAAGACAGGTGTGATCCTCCCTTTGTGTGTCGCACGCAGGGGGAGTTTCCTTCTCTGAACATGTTTCATTTGAAAGGCTGAACGCCAACAAACACGGATCGAAGCGGAATATTTTGCTCAACAAAAACATGTTGTGAATTTCGTGAAGAATTGGTATCCATTTTTTTCGATACACTTGGAGCTTTATACTGCAGCCATAGCACTTTATGACCAAACGCACATTAAAGCATGTAACCTTAGAGAGCAGTAAAAGCATTACTGTAGTCAAATAGAAAAAAGGCTGAAATTGAATTGTGGTTGGTGAAAGCAGCATTGCTGTGATCTTAAGTTATACTTTATTAATCTTATATACAGTCTTTTTTGTTCGGCATTTAATAGATCCCACATGTTCAGTGCAACGTAGAGCCTCTGCTCAGCACGCAGGCATCAAATCCATTACCGAGGTCTGAGCCTTAGCCAGGCTCATTTCTTATTCATCTATGTTTCACAGATATTGATTTTAACAAAATACAAAACACAGCTCGCCGACTTTGGCTTAAAAGCAAAACCGTCCTTGACACCAAGTGGAATAGCGCATGGACAGCAACTAATCACCTGAAATACCTGAAATGTATTGTCTTTGGGGAGGCTACTCCAAAGGTTTTGCAACACTTTAGTGAATGTCCTTTCAGCAGATTCTGGCAGCAAGCTCAAACATCACAAGGGCTCGCTACCAAGAAATTTTTCTTTTCAGTCAATATTAGATCCCAGGCAGGAGGATTCTTTGAATCGGTTAATCATCTCCGTTCGTGCCTAGTACTAGTGTGAGGCCAATGGTACCTTTTAGAACACGTTTGTCAAAAGGAAAGACGTGACCTGAAGTTAAATCTACGTAAATCCACGGTGAATCACAAAGGCAGCCTTAGCGCAGAGGAAAGCTGCTCACTGGCCGACGATGCCGACATGCAGAGCAGCAACAGTTTGCTGAGCGGTTTGATTACATCTTTCACACAATATTTTACATAGAAAATACTTCAAACATACTGGATGGTGGAAAGAAAACCTGCTTTTGTGCAGTTGCAAGCTGGGCTAATCTATCCCTTGCTGATGCACTCGTACTACCTTTACATGTGATGAATACTTGTAGGAATAGAGAGAAACCTGCAGCTGTTGTGAATTGGGTCAATCTATTTTGAGCTACATCATTAACTTAATTTGGAGTGGATTGCTCCTGTTTTAATATATGCACAGAATCTGGGTCTTGAGTTCAAATGCCAGGAAAGGAAATTTAATATATGTTTTACCTTATTTGTAACAAACATTGAAATTGTTTTAAATTGCGAATTACAATTTTTTCTTACCAAATTAATAGGTTAATTTACGAAATCTCAGTTTATGAGGATTAACTGTTCTCCTTGGATTCCATGGCAATGTCGGGTTGTCTATATATCAACACTAGAAGGGGGGGAAATCATGCTCAGTGGTACTAATATGCTGCACAACCCCAAAAAAGCAAGTACGCGACATCAAGGGACATCTGAGGTTTGGGGAACATCTCCCAAAACATACCGAGGGTCCCTCGCTCATGTGAGAAAGAAACATCTAGCTTGGCACGCTGCTTTCATAAAGACCTGTGTGCGTCACAGTGAACCGGGGTGTAGTTGGGCAGAGTTTGTCTCCACCGACGGCTTCATTCAAGCTCCACCTGTAGGTGTAAGACTTTAAATTACATCCGTTTCACTGTCAGAAGGAAGTGTGCCAGGAACAGATGCCAGTACACGCGTGATCATTTATTCCAAGTATTGCAATAGAGAGGGTTTCTAACAATGCAATATTAAGATGCACTGAGGCCTGTCATAAGGTACATGGTAATCCTTTTTGTTGCCATGGAAATGTGGTTCAAGATTAGCCTTTTTCTAAGAGAACAACACCGTTTTGACCCACGGGATATAGACCAATGGCATATCTGTGGCAACGGCCTGGTTAAAATAATAACTTTGCTGCTTCTTTCGTTGGTAGTTAGAAGAAAAGCAGCCTTAAAATGGATCTACTCAGAAAGTAGCACTACTCTTTGTGATACAAGTGTTATGCTGCATTTTGTCGAGTAGTTTCAACTAATAGCCCCAACATCCTAAAATGCTTTTAATGGGCTGCTAAATTCTTTTCATCGTGAGCTCTCTCGGATTTTGAAAACCCTCTTCTATTTTTATCCGGCATGTTCACTGTTGCTAGGAGTGGGGCAGTACCGGACACGTATTCAGGAGATGCACCCCCTTGTTTAATAATGCATAAGTACGGCGAATGCGCCACAAAGGAGATCTCCTGCCTGTGAGTGGAGCTGCTCCCCGGCTCTCCCCCACGCCTCTCCGATTGTCTCTCTGCTGCCACGGTTTACATAGAACATTCTTATGCAGCGCTCCTGAGCTGCTGCCCAGAAGAATTGATTTACGGAGTGACTTATTGGGCAGTACCTTCCCCGCTTTGTTATGACAAACTCCGGGGGCGAGAAGGAGCGTGAAGGTAAACAGAACTCAGCACTCAGATTACAGACCACCAAAAACAAAACTTATGAACTTTCCAAAAATCGACCATCCACTGCCGTCTACTACTAGAAAGGGGACCCCGAAACCCCCCCCACCCCCCTCCCCCCCCTCCTCCCCCAGAGCACAAAAAAACATTTCTGGACCAGCTGATCACACAACGCAGCATCAAAGAGAGGAACTAATGCATATTCCCCGAGATGAACTGATATGGAGGGACAGAGCCATGCCAAGCTATTGCACCCCTCTGTTTTATCGTGCCGTGACCAGCTTTCCTCTTCTTTCTGATTCCATTTAGTCATGCTTTGTGCCGGCCTGACCTACGCTGGCCCTGCACGGAGAGCAGAAGGCTCTCATTTCAGCTCTGGCAGCAAGAGTGCCGATGAGCTCATCCTCATGTAGGAGCTGGACGTGGTGGGCGATGCGCTCAAAGGCTTGTTGGGGCGGGGGGGGGGGACAGATGCTGCAATGAAGATGAGAGTCCTGGGAGTTTTCAATTGGCAGTTAATCTAAATCCGTGGTGTTCTGGCGCCAGCCAATAGCCAACTACCATAACTAGTAACTATCTGTGAGCCTGGGCTCAGCAGGCTTGTTAGTCGATCATCTGGAACAAATGCAAAAACCACATTGTGCGTGACACATTATAACAATTGTCTCATTCGGCATAATGGAAACCAACACCCCTCCCTTTATGGAGAGAGGAGGAAAACAAACAGTGGAGAGTGTTTCGTCAGTAGAAAGAAGTTAACGTCAAAGCAGGGAACTGGAGCCGCAGATGACATCCAGTATTAGATATTCCACCGTGCGAAAGTGGAAACACACTTTGTCCTGTGCAAGAAAAATGCAACAATGAAGGGGAGAATAGGAAGCCACACCACAAGAGTGGGATAGATGCATCATCAGTAAATGAAGAGTAAAACATCTGCAGCAGCAGGCGGGGGAATGGAGGCGTCCATGAAAAGAGCACCAAGTGAATTACTGAGCGCTCTAATAGCCCCAGGCTGGCCACATTACATTCATTTCATACAGCAGCTTTTATTACCTCCTCCCATTACAAACACACACACATACACTTCCTCACACAACCTTAGACTCTCACGTTCCCAGTACTACTACAATGCATTTCATTTCACTGCCTGCACCACACAACTGCCTAAAGGATCTCAGTTTAACGTTGGCCTGATGAGGTAATTGCACATCCAGTGGTAGATGGGAGAGGAGATCTGCATTAAATAAACGCATGCTTCCCTTTACTAAAACATGCAACTGACTTGCAGGCCACACGGGCATTAAGAGTGCAGCACACGTACAGTAGAATGAGTCCTTATGCACGCTCGTATGCACACATGCCCACCTCAGCCATCCCCACAGCGCTGTCCCCGCTGAAGCCCGCTCTGCGTCTCACATCAGGGCCCCCCCTTTCACCAGCGAGCGGCCCGCAAGACAGCGGAGGGACTGTGCGCGCTCTCCCATCAGGCCATGCGTGAGGAGCCGGTGTGTGTGTCCCCCCTCTGGTTGAGGACTTAGCCGAGATTAGTGTAAACAAGCAGAACATTGTCACCCCTCCCCGACCCCGCCCCACCACACCCGCCCAACTGCGACCCCGCCCCGGCGGAGGTAAAGCCCAGGGAGCGCAGAGGGACAACATTCTGGTCCGCCCGGGTCCACAGAACGTAAGGGACATAGATACAAGTTGGGGAGAGCCTTGGTACTATGAGAGCATGTTGACATACACATCTGCACTGTGCGAACGCTTTGGTAGATCACACACACACAGACTCGGAACCCCTTCAGTCTCACCTGAGTTCTCCTCCACCTCCCTCTCGTCAGTGCACACCCCCTGGCCGTGCATCAGTGAGTGCAGTGGCCTGTCCACGCCACGCGGCGGGTAGCAGCGGAAGCCCGTGCCACACCGGGGCGAGTAGACACCGCAGTGCGCCCCTTTTGGCAGGGCGCAGGTGGGGCAGCAACCGCAGCCGGCCTCCCGCACGGTCTCCTCGCAGCCGTCCGGCAGGCGGCAGCTGGCCAGCCTCTCCTCGGAGCACAGCGGGCAACGGATGGCTTGGTCCGACCAGCACAGCGCCACCATCGACAGGGCGCCAAATGCCCAAAGGCCCCAGCAGGACGGCGCTACTGCTGCGGCACCTCCGCGCACCATGGCAGCCCAGGAGGCGCCTGCACGCAATCCTTCACCCGCGTGTGCGCTCCCCTCTGCTTCCTTCTCCTCTGAATGTTGTGAGCGCTTTCTACTTCAACAGGAGGTTTTCAGCTGGTTGTTGTGTTTCAATTGCAGAGATACAAATCCTCTGCTGTATTGCCTCTCTGTTCCTCTAATTCAATTTCACAGCGTGGAAATTGGAGCCTGCGCTTGAGCTGCTCGGCTGGCGAATGTAGTAGTGATAAGAAGTAGTTTTTGTTATGTTGGAATGAACAGTTGCAGGACGGATATCCACCACTGTGTTCAGGTGGGTCTTGCTCTCTCTTCCAGTTTGAGTCCGGAGGCTCGACCGACCCTGTATTGAAACACACACAAAAAAAAAAGAAAAAGAATCTGGTCTACAAGTGTCCAAAAGCAAAGCAGGGAATCAAAAAGGCACCGTTTTGAATAACAGCTGCAGTTTCCTCCTTTTGCCGGTGTGCAGTGTGAAGGGCTCACTGCTGAGAATGGCTCAACACGAGTGGCTCTCCTTGGACTTTATACTGGTCCATGGACACGCCTCTTTCTCCAGTCAGAGAGGAGCTGAAAAGCACGGCAAAGAAAACCCAGGCTCAAGCGCTCTCCCTCTGTCTCCCTCTGTCTCCCTCTGTCTTACTCGCTAGCTCTCTTTTTCAGACACACAAGCTTAAATACACACTCCCTCACTTTGTCCTTTCTCAACCCTGAGTGCAGGCTGAGAAACGAAGCAGCTGAATTGCCTGCTCACACACTGATTACGCGTAGCCCTCCATTATTGTCCTCATCAGTCATACGCATGTGACTTCATGTCCCAATCAATCGGATACATTGATTTCATAAAACATGTGGGTCCATTAAAAAAAAAACACGACAAAAGACAGAACACATAGCAGCCTTTTACTTTAAACAACCCCCAATGCCTAACACACACACACACACACACACACACACGCACGTACGTATGTGCCTCTGGGGTCAAAACATTGTTCAATCAACAAAGCAGCCTCATGTCTGCTCCCGGTGTGTGCTTATGTGTGTGTTTGCCCCCACCATCATATCCTCCCCCGGAAATTTTTTTTTTTCTTTTTTTCTTTTTCTCCCTCCCAAAAAGGGAGAGGCCCCCCCCCCCCCCCCCCCCCTCCTCCTCCTCGCTGTTGCCCTGCCCCCACCGGTCCTAAATAAGCCTCCTACCAGTGTGATCGCAGGATAAGTCATAACAACGCTGCAAAAAGGGCCAGTTTACTAGGTGTGTGTGTGTGTGTGTGTGTGTGTCTGTGTGTGTGCGTGTGTGTGTGTGTCCGATCCTGAAAGAGTCTGTAAATCAGTGTGTCACTTTGTTCTTGTTTGCCCCGTGTGTGCAGATATCCCCCCACACTCCTCTTTTTAGGGTTTGGGACCGCGGCTTTTATTGGTTCCACGTCTCTTTCTTTCCCCCCGTGTTCCTTTGCCTGCGTTTCGCCATGGAAACCCAGCATGTATTGTAATGCCTTTGTGAGGGTGCTTTTCTTTCAGCTTTGCTTTTCCGTCTGGTTGCCGGTTGCCGGTTGCCATAGGCGGTCCGTGGGCTGCAGCCAAGCCTTACAAGGCCGTCCACCACTCAGGTGGCTGCAGCAGGGTGTGTTTGCTCGTTTCACCGCTCCCAGATTCCTCATCCGGCGCTGCCTGGAAGATCATCAGGAGTTGTTTGAGATCTCCGCTGTGATTCAGCCACTTTCCACATTGCAAGTCGAAGGTTTTAAAGCCAAACAGCATCTGGTAGACATAAAGTAAATCGCTTTACTCACTAACAATGTACCAAAACAGTCGGTAGTTAAGAGGAGCTGCTCTCTGGTTCTGGAGCTCATGAGAAAGCCAGCAGTTTCATCATGTGTCATTTATGATGTGTTTTACTGTGTGTGTGTGTGTGTGTGTGTGTGTGTGTGTGTGTGTGTGTGTGTGTGTGTGTGTGTGCGTGCATGCGTGCGTGCGTGCGTGTGTGCTTTTTGTCATTTTACAATACATAACCCTACATAACGGAATGTTCAGGTGTTCAAAGTGTGTCAAATAGCTGTAGTTGAGTGTGCGTCTGCAGTTTGTCAATTGTAAATTGCTGTGCCTGTTATGAAAGTTAAGCAGTGGTGCAATAATAGCCTAATAGTTAGGCAATAAAGGTTTGACTTTGCGTGTCGAGAATTCAGAGGAAAATACCCAGTATTTTGCCACCTTCCGTCTCACGGGGCCCATAGAATTATCTTGATCTTGCGGTTGTCCTCATCGTCCATTGACCCATATAAAATGCTTCTATGCCGGAAAGTTGATTTACCTAAAAAAAAAGAGGGATGAATAATTGACTAATTGATCTCTTTCCTGATGTAAGTGTATAGGAAATGGTTTGATTGTTTTGTTTGTTCTTTCAATGCCCCTTAATCCAATACTCCACTATTAGCTGAGATAGTGTATTGATTTTGTTATTTTAAGGCGGTTTTGTGGTGTGAGTTTCTTAGTTGGTGTATCTTTACCTTGAAATGATAAGCCTGGTTAAAGTAGTTGATTTCTGGGAAGAAGTGAGAGTTCTGTAACTGTAAAACCTCTTTGCCGTGCACGGAATTTTAGGAGCAGACATCATTGCTGAGTTATGGAGGCAGCACTATGGTACCTTATTTAACCCTATTAGTGGGGACGATCGCGCCAATGACGATCATGTCACTAGAGGTGTACCAAGCTATGAATACGCTGGCTGATGGCAAAGCAAGTGGTTTAGACTATTTTACTGCTGAACATCTTAAATATGCAAGTCCGAGCATAACTCCTCTTCCCGCCATCTGTTTTACCGGCCTCATGACTCACGGCTTGTTACCGGACTCAATGCTGTCAAAACAAAGCTGGTAAAGTAGATAATTACAGGCCCATTGCTTTGACCAGTATTCTGTCAAAAGTCCTGGAAATAATCCTAATGGACAGACTGAATAAGTTTATTCACTTCTCAGATAACCAGTTTGGCTTTAAAGCCAAACATGGCACTCACTTGTGTATATATGCCTTAAAGGAAACTGTCAAAACTCATACGTTCTCATGTGTTTCATTGACGCCTCCAAAGCTTTTGACCGTGTCAAACACATTGTGAGAATTCTGACTTACCGGTTGTCCACCAGACAATGCAAGTAAAATGTGGCCAAAGTGTCTCAGCCCCATTTGGGGGCAGCAATGGTGTCCAACAAGAAGGGATTTTGTCCACAGTCTTTTTTCTATGATCATCTATGCATTAATGATTTTCCAAGCAGTCGAAAACTGATACTGAGTGCACGATTGGTAATAACTTAGTTAATCACATTATGTACGCAGGTGATCTTGTGATCTTACAACATGTTCTGTCTATGGTGTGGATCATGATATAAAATGCAATACCAGTAAGAGTGCTATCTTCATGTGTAGAACAAAAGATCAAAAGAGGACAGAATTCTAAAAATCCCTGATTTTAAATTGTCTGATAATTACCTCATTGCCTGTGATAAGGTAAAATATCTTGGACATTTTTATTACAGAACAGATGAACGATGATGATAATATCTACAGGGAACGGCGTAAGCTGTATGAACAAGCTAACATTCGCTCACGCAAATTCAGTATGTGTGCAGGTGGGGTGACGATGTCTCCGTTTAGAGCTTATTGTACAGCACTCTGCACTATTGTGTTACAATTCTAAAAAAGCAAGCCTACAGAGACTCCAAGAAGCTTATAATGATGCCATGAGAATATTACTAGAGAGGCCGAGATGGTGAAGTGCCAGTGAAATGTTTGTTGAGCTCTGGAGACGTTGGTACAGTTGTCTGTTCATAAGGCATTTGTAGGTCTATGTACTTTACTTGTACCGTCTATGTATTGTACATCTTTATTTCTTTACTGTTTTGTACTCTCTGGACTGTGAGTCTGAAACAAAAATGTGATGGATTGATTACTAAAAATGTTGTTGTTTTTTTCATCTCATCGGCAGATGCTCTTGTCCAAAGCAACATACACGTGTTAAACTCAACAAGAGGGACGCAACAAAACAAAAATGTGTTTAAAATCTCTCAACTGGGGACAGAAAAGTTCGAGTGAGGAGTAGTGTTCTAGTTCAGCCACAAGGTGGAGCGACAGCTCCTTGAACGCTCGGCGACGGTCTGGACCGCCTGAATCGACTCTGAACCCGCACTCAGCTCTTTGTGCTTTTGTTTTACTCCTAAATAACGTCCCGTGTTATAAACTCCACTCGTAAAGGTTTAGCAGAGGAGCGCTCATGTCGCGACCACGGACTCGCCGAGGAGGACCCGACGTGAACGCGCCTCGGTCCTTTGTTGCGCAACCTCGGTAGACCGCGTGCTCCTGTACCTTTAAGGGATCTCTCCAGCTTCACCGGAGTGACGCCGCTCGCAGTGGATTCCATACGCACAGAAAGTCCAGCGGCGGAGTGTGGAATCTCCTCCCTGTGGTAGCAGTCTCCTCCAGGTGCTGAGCAAAAAGCAGGTCAGAACATTTCATCTTTACTCAAACTTAATGTCGTCGTCCAGCAAACTAGAAAGCACAAAAAAAAGTGCGGTGGATTTTTTTTTTCTTTTTGTATGGTTTGGACATGTGCTTTTCAATTTCATTTTGAGCTTGTGAGAAAGTTTGTTATTGCAGTATTTTCTTCACGGAATGTGATGTAAGAGTAGTTCTCTATATGGTTAAAAGTGTCCCTCGTAACCAGTTTCTATTCTAATTACGGTTTCTCTTGTAAAATATATATTTCTCCTACAAGAGAATTCGTGCTCTGGGAATTTTTGGTCGATCAATGAAAAGGGTAACAGTGTTTATAAAGCTTTTGTTTCCTATTTCATTTGTGAGTGTTGGGAGTCTCACGGGCTGTTGGGGTTGAAAGCGCTTTTACACTTGCTCCTGTGCACAGATCTGGCAGGAAGTAGATGTGCAGTGAACATCATCTCTTTCTCATAAGGCTAAATGTAGTGACACAGTTGAGCAATCAACCGTAGGCTTTTACCCACACATATTTTTTTAATAAACTTCTTTTCATGCTGTCCGACCAACAGGAACAGTAAGATGCACATGTTGCTTCTGTTTCTTCACTTTTTCACAATAGTAAGGGAGGCTTTTAATGGTGTTGAAAACCTTAAGAAGGTATATTAGTGCCAATGTGTCAAGTCCACATTTTGAATAAATCCAGCGAACGTCTTTGTTTTTTTTGTTTAAAGTGCTATACAGTATGTTTTCTCTCCACATTGCTCTTTAAACTTAAACCGTAAACAAATGTAACTTGACTTGGTTGCATTCATTTGGATTCCTATCTGTCTCTGATTGATGCGCGTTGTAACTCCTCTCCACAGAACATTTTTCATCATGAACGCAGACAAAGATCCTGAGTTTACCGCCCCAGAGGGAAACGGGATGGGTGAGTGTCTGATTCCTCGTCTTTATGGTGACGATGTGCGCTATGAGGTTGCACACATTTCTCCACAGCTTCCAACATCCTGCTTGCCACACAGCCTCAACACACAGGTCTGAAAAGTATTGAGAACTGGACGGGCACCGGCTGCATTTAACGGCCGTCCGTCTGTTTCCCTCGTTCACCCGCGTGAAAAAGTCCTCCTGCGCATTTACTGGATTTTAATACTCCAGCACTCTTAACAGGCATCAGTAGTTTACTGTGTTGAAGTTCTCCAAATGAAACAAAAAGTAACACCCGAGCATTTGCACAATGTGTCACTTTTTAGACGTTTGCAGTGATGTTGCAGACTTGAAGCCACAGGAGGAAGAAGAAGAAGAGAGGGAAGATAATTCATCTGGTGAAAATGGAATGCAGTGTGCTGAAGGTGTGACGGCCTCACGTATGTACACCCCACCAACACACACACACGCACCCCCACACACGCACCCCCCCCATACACACACACACACACACACACACACACACACACACACACCCACATGTGACATCTTTCCATTCTGCTTTGCATTTTAGCTTTCAAGTTTACACCATCCAGCAGTTTACAATTTATCTTTTGGTCCACTGTAATTCCAGAACGCTAGAAAAAGATTTAGTGTTCTAGTTACTACCATTTCTATGTTTATTTTACAAACTTTTGGGGGGGGATTTTGTAAACCAGTGTTCGAGAGTCTTTTCTAAACCAATTGCAACAAGGGGAAGTCTTTTCACTCAAAATGATTTAAAATAAACAGTGGGTGTAATAAAATATGTTCAACTAGTGACAGATTACATATGATGAACAAGTGTTGGACCCTTTTGTATTTCCTCCCACAGATTAGGCAGGAAAGGTCACGTAGTCATCCTCGGGTAGAGTTAAAGGCTCCTTGTTAGTCAATGCAAGGTTGAGAAAACCCTTCTGAGAATATGATTTGATCTGCTTTCCACACAGCAAGTGTAGATCCAGAGCAGGAACGTGAGCAACGCGACGGCTCAATCAACACCAGTCGTGTTTTTGTCCTGTATTGTCCGATGAAACTTACATCTTTATTCCTCTTATGGCCATTTCTTCAAACATTGTTTCACACACAGTATTGTATGTCAAGTTGGGAAATGTCTTCACTCAGACTTGTGGCCTTAGTTTTTTTTTTGTCTCAAAAAGAACACGGTGTGACAGATAGCACTCCTATTTCTCTCTGACCGCCACCCATCTGCCCCAATGGGTGCACTTCCTAAAGCCCTGCTCTGCATGCGATGAGCAGCCTGCGGTTCATTCTCTGAGACCCTGGACTCTATATCGGGCCCCTCTGAGCTGTGCATCTGCAAAGTTTCCATAGCACCTCTGAGCGCTTTCCACGATAAAAGCCGACGCTCTTCAGTTCATCACCAGTCGCCGCCAAGACCACAGTGTGGTTTCTGGATGGAACCGAGCACACTGACACTAAGCAAGAGTTTAGGTGAGAGGTCCTGCTAACCAGGCCTCGAGGTGCAACGTGGGCGTTGAGAAATTGAAATACAGTTGAGCAGATCCTGTAAGGTGTGGAAGCTTGACCTACAGTGGGGTAAGGGACCCGTGGCCAAGACGAAATAGTCCGCAAAAAAGACACACACACAAAAACTAAATGCTAGAAATGGACTCGAGTTTGAGCCCTGCTGGCTTGTTGCAGATGAATGTTTTTCAACCTCGGTGATGCAGGCAACAAACAATCTTTTTTGAAAACAGCAATGAGGAATTGGTGTTGTCTGTGCGAGGCGCCTGTTTTCTCTGTCTCCTGCCCTGGTTCTAGTTTCTGTGAATTCAGAGGAAATGCCTTCCCCCTTATCTTGTGTGCACATCTTTTGAATCTCTTTGTGACACTTCACATAAGCCCAAATTAAGATTCCACGCATTGGAGACGTGCTTGTACTAATATGAAACTGTATCAGCTATAAATACAAATGTAGAAGTAAAGATGTGACTGGGTTTTTACATTCTGGTTGGAGTCTAATCATGCATAGTTAGCGCCTTATTTGGAAATTACAACAAAAATCGACCGTTAAATATGGACGGCATGTCTCGCATGTCTAAGTCTCTGCATGTGTTTGCATCCGATGTCACTCCAAATCTATTCTCCCTTGCTTCCTCCTTGCTAAGATGCGATAAAGATCGAGGCAGAGGAGATGGAGGAAGACGATCTGTACCCTGAGGCCGAAAAAGAACGAGAGATATCGCTGAAAGAGGAAGCGGAGGGGGCCAGTGAGGACGGCACGGAGGAAGGATTCGACGAGGAGAGAACAGAGGAGGACGATGACGAGGAGAGGGACGGGGAGGGGGACGAAGAGGGAGATACCCTGAATGAGCCACAGGACCTGTCACTGATGGACTACTCGCGATACAACAGCGCGACCCTGCTGGACACCCACGCAGGAGCGGCGGCCGGCGCAGAAGGGACCTACGTGTCTGGAGCCGCGGCCCCTCGCATCCAGACGACAGGCAAGCTCAACTGTGACATCTGTGGCCTGTCCTGCGTCAGCATCAACGTACTGCTGGTGCACAAACGCAGCCACACGGGTAAAGCACAGGAACACAGCCCAAAGTACCTGACCTCAAACACAACCGTTGCGCAATTCCTCTCTGTCGATAGCACTATCAGATATCGCCTTCGCGTTGACTAGGTCGAGATGTTTCATCGCGCAGCTGCGTTTAACAACGAGAGGGTCTGTGTCACACGTGACGTAGACGAGCTAACCAGTGCTACATTAACACCAGGAGGTTGCGACATATTCTCCATTGTTCAAATGTGCAGCGCACGCAATCATTTTGTGATTTGTTTGTGAACAGAGCACATGAGAGTACATCTACAGCTAGTACTTTTCCCCTGTTATGCAATTCTTGATTAATAACTCGTTTGATAATAACTTGTATATATGGTGCATGCTAACACTGTACTACTACTGTCACTTGTCAGCCACATGAACACACATAACATTTCTTTAACCTTTAAGATATCCTCATTTCTACTTAAGAAGATTTGTACACTACGTGCATTTCAACTGTAACCCAACACAATGCATCTACAGCAACAGATCCTTTACAGCGATAAAAAGAATGTGCAGATGTCATGTTGCAGGCTCGTTCTTCATGGCGTGTCTCTTTTCACCTAGGTGAGAGGCCATTCCACTGCACTCAATGCGGGGCCTCCTTCACCCAGAAGGGAAACCTGCTGCGCCACATCAAACTGCACTCCGGGGAGAAGCCTTTCAAATGCCCCATGTGCAGCTACGCCTGCCGCCGGCGCGATGCTCTGAGCGGGCACCTGCGCACCCATTCTGGTACGAGCCAGCCGCACACTCACTCACGTGTAAAGTTGATTTGCACTGATACTGTATGCACCTGTGCATCCTTTTATGTTTGTTGGTTTGCCACCCATTGGTGTTGGTTTCTCATTCCTTTTGATTCACACGAGGTCTGCCGAGTGCGCTTTTCCAGTAACAACCTGCCATGCCCTCTCATATGGTTACGCTCATCACATATGGCGTGTTACTCATTTCCCTTTGGAAACTTACTCATTCATTTTCAGTTCACGTGTTTTACCTGAGTATGCTTACCGTCAGTTTTGTATGAAACAAGCCTACTCAAGGAAATAACACTCACAGCAGCATTAAGGCGGCGTGGATGTTTAATGTGTTGGTGATCAACTGAACCTTCTGCTCCCAGTGGAGAAACCCTTCAAGTGCAACCATTGCAGCCGCAGCTACAAGCAGCGCAGCTCCCTGGAGGAGCACAGAGAGAGGTGCCATGTGTACATTCAGAGCAAAGGCCCCGTTGAGAGAGGTGAGCGCACGCCACCAACGCAGCCACTCTCTGCGTCGCCAACAGCTTTGAAACTACAGCAAGACACACCTCACACATGCACACGTAACTGCTGATGTCATCTGACCACGGCACAGCTTACACAGGCCCATTGCAACAAATGGGCACAGTTATAGCTTGTTACTGCTAGCAGATTCTGTTATGATAGCCTCGTGCGCATTAATGAGCTTATGACAGTTACCCCATCATTACAGCTAAATAGGTTATGGCTGCTGTGGTTTGGAGGCACAGCGTATGAAGACCGCTTCTAATGTCTGAAGCGGCAAAGGGGAAGCCAAATATGTAGGGCAAATGTTTCAACCCAGCCGCTCAACACACCCACACACACAAAACCCTCCAAATTGTATTTATTTAACCTTTATTTAATCAGATAATATCCATTAAGATACAATCTATCTGGCAAAGGAAGCAGCACAGTTCAACATTGATTGCACGCATACAATAAAAGAAAACCACACAATACAGAGTAACAAATTAAGTCCACACATCAACAGAACTTAAATTGGCCTCCCCCCAAAAATGCCTTTATGTATAGGACAGTTGCACGGTTGCAACACACACAAGATGCCTCTGTGGTCACCAAAATGTTGTAAGTTTATGCCTGATAGTGCCGTAGTGTTGAGGAAGTACATCCTCATCCTGTGGTCTCCACTCCTGCACTGCTGATGTAAAAACCCACCAGGAAGCAAAGTCAAAGGATCTTCTGATCAGAAATTAATATCTTGTTCCTCCCAGTGTGACTCAGCTTCGAGCACAGCTGGCGTGTCTTGCGGGGTTGATTTTTTTTTTTTTACTTCACTTTACAACCTCAAAAGCCTCGCCAGATGGAAAGTTGCAACTCGGTGCGCTGCCTGTATCTTTAAAACTGCTCGATCGAGCAGAGGTCCTCATTTCTTCGCTGCACTTACTCTCTCGCTCTGTCGCCGTTGAGCAGAGGACAGCCAGACATCCAGGACTCAAATGGGCACCGAGCGCGCTCTGCTGCTCGACAGGCTCGCCAGCAACGTGGCCAAACGGAAGAGCTCAATGCCACAGAAGTTCACCGGTAAGAGCAGCTGGGCCCACAGACACAAAGGGGCTGAGTAGGGCCACTGACCTCAAGATAAAAACAGCATTGTGGTTTTAAAATGTTCTACATTTTCTCTAGGTTTTATTGATATGTTTATATACCTAATTGCTACTTCATATTTTATATGTTCAGTTGTTTTACAGACTTTTGTGTTCATCTTGTGCAGCTCTAAGATGCAGATCTCTTTTCTACGTTTTTACGCCATTTATGCTTATTGCTGTGCTTATGCTTTTATAGAAGTTACATTTCAAGTTGTCTGTATACGCTACTTGTTTGTCAGTCTGTTTGTATTTGCTGGCCTTCATCTCTTGCCAAACAGGAATTGAGGGCAGAAAACCTGCCTCATACCGCAGAGGGGCCTACACTGTCCTAAATTCTCTGTGGGAAATATGCCGTAGGTGGGTATTGGTAACCATGCATGGTTAAATAAATAGCTGCATGTTTTTAGTAGTTCGCTCCCCCCTCTCTCATTAAGCATGAACACTGGGTTTAGTAGACCATATCTCAAACTGCTCACAAAGTGAGAAAAAAAAAACTCCTGCATGTCTCTATCAGGTTGACAAATGAAGTGAGATCTTTCAATATGACAACCACAGGGGGAAAAGAGAAGTAATGTCTGCAACCACAGAGAGAGAGAAAGAGAACAGGCGGGAGGCGAGAAACGTGAGCAGGTGCCTCTCTGACTATTCTTTGTGGTGCAGCTGCACTAGAGGCCTTCGTCTGCGTCTCCTGCTTCCTCTCAGCCCTCTGTCCTCTCACGCCTCCCAGCTCCACTGCTGCCTCGGGGTCCCCTCGTGCTTTAACGCTTCTTCTGTCCTGGGATCTGGGAGTCTTCCAGGTTTCCTTTGTGTGGCCCCGTAGGTGCACATTGTTTCTAATTGCGTATTGTCAACACCAACACTTTAAAGAGTCCTTTAAAGATTGATTTTACTATTTCAACTACATGCTTGTGGTATTTCTCTGGGTAAGGTGTTGAATAAATTATGATAAAAAATGTCTTCAATGCTCTTTTTTTTTTTCTCATGCCGCCGGTCTAGGCGACAATGGTGTCTGCCTTGACCTGAGCTTTAACAGGGAGCTCGTCTACCGTCCTGAGGTCAAAGACCCTCCGGCAGGCTCCCCGGGGCCTGACGCCCACCAACAACCAACACGGCCAGACAGCAACCCGGCTGCCTCCCGCAGGCCCTACCCCATCCAGTTGGGCCGCAACGACCTCAGCCCCATGGGCCTCACTAACGGCAACAAGCTGGGCATGCCGGTCCTCGGCCTCCCTCACGGCAACCAGCCGCCCCTCGGCGTGGACTCGTTCCACGCCGACGGCTCCCAGATGTCCCAGCCTGTAATGTACAACTTGGGGCACCTGCTGGGGGGGCTGAACCACCAGAACGGCATCCCCCACCCGCACGCCCAGCCCATCCCCCTGTCGCCGCTGGAGGCTTTACGGGTGGTGCGGGTAGACGGCGAGGGCGGAGCGCTGCCCGGGGCGGTGTACCCCTGCGGTCACTGCAGGGTGATCTTCCTGGACTATGTCATGTTCACCATCCACATGGGGTGCCACGGCTTCCGTGACCCGCTCGAGTGCAACGTGTGCGGCCACCGCAGTCGGGACCGTTACGAGTTCTCCTCCCACATAGCCCGCGGCGAGCATCGCCTAGAACTGAAGTAGCGTTCATTCATGCTTGTGACACACACACATGCTCAGAAAGATAACACTGTAGAAGAACACACACAGATTTACTCATATAAGTAGCTGGTAGTATTAGAAATGAAAGCATGAAGTCTTTTGTGTGCGTGTGTATGTGTGTGTGTGTGTGTGTGTATGAGGGTCTGTGGGTGGCTGTGTGTGGTGTTTGTGTGAGTGTGTGGGAGCATGAGTTTGTGTGTAAGACCGGGCTATTGAGATAGACGTTATAGGAGCGTTGTCAGTGTGTTCTTAGTCATACTGCACTCATCTGAAAAGATGCGTGCCTGAAGTTAATGCAGGAGTAATTCTACTTCCTTTTCCTTTACATTAGTAGTCAACGATCACTGTTTATATAATATTGTCAGCCATACATGCATTTAAATGTTCATCAAGATAGCAAAAGAGAATGAATGTTTTGTGTATTTACTCTTTTTTTCACTGTTATATGTGTAAAGATGTTAAAATAAAAGACAACAACTCCTTTTCCTTCACCTAACGAAGACCTGCAAATTCCTGCGAGAGGTTTATCTTCTCTTAAAAGCACTTGCCAATTCAAGACTGTAGAAAAAAAAAATCCTATTATCTAGAAGGTCACATGTCTCCTTTTAGGCTGTGGTTTGAGAGAAGTGCAGAAAACAGCTTCAAAGGACATCACTTTGCTCTGCAGCATGTGTTGGTTTCTCACAACATTAAACACTCAAACAAAGTTAGAAAGGACTCACAGACACGTTGTCGGCGCACAAAACCGTGTATATACTTAGCAGTTAGAGACTATCGGGGATATAAATGAACGTTGAGGTCATTCTAAAATTAAAGTCAAGTGCTGTTGAACACCGAAAGCTTTCTCTGAAATCATATTAACGCGTTCACACTAATCCGGTAACCAGGAATATCAGCCACTGCACTATAGAAGATTGGTACGATATGAAAATGATCAAATTAGGGTCAAAAAATAACAAATTACACTTGTCTTATGTGGAGGCATTGTCAATAGACACCAGCGTCTCTTCCTTCCCAGCCCCACGGTGAGGAAATGAATGTGAGTGGATGTCTCTTCACACCAGCTCCCATCTGCTGGGAGAAGCGTGGTACTGCACGAGATGACTTCTCCTCACGTAGGATCCCAAAGTGCTTTACAGTATACTCTTGGGACCCTTTAAAATGGGGCAGGAGGGGGCTCCCAAACTAAACAGAGAATAGCGCTCATTTTCAACTAGACGACAACTCAACGAGAGAATGATTCCAATCAATAGTTTCACTCTTCCCACCAACTTTCACTTCACCCCCAGAACACATGGTAGCAAGTGACGGCTGCCAGTAACACTCAGGGATGGAATTTATGTGTGTGTGATGGAACAAAGTAGCTTCCAATCGAGGGTTTGAGGTCATTTTGGATATGACAGACTCAAGGAACCTCCGCTGAAGTGGAGCTGCACGCGCAGAACGGGTTTCTGACTAGCAACTGAGTCAGTGCGGGGAGCCGCGTGTGCAGATGAAGTTGGATGCGCTACAGGGGACTCGGTCACGCCTTTGCGGCCTTCCGACCAGAACAGGGTGTTAGCTACATCCAGCTGCCACCCTGCTATCTGTCCTCTCCATCAGAGACAGTTCCCTTTTCTCTCCTTGGGCTTGATGAGAAGTGACAACTGTCATGACAGCGTTGTGTCTGTAGGTTAGATTAAAAAGCCATGTCATTTAAAAAAAAAAAGCAGCTTCTCTTTTTTTTGTTGTTTGCTGAGGAAGATAGTGGACTCTGTACAGACTCATAAGGGAACACGTATTGAAACATCACCCCAGAACAAAGAAATAACCAAATAACAAAAAAGTATTGGGCGTACCTCTAGACGGGCCCTGCACCAACTGTGTGTCTCTGGAGTCCCTTATCCACCATAAAAGAGGCCTGCTCGTCAAAACGAGGGGCTTCTGGTGACATCTGCTGTCTGAATTATATGATTCAACTTAATGTCCCAAAAAAAAGAGGAACGAGATCCATGGTGATGAAGTATAACTGGTACAATAACACACCAACCGAGGAATCAAATATAGGTTGACTGGATCCAAACGTATATGTAATGTTTTGGGCTGTGAATAGAAAGAGTTTATCCCACAGATAGAAAGAATAATACACAATGGATGTAGATTCAGTTGTTTGGGAATGGAACGAATCACAATAAAGTAAAATATAAATGTCGATACACACACACAGTTGTATCGTTCACACTGGGTGTTTTGAATTTCAGATCAGGACGTCGGATGGTGAAATAGCTTGTAATTCTCGTCCCGCTTCTCCGTGGACATCCTGAAGATGGCGCTATTGAAACAAACTTGAATGAAGAAACGCAGCCAGCGGTTTTGACGGATTGATCGACATGTTCTTTCGAATCTAATTTCTAGAACTACTCCACGAATTCGGGTACAATATACTGCCACGCTGATAAAAAATTTAAATTATTATTATTTTTTTAAACGTTAAAGCCTGAAAACACGTGGTGCGAAAAAGAAAATAAACGCTTCCCGTTAACAGAATAACAATAACTTGCTACCTTTCGCTGTGACTTTACTCCAAACCACAAGCTCGGGTCTGAGCATGCGCACTGCATCGGTTCTATGGGGACGGGGAGGACATCACGGAAAAAAAAACAAAAAAACGCAGCAGCAGCACCACAAACAACCCCACGCCGAGATTTCGCCTCTCCGCTGCGCCGACAGCGCGCGACCAAAGCGGCCCCACGGCCATGCCCGGTGCGGCGTTAAAGTGCGGGACGACCGCTTGACAGGCCCGGGCGAGGTCTGAGCCGTCGCCGGGGTTGGGGAGGGGGTGGGTGGAAGCTGGGAGGGGAAATACATTTCTTCGTATGGGAGCAGCATGCGGGAAATGGTTGGAGGTTGCTGCGTGTGTTCGGACGAGCGAGGCTGGGCGGAGAACCCGCTGGTTTACTGTGATGGACACGGCTGCAGCGTCGCCGTTCACCAAGGTAACGTTTTAGCCGCCGTCGGAGCCTCGATTGGCGGGCAGCTGTCGCGGCTGGAGGCGGCCAGAGGTTGCTGGTGGGGGGCGCTTCTCAGCGGGTTCATCGCGGCGTACGTGCGCGCGTGAGTGTGTGTCTGTGTGTGTGTGTGTGTGTGTGTGTGTGTGTGTGTGTGCGCGCGCGCGTGTGTCTGTGTGGGAGGGGTAGGTGGGCGTGCGGTTTGTTGTTTCCTCCGCGCGCACAGGACTGAACACACAGGGCCGAGAGGCGCAGTGTGACACCGAGTCCGGATGGCGCCTTGACGCCACTTCAGGTCCGCGTACGTGCGTGCGTGCGTGCGTGCGCGGCCGTGTGGCCCCGCGACACACTGCGAGAAGCGTGTTTTTGCGACCAAACTGAGGCCCGCCGGGTCGATTATGTTGCCCTGTGTCCACTTGCTTTGTTGCTTTAATGAGACAAAACAAGTGTGTGAGTTGTTAACTTTTATGAGCTCTGCCGCTGATCGTCTGCGGAGGAGGCTGCTGCGGATTTATGCCTGGCTGACTTTCCTAATATGCAGGGTTTTTTTTATTTTTTTAAAGCGGTGATTACTTTGTTCCTGTAAAAGTCAGTGAAAGTGCTGCAAAATGTAATTAAAGAAAGATGAGCTGGATGCTGACGCAGGAGGCTGAGTTGAGAGCGGTCTTCACGGGGTCAATTTATTTCCTATTTAATCTCAAATTAAAGTTCCAACTGGAAATATTAATATCTTCTGACCAATATTACAGAAGCACTTAACACATTATAACAGATATGTGAAAAAATAAGTGGAAGTGGAAAACGGTAACCATAGCAATGTGAAAGACATTTTTTATGTCTGTATGTATCAAAAATGTGTCACAGTCACGTATGTGTCAAACAGTTGCAGAGGACCATGTTTTAAAAATAGTATCATCAACCTCTCCCGTGTGTGTGTGTGTGTGTGTGTGTGTGTGTGCACGTGTTTCCCTCCCAGCATGTTACGGCATAGTCCAGGTTCCCACCGGTCCGTGGTTCTGTCGGAAGTGTGAATCGCAGGAGAGGGCAGCCCGCGTGGTGAGTGTGCCAAAACATAACGTGACACAAAACCCACCCATCCATTCATCCACCCATCCACTGCTTCAGCCGTTCACCGCTCACAGCAAGCTCTGCTCTCTCCTGTCCTGCCTCAGAGGTGCGAGCTGTGTCCCCACAAAGATGGTGCCCTCAAGAGGACAGACAGTGGAGGTAAATCCCACCTTCTGCCCGTCCCACTGCTTCTCCTGAGTTTACTGAACCCGTTTTTCACTTCACACATTCATTACAAACCTCATCATGTCGTTGAACCTTTGCCGATCTCTCCGTCAGGCTGGGCGCACGTCGTGTGCGCGCTCTACATCCCCGAGGTTCAGTTTGCCAACGTCCTCACTATGGAGCCCATCATCCTGCAGTACGTCCCGCACGACCGATACATCAAGGTACTGACACACACACACACACACACACACAAATGACTGAATAAAAACAGTATTAATATTGGAAAATGAACAGTTTTAGTGAGCGGGACTTCATTGAGGTCTGGTGCCCTGCTTAGAAACTTATTTTAAGGATATTCAGAACAGCTTTTTTTTCTATTTCTGGACATGTGGTATCCACATGTAAACAGGTTTTTTTTTAACCTGTTGGAGCATCTGAGACACTGATGAAAAAAAACACCTATGACAATCGATGACCAGACATCCATCATTTCCAACCAAACAATTAAAATTGCATTAAATGTTTGGTCCAATTCATACTTGCTGCACCTGTGATTTTTATGTTGAACTTTTTTTAAGAAAAAGAACATTGAATTGAACATCAAAGTTGAATTGGCGCTTGTACTTGTTTAAGAGCCCCATTAAAGAGCTGCATACTGAGAGCAAGGATTATAGAAACTAATCTAAGCCCAGATGTTGTCAGCTTTGGTGTCAGACCAAACAGAGCAGTGCCTTTCTGGGTTTTTTCTTTAGCGTCACAAATCCCACAGAGAGAAATCCATCATAAAAGAAGAAAGCCTTAGAAGGTTCTCTAGCAGCGACAGCAGCTACAACAGACACAGCTTTAGTCATCTGGGAAACGGCACAACTCTTCTTTCCCCTGTGAACCGAGAAAAAAAATGGGTCGCTCCACCGCATCACCGTCTCTCCACCTACACGCGCCGTACAAACCCCCTGCGGAATGTGGCACGGTCACGCCCTTCCTCTGGAGGTGGTTTAAAGTCATTCTGGGAAACGTGGGCGATATTTCATCCTTCAAAGGGACCTCAAAATGCAAAATGTGTTTTCTTTCTCTTTCCTTGGAGGTATTGACCAAAGGGACTGGATGGCGCTCAGCTTGGGGGGCTTGAAGGGGCAAAAAGAATTTGATTTGTCTCTTTCCAGGAATCATTGCTCGATTACTGGAGATGATCCACGGACCACATTGTCAGCGGCTTCACGTAGGAGCTATTTTCTTTCAGCCACGGTTCCATGAAACTACTGGAACCGCCGAAAGTAGATGCGACTGTTCAAGAGAACAGTACAGAAAAAGTACATCAAATGGTTCATGTGCACGTAATGATTCACCAACAATTTTGATATCTTGTTATTGTGGCTATATAGACGCAATTGTTGGTGCTGTTTGCTGCTAGACTGCCCTGTTAATACAGGCGAGTGTTTCCCTTTGTGGGCAATAAGTAAGTGAATGAACCGTAGTGAAAATGTTTTTGAGAGTCAAAACACCAACAAAGACGGATTGTAAGAGAATATTTCTAGATAAAATCCTGACGCTTGAGTACGGCTCTAAAATACACCTTGTAATCAACTGATTTTCTCTGGAGAGATTAGTTTAAAGTCAAATATCATGCAAAGGCACTGGAAGCTTCCTGAATTAGAACTTCCTGAAGTTGATGCACTAAATAATTTTTACATAGTTAACAATTGAATCTACAAGCCTCGGATATTCAGAAGGGATACCAAAGTATTCTGCTAATAGTGTAAGAGTTTAAGACCATTATACCCTTAAGATACATCGCTGTTTTGTGACTTTATCCATTTGCACCTCTGTTTAGTCTCTGGCACACGGTAGTAGTTTGCGCCGGTCTGGCCAGCGTGCATTAGAGCAGGCAAAGCAAAGCAATGCCCACTGCAAAGAAATCAATATTTGACGGATGTACTCACTAGACAGTGGCTTACGTGCTGTGTGTAGGCAATGTGAGTTTGTCTGTGTGCCTGCATATAAATGTACACATGTGGGTGCTCGAGTTCCCGGTTTCATATTACTGTGTTGGCTACAGTAAATTGCATGCAGACCTTGCCTGTCGGAGCCATTCGTCCTGATTTTGCAGCCTGCATTCCTAGACAGCGTTTCAATGCACAGTGAAAACCTGAGACGCCGATCTTCCTTTTTACGCGCTCTGTGTGCGTTGTGTCTGTGGCCTTTCACCACATTGTCGACATCCCCCTGAAGAGAGCGGAAAGTAGAGTTAGTGTGTGGAAGTGGAGGAAGACAGAGAAAAGGCAAAATGAAGGGAGAGCTGGAGCAAAAAGGTAAAGAGCCCGCTGTTCCTTTGTCCTGCACCTGTTGCTAGGCCTCTTCTGCCCCCCCCCCACTAGCAGTCTGCCCCGCTCACTAGGGAGAGGCTGAGAAAGAAGTACAAAAGCTCTGTGTGTGCGTTCATGTGTTTGTCTGCTTTTGTGTGTTTGCTTAGTATTTTGGGGACATGTGTCAGAGGAACCTGATCCTGCCGTCATGCTGGAGGAAAGCTTGAAGCTCTATTATGTATCTAATATATTTTCTTTTATCACGGCTGCGCGTAATTCATATGTTTTTGTTTTTCATCAAAGTTCCCCGCAGTTTCTCATGAAGCCATTTTACACCAATTCTAGAAGGAAATGATGACGTTTTAGTAGCCTCCTGATAGAAAAACCTCAAAGTAAAAGCGCTCCACATGCTCTTCAGTGTCAGCTTTGTTTTTTTCATTCAACATTCCCAAACATCTGGTTAACAGTTTTGCCGCACTAAGTGGAAAGCACTGTTCTGCTTGAAAGCTCCATCTGTTGTCTTGACAAAACCTCTTTTACAGTACAGCTGCGGCCGGACTCAAAGTAATAAAATCACGATGGCTATCTTCAATTGCCAAATCATGCGAATGAATGAGGGCTACCCGTCTTTCCACGTTCTGTTCTTTTTTTTGTTTTAATGGCAAAGGCTTGTTTTTATCTACAGCGGAATGTAGCACCTGTTAATAATACTAATCACTGATATGTCTCTGCCCCCCCCCCCCCCCCCTCCTCTATTCTGTCCATCAGACCTGTTATATCTGTGAGGACCACGGGAGGGAGAGCAAGGCGGCCTGCGGAGCTTGCATGACCTGCAACAGACAGGGCTGCAGACAGGCTTTCCATGTCACCTGGTAAGTCTTAGAGTGGAGTGAGTGAGCTGCTGATCCATGGTACCACTTTCAGTTTTGAAGAAAGAAAAAGAAGAAGAATGTAGTGGTGTGGTCAGAATGACCTTTGGTAAAATAACTGTAAACGGACGTTGTAGAATGGATGAGTTGCTGGTTTAACGCCGCCTCCATCAATCAGGTTTGTTTGTGTCATTGTGTGACTTTGGTGAACGCAAACTAACCATTCAAATTTCACACAGTCACACAATGACACAAACTATGGTCAAGGCGTAGTCTGAATTCAGATAAACGTGATTCATTTTACTTGTTGACTGGTGCAATGAGTGGTGAAAAAGCTGCACAATTGATGGCTTGTTGCAGTCAGTCACCCGCAGAGGATTTGTGTGCTGTACTTTTCCCACCCGACCCCCTATCTCCTTAGTTATTATAAAACACATAGCTGCAGCTATTCCTATCGCATCGCATTCATTAAAATCAACTCTGTAATAATGTTTCCAGAGGCATTTGATCCATCCTGTCTTGATCAATGACAAAAGCTCTCGTGTGTGTGTGTGTGTGTGATCTCTCTTCTTCTTCCTCTCCTGTCTGACCCCGTGACCCCCTGCGTTCAGTGCTCAGATGGCGGGTCTGCTGTGCGAGGAGGAAGGCCCAGAAGCTGACAATGTGAAATATTGCGGCTACTGCAAGCACCACTACAACAAAATGGTGAGATGGACTAAAGGCTACAAACCGACATCCTCGCACAAAACATTGCGAAACATTATTGCTTAGTTGAGGGGGCCCCCACATTTTAAAAGTTTTATTTGGTCTTGAGACCATGCTTACTTTTTCCTTTGGGGTTTTACAGCAGAAGAAGTTGCGCTCCAGTGAAAACACAAGTAGCTCGTTCAGTCATGCCCGGAGGCTGTCGAGCTCTCCACCACAAGACAAACATCACCACCACAGACCGAGGAAGGTAAGCGTTAGTGCTGAATGTAAAACTTTACCAGTTTTCACCCATTTACGGAGATAAAGTTCTTGTCTGTCAGTTTGAAAGCAACATTATAACTTCACATGAAAACACATTTCACTGTGAAAATGTGTGAAACACATTTAAAGTTCTTAAATTTCAAGGTTTTTAAAATACTGATTTAGAGAAATTGAAGTCCATGTAGTTATGGTTGTGTGTATGCTTGTTTGTGTTTATGTTTGCACAACCCGGTTTGGCTTTTGAAACACCCGTCTCGATGTCTATTCAGAGTCATAAGGACAAGATCCGGCAGAAAGAGCGGCACAAGAAGTCCTCTGACAGCCTGGGCTCATCCGTGATGACCAGCAGTATAGAAAAGGTATGAAAATCCAGCCCACAGGAGGACTTTGACATTCTGGCCACATTGGCAAGTCGTCCCGCTAATCTTAGATGTAACATGTGTGTCGCGGTAAAGATATCCTCCAGTCACCACAACACCAAGGACGGTGAAGGAAAGTCCAAGAAGCTGAGCTCACACAGCCACAGTCATCGCAGCAAGAAGACGGGAAGCACCGGCAAGAGCTGCTCCTCCTCCTCCTGCTCCTCCAGTCCATTCAACACAGGTACGACGTGCCGAATGAAACCGGAGACGGAGTACGACGTCGACCCGGTGACACAGAGGGTAATAACAGCAATTAACTCGAATCCCGTCTTTGTTTCCGTTGGAGGTGGCTCGCTGACCTCCGCCCAGGATTTCCACTCCTTCTCGTCGTCCGCGCGGCTGGAGCGCGAGCACGACCAAAGAGGTGACGACCACGGTGGCGAGGAGCGCCACAGGAGGCCGGCAGTCCAGGAGGAGGAGGGGAACAAAGAGGACGATGAAAAGGAGGACAAAGATGAGGAGGAGGAGGAGGAGGACAGTAAATACCACAAGCCACCAGCTTTGACTCCTGCTGATGGCCCGCTGGCAGGGTCACAGGGTCACGACCGGTCGGAGGGCAACTCGAGCCCTTTCGAGAACAAGGTCACCATCTCCACCTTCGGGTCCATCATGCGCATCACCTCTTCGTCGGGGCTGGGCAGCAGTAGCAAGATCCGAAAGATCTCCTCCTCCGGGGACTACAAGCCCTCCAAGAGTCTTTGTAAGCCGTCTCAACTCAGCACGCCGCCCATCCTGGAGGAGGCGGCCCAGGAGGACAAAGCCACGCCCCCTCCGCTCCCCCGAGAGAGGAGGCACCGCGGCAACAAGAAGAGCAGCCACGGGCCAGGGCGCCCACGCGGCAGCAAGAACCGAGAGAGGAGGGAAGAGGAGCATCACCACCACCGCGCGGCGCCGCCGCCACCTCCTCCTCCAGCATTAACCTCCTCGCTCCACCCGAGCCCGTCCTCCGCCCCTCACCCCGCCTTCCCCTCTACGCTGCCTCCCACAGCCATCTCCTCCTCCTCCTCTTCTTTCTCCTCCTCCGCCGGCGTTTTTTCCACAAGCCGTGGCAACTCTCTGCTCAGTTCTGGTGAGTCTTCGTGGGTGGGTGTTGTGTGGTAGCCCTCCGGCTTCCTGTGTGAGAGAGCACGTGTAAAAAAACAACACTTCATTTACAGGTTGATTCTACAGTGATGAAATGTTTCCATTTCACATTTAGCATGTCAGCGTCCACAGTAGCAGCATATCTGTAATTCAGAACCTCAGAGTGTATTATAATAAGCCATAAGACACTGTTGATGTAAATGTCACTGTTTGCATACACAGGGGTTTAAAATTCAGTATATTGCCCTAGATGGTGTTTTTTGTGTGATCTGCACACATTTCCTGCCCTACTTACAGACTGATTCTCTTGTGTGCACAAGAGCTGCCATGTGTTCCAACCTCACAGAGGAAGATAGTTATATATATATATATATATATATATATATATATATATATATATATATATATACATTTTTACCTAAATTTATCTTCCCTGTCCCTCAGGTATCTACTCCAGTCTGAAGGACCCTCTTGCACTGGGCGTGGGTGTCTGCAGTACCTCTCTCTCCCTGGGTGGAGGGGTGTGTAACACCTCCTTGTCCCTGGGAGGGGGCATGTGTAGCACCCCTCTGTCCTCGGGACTCTCACTTCCTTCAGTCAACGCGGTCTCAAGCACACAGGTATTTCAGAGCGTCAGCGCGAAGGCTCCCAGGGGGATCGGTTTTGTACGCTTCTTATCAGTGCCACCGCACCTCGTCTTTATCTCTGCGTCTTGGGAAAGTTTAAATAAATAAATAATAAATCACCATGCAGTTAGTTTACAAGCCAAAAAGACCAACAGTACCAGCTTATCCTCTGCTTTTCTTTGTCATATACATTTTAGTAAAGTAAATGTCTCAAGTATTTGCTGGATATATTGGGTAACATCTCCTTATTCTCTGGAAAATTATTGTGCACATTTTTCATAATTTGATTATTATTATAAATTATTTCTCCCCATAGACATAACGATTTAATAAATAGAGACATTTTTCCTTCGTGCTCCACTGTGCGCCCGCTGTTCTTATTTTGTGTCGGCCGTATAAAGAGATTTCTTTTTTGTCTCGTAGGTCCATCCGGGTTCCAGCACCAGCTACAGCCTGACCTCCACCCAGCCGTTCGCCGGGTGTCTCTCCACAGCCCCGACACTGCCGCCGCTACTGACCCAGGCCCAGACGTCACTGCCAGGTGAGCGGGACATCAGGGTCCAGAAGTCAACGGGATCTATTTGCATTTGTCTAGAAACTGAAGCTAGTTTTAGATCAGCTTTTTTAAAAATGCCTTCTTACTCATATTTTCCCCCACATGAATGCAATCTCTCAATTTGGTACGAGCTTGCATTAAATAACTAAATTAAGTAAAGTTCACAACTCTTTGTCCCAATTTTCAGAGTCCGACCTCGATGACTGTCGCTTCCCGTGTCAGGGGATCTCGCCGAGAGAGAGTCTTTCTTCACAGTATGTCTCATTTCATTTTTATTGATATGTTTAATGCCAAGTATTAAAAATGCGGGCGGGAATCTCAAAATGCTTCTCTCAGATCCATCAAAGGAAACATCTTTTGGATGAAGTTTCTGTTTCTATTTCTGTAACCAGTAACAGGAAACAGGACGTGAATGGCAGCGATTTAACTAACAAAGCGACTAGATTTGAAAGAAATACTAACCACAGCCACAGGATTTTGATGGTAGTTTCCCAGCTATGACTGCGTCTTTCTTTCTGACTCCCCGGTGGGTTTCTTCTTCTCCTCCCCCACACGTAGGTCTCCTATGAGCTGTCTTCCTCTTCTGTTTGACCAAAGGGACGTGTTGAGTGCAGGAGTGCGAGCTCGCCCTGAGAACGTGCCTCCAGCCAGCTCCCACATCGAGCTCCTGCTGGAGAAACACGGCAATGGAGAGATGGGAGTCAACAGTGAGTGGGATGAACCAGCGGTTACCTCGTGGTTCCCAGGCAAAACTACACAGATAATTTGTTCATTTTGCCTCGTCGAGTCTCTTATAAAATGATTGCGTTAGTTTTAGTCTTTGCCCGTCTATTCATTGTGTGTAAAACCGGTATTTCAGCATAGATAAAGTTTCAGGCTACTCTCACCATCCCTGCAAATCCTTTTACAAAATCTTGAAAGGTGTTGATTTCATTAATATAGAAATAAGGCCTAATTGGTATTAAAATGTCCTAAATAAACCTTAAAAAATAAAACACTTTTTTATTATGAGTTTCTATTATTATTACTTTGCAATCTCAAAACAATAACATATTTTAGATAATTAACAGGTTGCCTTTCATAATTATGTCGAATAATAACGTACAACAATAAAAAATTGCAATTGTAAAGTTGGTCTTGAATATTAAGAAAAGAGTAATATAATTTGTACCACTTCAACATATTTAAAATGATGAATTTAACTTGTGTAGCTTAAGGCATTATATTTATGAACGTGTCGGTCTGATGCATTCAGATTTGGCACATAAAGAATAATTTTTTTAAGGGGATGATGCATAAATATGACACAAGACGTTTCAAGCTTCAACATACACTTACATTTTTACATTCAAAGTATATTTGTTCTCCCAGTCTGTGATGCAGGACATGCTGCACTGACAGCTCCATAGAATATCAATTAGAAAGCATTAAGAGGACGGGGTTGGATTGCTATTTCAGACCTCATGGCACTGCTGTGAAGTAATGCCAGGTATGAAAGCAAGTCTAGGAACCACAAGCTCATTTTAACATTTCCTATTCCAGAGTGAAGTGTAATTTCTCAATTGCACATCTTTAACAACGGTTTATAGAAACTTGAGAAAGAGTTACAAATGTTTGTTTCAGAACAATTTTATCTAAGGTTGGTTGAGCATGTAAGATTGTCCCAAATAGAAAGTGTTTGAGTGGTAATAACTAAAAGTGTGTACAAATGCTATTGTATTAAAACTACTAGCCTTTTAAATAATTCATATACCTCTAATGCGCCACCATGTTTCTACATATTCTGCTTTGTTAAAGCCTTAGAAGCAGGAAAGGACTTTGTGGATGTGTGCACACTTAAAGAAACTGATGTCTTGCTCACTCTCCTGTTTCCTTTTTTTTAAGCTCGAAACTGGCGCAGATATGTGTTGTTGGTTAATTTTCCTAATTAAGATATTTGCTTCACTATTTTTTATGTTGCTTGAATTGTCAGATAGCTGTAATACGCACTCTTTTCAATTTGCAAGAAATAATATTCAGCAGGCCGAATTTATGGGGCACGAGTTGACGATAATTATCCTACGTAATAAACACTAGTTAGTTTCTAGTGAGCAGTAAATTGACCTGTCAGACGATTACCAGTCATCATCATTTGTAGGGTTGTCCCCTCTTTAGGATGGAGATTTCCCCATGCACTTTATTTTTTAAGCAACAGCTAATGGGAACATTATAAAATCAGTTCTCAGTCCTCAGTTTATTGACATCAACAACACACTTAGGGCTGACAAATTTAGAATTGTTGACAAAATTGGAACAGAACAATTTTTGGAACAGAACAAAAAACAGAAAAACGGCCCCAAATTCCAAACTCCTCACATTTAGTGATTTGTGGTTGTTTCCCAACTCATTTGGAAAGTCCTTTCCCGCATCACATCCCACTCCAAACTACAGTCAAATACCGCAAGCATGCCTCCCCTGAGATGCTGTTCCTTTATGCTGACGCGTCTGTCCTCCCTGCGTTTTGTAGTTGTGGAGATGCTCCAGTCGCTCCACTCCCTGCAGCAGGAGAACCAGCGCCTGCAGGACCAGATCCTCGGCCTGACGGCCAAGAAAGAGCGGCTCCAGCTGCTCAACACGGACCTGGCCGTGTCTTTCCCTCCACACTTTCATTCCGGCCACGGCCCCGTGCACACCTCAGCCCAGATCAACTTCCTGTCATCCAGCCACGGTTCGATTGTTTGTCTCTTATACGCCGCTCAAACAAGGACAGAAATTATATGAATGGCAGATGGGGGATAAACTGTCCCTTCAACTGACTGTTAATTTACGTATTCTGCACTGGAAATTAGGCACTTCTTCTGATTTTGATATTCAAAGCAATATCCCGCAATGCCTTAGATTAATGTCCCATAAAATCATGTCTGGTATCGCAAAAATAACATATTGTAAAATGCAGTGCGGAGGCAGTACGTAATTTTGACATTTATGTCCATGTACACCAAAATGCTGCAAATGGAAGATGCTGTGGTGATTTGTTGGGACGTTTAAAGCAGTTTAACATCCATTTAACAAAAAAAAACATTTGGGGTAGTTTTAACCGTGTGCCGCTTTTTTCTTCAGACCTCCTGGGCACCAATAAGAGTCCCCTGTCCAAAGGCTGCTTCATGAATGACACCTCCTTTGTTACCTCATCTGAGGTGAGGACCTGTAGACACTTTTCTGACCTTGATGACATCATGTAAAGAAAACTGCTGAGTAGTTCCAAGCCTCAATCATGACTTTTTCAAATTAACAAACATTATTTAATCAATATAAGGCTTTTTATGCTTTTTTGTATTGCATTCTGCATTCTGGCCTTTCTGCACAGAGAATATACCACACTACCAATATTAGTGTTATACTGTTTAGATATTTACATCAAATTCTAGTTGTGGCTGCATTGTACGGTTTCTGAACCAAAATGTTCCAATAACTACTGCTGTAAAAAGGTAAAAAATGTTAATGTAATGATTTCGAGTACTCCTAAAATGTTTTTATCTAAAAAGAAATCTTGCTTTCAAAGCTTTTTGTTGGCATTTAACCTTTCAAAAACAGTTTCCCTGAAGTAGATAGTTATCTCCTGCTTGATGCACACAAAGGGAGGTTGGAATTATTTAAATACTATTGTTTTCCTTTGATGATGTCATAAGATAGAACAGACATTCAAAGCTCAATTTGAAAGCTTCTATACGATTTGTATGTGATGCACTGTGCAGCCCTACTGTGAACGTCAGCGCGACGGCAATGAATTCACATCTGAAGCCGAGCGCTGAATCGCCACCATGCGTTTGTTTCAGGAGCTCCACTCTGCTAGTCCGTCCCGCAGCAGCTCCTCCCTCTCCTTCCAGAGTACTCCTCCTCCTCAACAGAGTCCCGCCTCCTTCGGCCAGCCCGTGCCGAACGGCCTGAGTCGAGGCTTCACTGATGGCTTGGGCCCCTCCAATCAGGCCGTCGGCTCCTCTTTGCCGGCGGTGGGCGGGTTCATGTCGTCGCTGGCAGGAAGTCCTCAGCTGAATATGAACGGCGTGCTGGGCGGCCTGAACGGCGTGATCCAGTCTCCTGTGCAGAACGCCCCTCAGCCCACCCTGCCTGCTTTGCGCCCCCAGCCTCCACCGCTCAACCCCCAGGCTCTGGCACAGGGCTTCCAGCTCCCCAAGGGTGTGAGCGCGTAAGTACCAAGTCTGCCCTCAAATCGGCCCGAGGGAGAAAAGTCACTTGGAAGCAAATTCTTGTTTTGTTTTCAGGGAGCGTTGCCATTGTGTCCGGTAGAAGTAATCAAATCGTTTCGACTGGTCTCCGCGTGTGTAATGAGGCCGCGTGTCGTTACGTGTGTTTCAGGACGTCTCTCCTGTCGGAGCAGCAGAAGCTGCTTCTTCTCGAGCAGCAGCAGCAGCAACAGCAGCAGCAGCTGCAACATTTCCTCACCTCACAGAACTTCACTCCGGTAATCATTTACACTTACTGTCCCACTACATCTTATCATCCAATATGAAGATTTCTCTTTTTTGATACGCTGGGGAGTCAAAGCATCCTGTCATTATTCAATTTACTTTACTTTGTCTAGTAAGCATGACAATTTCATTTGTGGACTAATATTGCCAACTGGTTCTTTCATTAGTGTCTGGTGGTTTAGGGTTTATTTGAGGTGACATTATGGTACATTTAAGACCACAGAGAACTGGACGTTTCCACTGTTTACTATTAAAGTGTTGCTCACGATAAAGGAGCTGTAGAGTCTCTCACAAACATGTAACATGCTGGGCAGAATGAATACTTGTAATGATGCTTTTTTAGCAAATGCCATTCTTAAAGCATATGGATATTCTCATGGTCACATTTAAAATCTTCCCCCCTTGCATAACCCACCAGGAGCAGCAGGTGATGGTGTGCCAGATGCTGCAGCAGCAGAGACAGAGGGAGCTGCAGCGCCTCACGCTGACGGGAGCGCTGGCCTCCAACCCGAACTCCCCCCTGATCGCCCCGTCACCCACCCTGCTGTCCTCCGCCACGGCCTCCCCCCTGCAGGGCGGCCAGGGAGGCGGCCTCTTCGGCCTGCAGGACAATGCACTGCACAAGCCCGGGGTGAGCGGCGCCGCGGGCCTTCTCGTTGGGAATCGACGGCGTTAGACGTTTTTTGGGTTGAATTGAAGAAGCGTCGTGTGATTTGTGTTCTCAGGCGCCGGGAGAGAAGGGCGGAGACAAGAACGGGTGACGTTTCTCGAAAATGAAGAAACGGTGCGCGGCAGCCTGCTTGAAGAACTACGGTCATCTGACGTGACTCCTGGACGCGTCTCCTTCCTTTGTCATCTTTATATTCCACCCTCTGGAATGAATGTATAACAGGATGGACTTAAACGTCGAGGTGAAGTTTTTCGTGTTCTTGGAATTCTTCAAATCAGAGGTTCTTCTCATAGGTTTTTTTTTTTTATGTAGGCAGCTTTCAGAGAGCATGAATACGGTGGTCTCTTCTTAAATTGCACTAATTTGTTAACCAGACCAACGGGGCTGCTTGTGGAGGCAGAGCCCGAGTTCCTGCTCATCCCTGCAGGTGCTGTGGAGGATTTGGGGTTAAAGAGTGAACTTGAGGTCAGAGCGGTTCTTCTACAGCACTGAGAGTTTCCCTTCTGTCAGTGAGACTCACAAACGTCTGGCACTTCTTGCAACCTTTAACTGTCTTCCTTGATATTGTGTCTTCCCTTTGTGTTCACCCCACCTAAATCTTCATCCAGATCTTCTAATATGTTGCAGCCTCTCAAAGGCACTTACTATGTAAAGGATAATTATACTCATTTCTGATCTATGGTTAGTGGCATTTCAACTTTAAGCTAGTTATTACCTCAGATGTTTCTGCCACTTGTTAACATTTCGTGCTCAGTTATTACCGCAATAGCCTTCACTGGATATAAATGCCCACCAAAAATGTCACTGTTATCTGAAAGGTAATAACCCCTGTAAATGTAAAAATAGCACTTAGCCAACGTGTCCAAAATGGCGCCGTTCTCCACTAGAGCCTGGATTCAACGCGGTGAATCATGTTGGGCTCCAGATTTTATTCAAAACCTCCCTGAGAGTTTCTAAAGAATTGTATATCTTTCCCAGTTGCAATCGAGATTAAGCAGACGAAACCAAACATTTGGAAAATTGTAAGTAAGAAATGATTTTTTTTTTCTTAAACAAGTGTGCACTTTGCATGTTAGTAGCTAACAAAGCAAATTAGTCATCAACACAGTACCTTTATGAAGGATGCTCGGTACCTACTAGCCCACTAGGGACTGACAGCTTTTTGAGTTATGTGAATATTTTGCACTCCTCTTCCTGAAGTGTCCGTTTATTATGTTACTTCCATGCATATATATTCCTTTCATGTTCACTGACTAGTTCTTTTAGCAATACTGGATAGATAATGCCTTAATGATGCTAGATTTACAGAGAAAACCACGAGCCCAAAGGCTTTTACTCTCTTGTCGTCTTTCTTTGATAGTGTTTTTTATCTCGGGGTACAAGGAGGGTGAAAAGACCTTTCCTAAAAACCTGTTTATACTTTTGATAGCTAAGCGAGGATTTCAAAAGTGGAATTGTGTGAATAACCGTATAGTGGTGACCGAAGTGTCAGATCATTTTAAAGTGGTCATTTTTGTGCTGAGTTGCAATGTCCTTTAGTTGTTTTGTGCTTCAGAGAAGTGAGTTACGGGGACTGAAGGAGAAGCTCCTGCACAGCAGGGGTCATAGGAGACAGGATGTTAACTGTTGTTCCGTCACAACGTTGTGCGATGCATAGTGTAGCTGTTATCAGACGGTGAATGGTCGGCGGCTTTACTGTCGACCTTCGCTGCAGGGCCGTGTGAGTCCGTTTAATAACTGAAGCCAATGTAGAGATAAGCGTGTCTTTCTTTCCAGCTTCACTTCATCATACGATGCCTCCGTTTGGCTCTGTTCTATCAACGGAGGCTATTCGCAAAGTAAGGGATTACTTTTATTATATTTTCTCCTGTGTTTCTCACTTGTTTGCAATCTTGAACATGATCTCCCTTACATGTGATATCTCGAGTGCTAGATTATTTTGTTTAGCAGCCACTGTAGACGTCATAAAGGAACACTGTAGCAGTGACAAAAGGAGAATGTTGATCCTGTCCGTAGAGACGTGAGCCAACGCGTCGCAGGTCTGCAGTCGACCGAGTACGTCCTCATTAGTCACCTCTCAAGTGAGGCAAAGTTCAGACACACAACCGTGTTCCAGAGATTGTGGTGCAAGGGTTTTCTGAAGCGGTTTCTTTCTCATGTTGCACTGGGGCGCTTTGGGCCCAATTGTAAAATCGTTTTTTAGTACCTTTTCAATTCTGTTGGAATAAGCAATGTATATTTTAATATGTTTGTGTAGAAACACATTCGTTCTTTTAAGCTTTTGAAGTTTGGGTAACTAAGATAATCCATGTTCTGAATGTCGTACTGTGTATCTTTTTTTATGTGTTACAACATTTAAGCACCTGATTCTGAATGAGGTTTGATGGAGAGGGAGTTACCTATTGAGATACGAATTGCATGAAATGCAGTGACATATCTCAGATGTGTTGCTAAGTACCAAGTAATAACTATGCATAGTTTTGAATGCATTGTTTCCTGAAAAAATGAAATTAAATGAAACGAGCACTGAAATTTAAAAAAAGGACAAGCATGTTGTTATTGTACAGTGTATTTGCTTGAGAGAATTGATCAAAACCAATTTGACATTATTCAGATTAAAAGCCCTGTAAAGTATTTTGGATATTTTTGTGTGTAGAATTAAAAAGACTGAGTTAAGACGATTTTTTTTGTCAATAAATGTATTTTACCGAGTTGTTTGACATTTTCTCTCCGGTGTTGAATGATTTCTCTTTGTTAGTAGTTTGTGCGCTCGAGTAGAGATGAATTCACATATTTGAGTTTTTACCGTTATAAGCAAACACTGCACTATTTGACAGTAGTTTTAAGAGACGGGCGGATCACGTGTACCTTTTTTTTTAAACGTAATGAATGAAGGTGTCTGACGAGGAAGTCGGCTGAGGCAGAAAGTAGTAGGAGGGGCTTCGGGACGCGCTACCAGCGGAGCAGAGGCCATATTGCAGCTTCCACTGAAGTCCGTCCGAAGTTCTCGTGAGGCACCTTTTCGTTCGGTCCTGCGGGATCTTCCCCGTCCGGTGGCGTGAACATGAACGCGAGCATCTGTTTAGTCGCAGTGCGCCGAGGATGGACGCAGAGACTCAGGAGACCTTCTCCCTCCCTGGTGAGCGGTCTTTACAAACTACAAAGTATTTCTATGTTGATCGTTTTTTTTCCGCTTCCGTCGCCCGGTCTCCTTTAGTTCTTCCCGTTCACAATTAGTGCCGAGTCATGATACGAAATCTAATGTGGGCTTTCTCGCTTCAATGTAAACCCCCAAAACGACACCTACCGGTTAGACCAGCTCTCCTACTGTTGTATGTAACAAAAGATGTATCAATATTTTTATATAAATATGTAATGTTTGTGTGTATATATATAAATTTGTTTACATATTCTCTGTGCTGTGTCACATGTTGTGATTATCATTCTGCCTGCAGGTTCCGTGCTGCCTGCAGTCCACACAACCTGTGGCTGCAGCCCGGCTGCCCTACAGAGTGAAGCTGTCTGCTGGGAAACGCTACGCCTGGTGTGCTTGTGGACACAGTAAGAAACAGGTGAGTATGTTTGACCGGTTCGAATGGGGCGTAGCAGTTTGCTGGTGGAGAATCAAATTAAATGTTGTGACTGACCACAATGAAGATCACCAACCGGTGGCTGAGGTCATCTTTTTTTTATGTAATTTCACTTCAAACTAGTCTGATATTTCCAGAGATCCTCAACTCCATTATATATATATATATATATATATATATATATATATATATATCTTACAGATGGAGATTCCAATCCAGAAATCCTGGTCAATCAACACATATCTAGACAGAAATCAGGGTTGTGCTATTTTTTGTTTGCATTACAGACTAGCAGGAGGTGTAACCACGCGAATACACTTTTGTCTTGTTCTATTTGCTTGTCTCGGTTTGGAGAAACACACGTGTACCAGCACGAGATCAAAGCAGCAAGCTGTCATGGCCAATATGTTTTTAGCTACCTAAAAAAAAAAAAGGTTTAATCGTACATTATTTGTAGATTACTTTCACCGCTTTAACTTGGTGTCAGACATCTAAGCCCCATGACTCCATTGATAAAATCTGTAAATTAACAATACAGCTGAGTCTTTTTTCAGGTGTCTATAAAACGTTTTGCCTTTGTGCTGTTACTCCTGTTTGTTTACCCACCGGGGGGCAATCAGATCTTTATCTGCTTACGGTAAAACACTGACTATGGATAAGTATCTCATACGAGCCCACGTCAAATAATCTAAACTATCCCTGAATCAGAAGTAGGGCCCTGTAAATGAATCATTTAAATATGTGCACATTACCCAAGACTGTTTCCTACAGCCCTCACGCGTTCTCTTCTTTTCTTTATCAGCCTTTCTGTGACGGAACTCACGTGTCAAAAGCTCCGACTATCCAACCTCTGCGCTTCACCGCTGACAAAGACAAGGCCGTCATGCTGTGTGCCTGCAAGCAAACCAAGGGCGCACCGTACTGCGACGGCTCACACTTGAAAGTCATCTTCCAGGATTTAGTGAAGTCGATTAAAGGCGTCTTTAAATGAAGAGCATGCAAAGCGTCTAACCTTGGAGGTTAAGGTGCAGTAAACAAACAAAGTGACACTTTGTGATGTTTTCCTTTCATACTTTTCAAAATTATATTTTGTTTGTAGGAATTACATTGCTTTTTTGATAATATGATTTCAACAGAATATCGTCTACCCATTAAAACATGGCTGAAAAAAATAAGTGTTGAAGATGACATGCATGAAGTGGTATGTGAAGATTTGGGCACCCTCCCAAAGAAAAATACATTTAAAAAATAAGAAGAAAGAAAGAAAAAATATACTATAAAGTAATTATTCAGATGTGTCCTTTGAGACAAAAAAATTTTTTTAAGCTGATGTCACAAACGGCCTGCTTGGTAGATGAGGACCAATGATGATCTGGGTGGCTAATCGCTTGATCAGCGTGTTGATGAGGGGGGCCAACATTTTTGCACATTGTAGCAAGTTATTAATTGACAGTGGTGGAAGCTACCTTAAGCGGAGCAGTGACAGCTGACTATAATATCTTATTGTAAAAGTCATATCTCCAGGGGTTTCTCTATAGCATTCTCTTAATTAATCTTAATACTTTTTCCTATGAGATTTTAACCAATATTTTGACTTTTTTAAAAATATGATAACATTAGAAGACAAATTGTTCCTCCGCTCCAAGGATGAAAGTTACCAAATTCTAAAAAAAAATAAAGACTGCGAAAATGTGTACTGGTTCCCTATAGCTTTTTTTGAAGGTCCGGCCTACAGTATGTTTTGACAGTAAATCACATCCATTTAATCCGCCGCTAACCGGTATCCGCCCCAGGATTGGTTCAATTTCTCCTACGTCACTCTACCGGAAGTGATTCCTTCAATCCCGTTGTGAGCGACACTTAGCAGCGCCTCACAAGTAGACGTCACGTTGACGCGACGTGAAAAGTCTTTGGAAACATGAACCCTCTGGTCACCAGAATAGACTTCAAATGGACGCGTTTAACCCTGCGGCAACCTTGGAGAACCGCTATCGCAGGTACCAAGGTAAGTGAAGTCCTATATTTGCCCTGGGCTTTTGTAAATAAGACATGTTTGGGCTAACGTTAAGAGAACGTTGTCTCTGGCCTTCGTTAGCCGTTCAATGTTAGATTTGAGACACCTGATCACAGAGAATGTGGATGCAGGTAGTTCAGATAAGACAAAGAATGCTCCTTGAATGTTCAATCATGCAGGCATCTGTTAAAATACTGCTATAAGAGCATGCACCAAGCTTTCTTTTCATAATAAATAATTGAGAATTCAAATGTGTTTATGTCAACCAACTTTGACGATGTGGAACATGTTGACTTTAGAGTATTCCCACCCTACAACGTTACTGCATGACTTTTTAAATGCAACCAAGTACTCTTCTGTTCCTCTGTTTGCAGGTGCAGCTCTCCACGCTTCCTCCAGAACCTGTTGTCCCCTTCAAGAAGCCTTTCAAGGTGGAGCTCATTGGTGGGAAGCGTTACTCGTGGTGCGCCTGTGGACACAGCAAGAATCAGGTGAAAACCGCTCGTTGACTTCTCATCTCGCATCACACCTGTCAAGTCCTTTACAGGTCCTAAATATTCTCTGATCATCTTTCAGCCTTTCTGCGACGGAGCCCACAAGACCAAAGCCCAAGGCCTGTCACCGCTACGTTTTGTCCCAGAGAAAGATGCCACAGTTTGGCTGTGTGGTTGCAAGTATTCAAACAACCCGCCTTACTGTGACGGGACGCACAAGCAAGCCTTCGTTCTTTCTGCAACATTGCACAAACATAAAGACTCTTGAGAGTCAGATGAATTTGCTCTGCGTATTTATGTTGCTGTTGCACACATTTTCGTACATTGTACATCTCAGTTTTTGAATCTCGATTTTTCTTGCTTTGTCTTTTCTATGGGAGACAAAATGTTGCATTAACGCTGAGTGTTGGACTATATGATGATAATCTGTTGTATAATAGAGGTTAGCATACAGAGACATTTTACTGTTTTGTACTGAGATTGCTGTGAGATCTTTATTTTCTTACGCCATATTGGGCAATGTTATAAATGATACAAGTCCATATAAAAGGGATGTTAAAGAGTGGTTGACTCGTGTTATGGATCAGATTTTGAAGATATATAGACTGTATATTTTACCATCCTATAATCCGTGTGATTTTTGGAACTACAATCTGACTTGGCTGATGCTTCCCCATGTATAAAATATCTTTCTGTTTACGAGATTAATTTATTTTGTTAATTTAAATTTAAGAAATAAGCAGTCACTTGGCATCAAAACCTGCGACCCATGATTATTTAAGACACTTTCCCTTATGGAGCCTCGGTATTGAGAATGCCATGTACTGCATGCAGAAACAATAAACCTTGATAACAAATCGAGAGAGAGAAGACTTTACCTGTGTGCATCCCACAGCAGGTGGCTGTGCTTGTTGGCGACTGACATTTTGCTGTACATGCAGAGTGAAAAAGATCTGTCAAAATCTTGTGTTTTCAGATTCAGCACAGGCTGCTTGAGTAAAATCTCAGTGACGTATATACCACATTACTTTTTAGATGTCTGTGGTGATATTATAGAACTGTGATTAAATTCATTCTGGTAAGCAGAGGGTTTGGCCTTTTATTGGTCACATGACTTTAATCATGTGTCAGTTCGATCCGCTCAAAAGAGAGACCAGCTGAACATCCACCTCACCACAACAAGGAAATGTTATTGCTGTATAAAGGTTGGGAAACAGTGATATGTGTCATGGCATGTTTAGTTTATTACTCATAAATTTTAATTGCATAATGTATAGAGTATGTATATTATTGTAATGGAGTGACTAACACTTCAGTCCCTCCATTTCATACACAGGTTAGCTCCCTGTGAGAAACAAGCTGTTCATATTAAAAGTCAAGCAAAATTTATTTAATCTAAAGCTCCATTCTTGCTACATGCTTTACAACCTATCACATTCAGGGAATCATAAACAGCACAATCAGGTCAGAAAAACCTAGTAAGTAAACATTTTATTGACCTAAAACATGCACATATGGCTGATAAAAAAAAAAGTATTGTTGAAAAGAAACAAAAGGAATGTTGAAATGTATGGAACTACAACATACACGGCCAAATATTCGAATCCCTTTTTGAGCTCAACTGCCATGAGAGAAAAGAACACGGCCTGATGGCAAACGTCTTTTCACAAGCGTGGTAGTGCGAGGAACTTTGTAAATATAAATGCTTCTCCAGTTGGAAAATACTTGTTGGATTGTGTGAGCTGACCGTGACAAAGTGCATCAACCGTTCAATGTAATGTACCTGTTACCTGATGAACATTTGCTTTTAATGGACACATACAGCAGTAATTAACATGACTGTTTTTCTCTTTACATCCAACTCCTGCAGCGACGAACACTGCGATGCCTTCTTAGCATTTTGTCCCGTGTTATGGAGGCAGATCGATGTTGATACATTTACAGTATGGAAATGAAAGACCCACTGCATATACAATACAAAACGATTACAATATCTTGTATAAAAGATAAGTTTATACATATGTATGCACACATGCCCACATTTGATACATACTGTACAGTTTGTATGTGTGCACTGTTCTAGTCTAACACACACAAACACACGCGCACACACACACACACACACACACGCACGCACATACACGCACACAGGTGTCTATTTGGCTGCCCTTCTCAGTCTTTCCCGCTGAAAGATGAGAACCATAATCTGCCTCCTTTTTTTGTCCAGAAGGCTCGAGCTCGTCTTTTCCTCTCCATTTAGAAAGATCGGTCGGGGGAGCAATTCAAACACTGTCCTCCCCGCTCCCCCCTTTCCTGCACGTTAGGTCGTCGGGGGCAAGCCGCTTTTGTCGCCTCCTCTCGCCTCCTCTTTGCTGGCCCCGGAGCTCGTGCCGTTGACAGTCACCTTCCGAGCGTTGGCGCCCTGTTTGGAGGCCAGAGTGTGTCGCTGAGTGTTGTTGGTCACCGTGGTGCCGTTGGAGCTTTGGATGGCGGGGGAGAGGTTGTGGGACGCCGGGCTGGACTGCGAGGAGGCTCTGGGCGGCTGGGCCGCCGTGGGACTGGGGACTTTGTCGCTGTGGGAATCGCTCTCCGATGTCGGGCTGGTGTTGACGCCGTCGGAGTGGCCCTGCACGGCAGACTGGGGGGGCCTCCGGCGCTTCCTGCTGGGTTTGACCAGATACTGCAGGGGGATGGGTCCAGTCTGCACACACGTACACACAATGACGGGACTAGTCGCTCTTTTGCTCCGACGTAATTTAATTCTGCTGTAGTGTTAGTTTTCTTACTTCTCGCAAAAGTTATAAAAGTTGAGTTAATTTGTAGAGTATTTTGCTGAACAAAACATTTCAGTGTCAAAGGTTTGTTTGCCACAGTGGTTATTTTTTTATCCAAAAAGAAACTAAAAACACATCAAGGAGACCCAGTATTACATTAGGTCACACGATCTTTCATATAAACGGAATATCGTTTGACCCGTTGTCAAAGAAACACACATTTGATCAAACGTGTGGGCCTATCCTATTGGCTACCCTTCACATTATCAATTTAGGAACATATAAAATACGAAAAACTATTGCCAGCAGTAATGTCAAGGGACATTTAATATGTAAACTTTGAGTCAGTGCAAAGATGGGAATAAAAACGAAAGCATTCCAGCTACAGGAAGCCGAGAGCTATGACAGCATTGTATTTGCGGTTTGCAGTTAAAAAAAGGAATGAAAGATGCAACTCACTCGTCGCCACTCGTAAAAGTAGGCAATGTCCATTAGTGTGTAGTAGTCCTTCAAGGGTTCATCTCCATACAACACCTCCACCTGTAACACACATTTGAAAAAAAAACTACTAAACACAATGTTTAGATTTCTTCATTTGGAAGTTTAGATCTACTCTACTGCAATGTTTGATCATTGTTGATCATCTAAGGCTGATACCAGTATCTTTGAGCTGAGGTGAAAAGAAAACACTGTATAAAATACAAATCCTTCGTTGAAGTCATCATCAGTACTGGGAATACTAACTGGGCCGTTATCCCGGCTTAACTTGAACTGGTGCCAAGCAATTTTCCCTGAAATGCTCCGAGGGCTTTGACGCTGGCAGCGCAGAATTTTTTGGATATGCATCCCTGATCCCATTCACACATCTCTCCATGCAGGAAATGTCCTTGAATATTTCAGGCACCGACCGCATGCACAAGTCAACCACAGTTGTTAAATGCTAAACGATGAGGCGAAAGTTGGGCCTCATTCGCCGCTACGACTGCAGCCAGGAACAAAACTGTTAATTATTCATTGATAAAGTAAATATCTTGGCTAAAAAAAAATAAAACCGGGGAAAGCACTGAAAGCCAACTGAAGCAGCAAAGTTGCTGCTTTGTTGCAACAATTTTGCAATTTTGATTTTGCAGCAATGCCACTCTGTTTGAGCACATATGATTTGGTGTATTCTGAATTCTGTTAGCGATCATGTTGCACTCACAGCTCCAATAACAGTACGGGTTTCTCTTTAAAAGCGGACAATTGCGTACAATCAAATTCAACCCCCTTTTGTGACGGTGATAACAACTTGACTTTGTGTGGAATGAATTGTAACTCCAATCAATACGGCAGGAGTTTTTGTGTATTGCCAAGTGTCCGCTTACCCGATAGTTGTTGGGAATATCCATCTTGCTACGGAGGAACTTTGCCAAATGCATGACGGACATGGCTGCTGGGCACTGCAGGAAGCGTTTACCATTGGACTGAGAGGGGAACACATAAATCCAGGGTGAAGACCACAAAACCACATTAGACATGAAGAGTAGCGGGCTTCAACCACTGCTTTAACCAACATTGTTTTTTTTATACAAAGATCAGGCTTTACCTTGTCCCCTTCCAACTCTGAATGCTGCCTCTCATTATTTCTGCAGGGAAATATCAAATACAAAGAGAAGGTGTTAAATAATAATGAACAATTCTTTCCACACATACAGAAATCCATGTTCAGAGAGACGTACAGCAGGTGTGAATGGAATCGTTTTGAGTGGCAACACAGATCTTATTCCCCCTTTGTTTACGTAACTACTCATTAATTGCATGTTTAAGTCGTTCCTCTCTCGTTTGCTTTGTCGATGACCATATAGTTGCATTGCGTTGTTCGTAAAATTGTCTAAGAATCCACAGTGCTGTGTTTTGTAAAAAACTGAGATGTGTTTGACTCACTTGTTCCTCTCGTAGAACTGTATAGACAGACTGATGATTTCATCCTCAGCGATGTTAAACGTCTCCACCACTTCCCCCGGTTCCAAAACGCGATTCTCCGCGTAAAAGTCCCGCCTCCGTTTCATCTCATCTGCGATCAGACAAACAAACACACACACACACACACACACACACACACACACACACACGTGTCCATTTGCAACATAAGGCATCATAAAGTGGTATAGCTTGCTTCAAGAAACATGGTCCTACCTTTGAATAACCCCGGAACGAGCTTATAAACAATATCTTGTAGAGTTTTGTCTGCCCTGCAAAGCAATAAGACATGCTTGTTGATAAGAATGACACCCAGAGGTATTTTCATAGGATGCCCTTCATACATCAACACAACTTACCTGATGCTGAGCTGTGGACATGTCTTGTGGACCTGAACGTCACATCGAGGGCAGAACTTATTTGTCTCCAAGAAGGCAACGATGCAAGTTTTACAAACTGGACGGAGAAAGAAAGGACATCGACTTATGTTAAGCCACTGCTGTGTATATTGCAGTGTGACGTGGACCATCATGGGCACTTTCAATTCAATGTAATACAATATTACATCGCTGCTCGTCGTCTTACATCTCATACACATTGCCTACATGAATGGGAGTATGTCACACGCATCATTACTGTGCACACAGATGTTAGATTACCCAAAAAGAACATTAAGGTGAGGTCACAGTGTGCGACTACCGCAGCTCTGCTAAATGCACATACAGCTTTAAGATTTGTGCTAATGTCATGCCGGCGTTGAAGCCAACAGTATGCATGCATGTAAGGCAACGCTGTCAGGTGAGCAACTTACAGGAGTGCAGGCACTCTACGATGGTCGTAGCATCAATTAAGTAACCAGCACACAGCGGGCACGAGAGGTGTGGATTCAGATCTGTGATTTTAATCCGGTTGGGCTGCATTTTATCCATCTGGACAGATCTGCAGTGGAAAACAAACAACAACATGAGAGCTTCTGGTGACAGAGAAACACACAGCAGCCACACGCTCGCGTCCTCGGTGAGAAGACGAGGTCTTTCCCGTGCAGTCGGCGAGTGTCCTCAGACAATGTCTGCGGCTCGTCCTTGGGACAGCAGGTTGGGGAAACCACAACAAAGGGGGTTGGTGGGCAAAGAGTCCGACTGTAACGACGTGTAATAACGCGTGTGGAGCAGGGGATAGGGAAGGGGGGTGGTGTCGTGCAGCTGAATGCAGGCGGTGTGCTAGTGCACAGCCTGCGGGCAGCAGAGTCGCCCCTGTAGTGGCCTCGGCTTGTGCATCCAGCTCTGCCCCGCGACCACCGGACCCAACAAAAGAGCGGAGCTCCGCGTGCAGCAATCCCCCACAAAACGCATCCAGAGAAAACACGGACACTGATGTTGGGGATCGGGGAGGGGGGAGGGGGGGGGGTTGTGTGAGGGGAGTGGGATGCAGGAGCCACAGAAAGAAAAAAACACACACACACACACACTGGTACACAAAGCAGCCATCTTAAATTTACTGACAGGGCTGTATGAGGAGGCGAACAAGAGAGACTCAAAATGTGACACCGTGCGCTCTGTGCGCGCCGCGGCGAACGGCGGCGCGACGCGCCGCACAAAGAGCGATCGCTGATGCATCGTTCCTACCTGGTTTAGACATACGGGTCCCCCCCCTCTCCTCCCTACGAGGATCCGGGTAAATTACTTGGACTTGGGCAGAATTTGCAGCAGCGCCAGAAAATGGCTTTTTCAGCACCGTCAGAGGACTGCCCATTTTGGATCACGTGATATTATTTTGTCGCCTCGCTCACGGGGCAGACTGGCTATCAGGCCCCGCGGACTTTTTACACATTCAGTTTCCCTGCATGAGCCCGACAACACGTTCACATTTTTTCTTTCTTTATTTTACTGTCTTTGTTAATTAATTAATTTCAATATGTTGCACGGGAGAAGGAATAGCCAGGCGCTGTGCTTGTCTCACTTAGATTCTAATGTTAAATGGTTTTGTCCCAGAGGCCCTGCAGGCCTCTGTCCCGGGGGCCCGAGCCATAGGTTGACCCACAAAGAGGTGTGGTGGTGGGATTTCATTTGAAATGTAAATTGTCGCTCCAGTTTTTTTACATGTATTAAAATGCATTATTTGCATGTAATATATCAATACAAGAAATGGCGGGTGGAGCCATAAATCAATGCACAATAAAAAATATTTATAACTATGATTTACACAGTCAGAAAATGTTATGAATGCCTTATCAAACACACACAATTCTTATAATATTTCAGGGAAACGGGGATTTTTTAATTTCATTGTATTAAATTAAAATCTTACCATTTGAGATTGGAGATCTCCTTTTACAGCGTACTTTGTAACCACAACAATAGCAGCACATATGGGACAAAATATCATACAGATTGGACAAAATAAAGATGACTATATGGCAGCTGAATACTAACGAACAATACGATGTACAAATGGAGACTTTGGGAACATGCAGAGAACATCAAAGCTCTCGTAACAATCCCAGGGTTAGCTGGAATATGAATACTGTGAGTGATGTAAACATTACGATGAAAGCTTTCTAACTGAATGGCCATTTTAAAGGGAAATGCAACGTGGTGAGGTATATGGAGATTGCATGGAAGATCCTTCGTCTTAATGTCTGTTTCGGGTTTTTTTCTTCATAATTGAATACATAGTGCATTGAAATCATTTAACCATTTATTTCTATTGTTTTTGTATGTGAAACATGTGGTAAAGAGGAATTTCGTCTGGTTTGCCAACAGTTTTAACCACGATGACATAAATTGTTGTGACTCGTTATCAAACAGCTTTGATGCATGTCCAATTCTAAATGATAGAAACAGGAGACAAGCTGTTATCTAAATTAAACAAGAACATTGAGGGATAAAAACACTTGGTGTTTCTACAGTGGTATACAGTGTAACTGTTTTTAGACTATTCAAAGCTAGTCTACCCCATAAAATGTAAACGGCATTCAGACCCACATCTCGGAAATTGAATTGGATTAAAATATGAAATATAAAAACTCCAAAATTTGGAAGGGCTTGGTGTCTGTATTTTACCCCTCGACCCCAGCCTACAACCCATGTATCTCCCCTGCAGGTCTGGTCCCGCGTGAGATGTGGGAACCCCTGCAGCTCCACCGGCGGCCTGCGGGGGGCGCTGCTGACCGCTGAGAGCATCACAGACGCCATCTTGAGGAGACCCCGAACTGGTTGGTGACTAACAACAATCTCAGGCCAGGCGTATCATGATGGGATTACTCACCAACCAGTAACACAGCAGCACACCGGTTCTGCGTTGCACACGTTGAGAGGGAGGGGGGGTGGGAGAGGCGCAGTCCGGCGGGCGTTCACCATTCCGGGTTGTTGTTGTTTTTTTGTTTTGTTTTTAAAGAGAGAGTTCAGCGCTGTGGCCCGATGACCGGCTAGCTGCTCTCTGGACTCCACCGCGGCCTGCTCGGGAGGAGGAAGGGTGGTGACGGCGCAAAATGCTCTACCGCTGACTCCCAATAAGACCAGAGGCTCGCTGCGAGTCAAGACGACGAGCAAGATGCACTTATAGACCCTTTTTTGTTCTTCTTCAAAAAAAAACGCCCCCTTTAGCTTTTAGCTCTTTCTTGTGTGCGGTGAGGCTGTGTGAGCGCTGTCTCGCGGACCCCTACAAATTCTCAGCCGGAGACATGTCATCCAACTGCACGAGCGCGGCGCCTGTCAGCGCTAGCAAAACCAAGACGAAAAAGAAGCATTTTATAGGACAGAAAGTGAAATTATTCCGTGCGAGCGAGCCCATCCTCAGCATTTTAATGTGGGGGGTCAACCACACGGTGAGTTTGGTCTCGAACGCCACGGTTCTCTTTTGGTTTGTTGACGCTGCCGCTGTTTTGATTTCGCTAGCCTGCTAGCTCGTTAGCCGGCTGCGCTCATCTGTCACAGCGGCGCCCCGGTGTTCGCTAAAGGTTCCCTATTTTGACAAAGTGCTTAAAGCGCACGCACGCAGACGTCTGCTGGCCGACTCTGCACCCCCAGCCGCCTGTTGTCGCACAGTTTGTTAAATAGCTCGCTGCTTGCGACCGCGGTTTGCTTCGCCTGAAGCGTGTGTGGGGTTTTTTCGCAGCGATTTGACGCGTGTCTCAGCTGTGGGGGAGAAAAAAAAATGCACAACCGCGCCCGGTTGTGCACTGAAGGGGCATTTAACAATCTGAAGGTGCGCTAACAATCTGCCGTCGTGGACGGTGAAGTGTTTGGGAGCCCAGTCGTGAGCGGCGTTTTTTGTGTTGTTTTTTTTGCGCTGGTGGAGTGGGAGGGGTGCGCCAGCTGGAGCAGCAGGTTACAGGAGGTTGGTGCTCAGCTGCAGACAATCAGCCTGGCCATTGTTTAACAAAAACGGTGCATGCGTCTGCCTGCTGCAGCTCGTTGCATCGCTTCATTCACGTATCGACAGCTAACAGTAAGCAATAAATCGCGTTCTCTTGTGGTGTGGTAACGCGCAGCGAGGGGCGGATGGGACGCCAGTGATGGAGGTGGTTTGCACCAGCAGCTCCCTCTCACCTGCTGTGCAACACACATGACACACTGTCCGTGTTTTGCTTGTGCATTAAAAGCGCTTCTCACACTATTCCCAGGGTGGAAACTTTTTGATCTGCTCTGAATACAAGAGGAGCCTGTTATCTGTGTTTAGAGTTCATCGTTGCTGTCCGGTGTCATTTTTCACATATTTCATTTTTGGGTTTAAAATACACCGTTTTGATGCAGCCACAGTATTGGGTGGTAAACTGACTCCTCTTCCAAACATTAATATGGTTGTTATGTAATTGATAATAGCCACAGCAGATGTGTTTGTGTCTTGACCACACTTCTAAAAAACATCATCCTTAATACTAGCTCAGCTGTCAATCACATGGTAGGATCATCCAAACACAGGAATTAAGCCAGCAGCTAATGATCTTGTCGTCCCCTGCAGCATCTCCTGATTCGGTGGGTGAACTTTGGCGGTGGGCGTGTGGCTGCAGCTCACAGGCCGGGTGATTTGAGGTGTTTGGGGGGAAGCCAATTCAATACATCAAACAGACTGGTCATCAAAGTCCTCTTCTTCCAGTCAGGAGTTGTGTGTTATGTTTAATAGTGCACTTGCTTTTATGTAGTTTTATGTAGACTTCACTCCCGCACAGTGTCAGTTAGTGTCTAAATGATGTACGGCTGTACACCGCCTGTGTGATGCTGCCATTCCCATGGACTTTCTTTTTATGTCCAAAATTATAATAATTGCCCACTGAGGTTCATCAGAGCTTCAAGTTGAGGGAGTGTTTGTATTTTAATGAGTGGGCCCATTCAGCATGATTAAATAACACCTTTTAAGATAACGTAATCAGATGTGTATGAAGGAAAATATTCAATAATTGTCTGCTCCTTCGTCGCCCTTTGTAGTTCATCGCGGGTCATCACGTTGTGGTAACTTCCGGGCGGTTTGACTCTCTACCGACTGTGGATCTTTTATTCTTCAGTCTTTCCCTCCCATTTCCCCTTTACGGCTTTGTGGCCCCTTTTTATGGAGGTGTATTAATCAATTACATTTTCTCAGAGGTCCATGAGTGTGATGATGAGTTTCAGCAGATACGATCAGAGTTTGGGTGTTCATCAGCTGTCTATGGACCGATGTGATTGGTCCATAGACAGCTATGGACCAATCACAGGGCGATTGGTGCTGGGAAACACTTGGCGTTGTCTTTGAATACTGAAGCCTGTTGCAGGTATTCACAGCTGAGCAGGTTCGGTACATGAGGGCCAAATGAAGCACATATTGAGTTTGTCTGGAACTGCATGACAGTGGGGTATTTCATGCGGGTGTTTGTTTTAAGTTTAATTTATAACTGTGAAATGATGAAATTCAATATTTCTGCTTTGATTTCTTAATTACAGTCTGTAAGTGGGAATATCAGCTCCGGGCTCCTGTCTGATCTCTCTCTCTCTCTCTCTCTTTCCCCCAGATTAACGAGTTAAGTAATGTGCCTGTACCAGTAATGCTGATGCCAGATGACTTTAAAGCCTACAGTAAGATCAAAGTGGACAACCACCTATTTAACAAGTAGGTACATCACAGCTTATGCACTGTCAGCTCAGTCTATCAAAGGCACATTCGACCCAACGGCAGCGTTCAAAACATCCTACGTAACTCCTAAAAGTCAACCCGGTTGGCTACTCTCCCTTTTCGTTCATCCTATGTATCTGCTGTCTTTACACATTCGATTATCTTGTAGCTTCTTTGATTAATGCACCTTTTTTGTTGTTTTTTTGTTGTCCGTTTACAACTGCTTTGAGACCACGTATAGCAGAGTGCTATAGTTACGTAAAGAGATGAGAGATTTCTACACGTCTGTCTTCAGTTGTGGATAGAAAACCTTCGCTCAGATGGCATTAAAAATGTCTTGCTGTCTTGATGCTGTAAATGTCAACTGAATTTTAATTGTTGTCTCTGCACACAATAGCAGAAATGAATCCGATGTTCAACATTCTTCTTTCACATTTTCCGTAATAAGCGTCGAGCTTGTCGTACTCACTGGTTGTGTCTTTTACCTGTCAGAGAAAACCTGCCTAGTCGCTTTAAGTTCAAAGAGTACTGCCCCATGGTGTTCAGAAACCTGAGGGAGCGGTTCTGCATCGATGACCAGGACTACCAGGTAAGTCGTCCCTGGTCAGAGGTTACAATCAAAGGATTTCTGGGGAGCGAGGTCCTGCAAAATGTCTACTCTTAGGTAAGAATACAACTGGATGTTGTGTTTTTTTGTTGTTGGCAGAACTCTCTAACGAGGAGCGCCCCGCTCAACAGCGATTCCCAGGGTCGCTTCGGCAACCGCTTCCTGTCCAGCTACGACCACCGCTTTGTTATTAAAACAGTGTCCAGCGAGGATATCGCTGAGATGCACAACATCCTAAAGAAATATCACCAGGTAGAAGTCCACACTCCTCACACACAGGCCGACCGGAACGTACGTCTTAAGACATCTGTACTATGTGTAATGTTGGGAATGAGGTTTTGATATTTCATGCAATACTTTTTTCCTGTGATCACATATTGTTTATTGATATGCATTAAAATCAGCCATCCATTACAATGAACATACATACGCATACACACACCCACACAAAAAATGCCAATCATAATACAACACACCCCCTCCCCATTTGATGGACTACTTAATGTAAATGTTCACTGTTTGTATAGATGGAGTACAGAAAAGACATGTTAATTTAAGATGTGCTTCCTCAGTTTGAATCGAAAGTTGCTCATGCATGTAAATGATGCAGAAGTGTTGAAATGATAATGAAATGACTTGTGGAGCGCTGCCGTGTCCGGTTTCAATCTGTACTGTATATTTGATGCCTTACTCCCACACTTCTCCCCTGATTCTCTCCAGTTTATAGTGGAGTGTCATGGCAACACGCTGCTGCCGCAGTTCCTGGGCATGTACAGGCTAACAGTGGACGGGGTAGAAACGTACATGGTGGTGACCCGGAATGTTTTCAGCCACCGCCTCACCGTGCACCGCAAATATGACCTGAAGGTAAACACGTGTTGCTTTCCTACATTGCGGAAACGTGTATCGATCACACAATCTTTACAGGACAAAACTACACACTGAACATTATAAGCAGAGACTTAAATCACACATCAGTCTCTCTTTACATCTGTAACCGCTCGTTGAATTAATTCAATGAAGAGAAAGTGTGTGAATACAGAGAGCGATCTTTAATTTGTAAAATTATGGATTAATTAAAATATATAACATGGGGACGTAACAATATATAATACATACACAAATTACGAAATAAATTGAGAAATTGACTACAACAAGAAAAATAATACCACGAGAAAATTATATAATCAGAGGGGACGAGCTTTTGATTAATTTTACTGCTGAAGCAATTAGTTGATTAATCTGGTGAAAATCACTCATTTTAATTCATCATTCGTACAGGTCAAGCCAAAATTCAAAACATTTGCTCTCTCCAGCTTTCTCCGTTTGCAAAGTGGTTACTTTATATTACTTTAATATCTTTTGCTATAAATAAATGGAAAAGCAATTCAATAAATTACATTAAAACAGTCCGAGCACTGCGATTTTTTCTTTTCTATACATCATAATTGATGTTTATTAAACATCCTACAACATCCTAGAATCAATAATCATTTTGCAGTGATTATCCAGGAGGAACAAATAGGAAAAAGTCCATTCCCTCATGTTAAAATTTGCAGAAACTCGTTTTTAAAAAAAAGATCTCTGGAGAAAACAACCGTACGGCTATTGACAGTCTGTCTCGGGTAAAATGCAACAATGCCTCCAAGGTGTCTTGAGCTGCTTTCATGAATTCTATTATTATCCTCTTTTTCTCTCATCTGCAGGGTTCTACGGTCTCGAGGGAAGCCAGTGACAAGGAGAAGGTACTATTTATTTCTTTGCAGTGACGGCTGCTGACATGATGGGACAAACACAAAGGCTCTGAGCTCACCTCAAAGGCAAACTTGTCAAATGGCAGCTAAATTAAGCAAGTTTAAGCAGATTTATTCTACTCGCACCCTTTTGCACTGGCCTCATGGAGTCGGTGTGTAATACTTTTATTTGTTAGTTGGTACTTACAAATGTCAGTAGACAACTATTCACTGTAATTCTTTTTTTAATGCAACTTTATCTTTATCATTGAACGATTTATTTTGATCTAATCTTTATGTATCTGCCATAATATAACATGAATCACCGTGTAATTGTAACTCTTAGCAGTAGTATCAGTACCTTGTACGTGACCACTAATCATCCTCATAAAGACATTATTGCTGCTATTTCATAAATAACTACTCGTCTCTCTTCAGGCAAAAGAACTCCCAACTTTTAAAGACAACGACTTCTTGAATGAAGGCCAGAAGCTGCCGATAGGAGACGACAACAAGAAATACTTTTTGGAGAAGCTAAAACATGATGTAGAGGTAAAAAACATATCCAGATTTTCCTGAACATCTAAAAAATGTTAAACATTTTTGAAATTTAAGAAACTAAAAGAAGTTTGTACATTTAAAAGAAAAAATCATAATTTGATTACTTTGCTGGAGATGTTCATCAAACCTTAATGCGTTTGTGTCTGTTGCGTCCAACATCAACACACATCAAATTCAGGTGGGATCTGTATTCTACTTGTTCTTTGATTTACATTATAAACTTATATTGTAGTTACTAGAAGACGTCAAGCATATAAAACAATATCTTGGTAACTCAGCTATTGTAATGTACTATTATTGTAATGTAAGTATTAAAACATTGAGGAAATGAAATCTAATTCCACAGACAACTTAATACTAATGGCGTTCGGTGTTGCTTCATCTTCATATCAGTTTTCAAATGTTGATTTAGAATTTCAGTGTCAACAATATGAATGAAGCATCACAGTCCAGCCCTCTTAATCATAAACAACAACAAAAACATGTGGATATGACAAGCAGGCATTTCACTCTCACCCTGTTATTTGTGTATTGTGTGTCTCAGTTCCTGGCCACCCTAAAGATCATGGACTACAGTCTCCTGGTGGGAATCCATGATGTGGAGCGGGCAGAGCAGGAGGAGATGGATGTGGAGGGCGTGGGGGAGGAGGAGGAGTACGAGAACGACGGGATGGGCGGAGGCGTTCTCACCGGCTCGTTCGGCACGCCCCCCGACAGCCCCGGAAACCCTCTCAACTGTGGAGGATTCTTTGGCCCCGGGGAGTTCGACCCCTCTGTGGACGTTTACGCAATCAAGAGCCAAGACGGTGAGGGTCGCTTCGGACGTCCATCTGACTCGCAGCGCTTAGCTTTAAATAAAGCGCTGGCAGCTAATTAGAAGAAAAACGAGAAGCACTATCTTCATTTTTATCATTTGTCTGGAGCGCTTAAAACTCAAGGCTCAAGTCCTCGTAAGAGAGAATTGTGTGTCTCGCCGTACAGCGTAATCTAACCATGTCATCTAACCTCTTGCGATGTGTTGTTCTTGTGTTAGGTGTTGTGAAGAAGGAGGTGTACTTCATGGCTATCATCGACATCCTCACACACTATGACGCAAAGAAAAAGGCTGCACATGCTGCCAAAACTGTGAAACACGGGGTGAGTGTCAACGCATAATGATCCGTCCCTCTCGGGCTACAATTCAGATTACAGTGGTATTTATCATTTGAATTATTTCTTAAACTGTTATTAAGCCTTTGGCAAAATACTTTTGGTAAAGCAATACATACAACATAATAATTGTATGTTTATTTAGTCATTGAAACAAAATACAGCGATATGATGGAATGCTTTTCTTTCTTTCTTTCTTCACCGTTTCATTTGATTGCATCGTTATTTAAAAAATGTCCCCTTTCCTGGCGTCCGTCTTTAGTCCTTTTAGATGACAGTGGGAGTTTCAGCCAATCGCATGCGCCCTTAGCCTCACATACATGTATGCTAACAGGATTTAGCTGCTAAAATTTGGGTTGCTTATTTTTGTGTGTGTGTTTCTTAGGCGGGGGCAGAAATATCGACGGTGAACCCAGAGCAGTACTCGAAACGATTCTACGAGTTCATGTCCAACATCTTATCATAGACTCCACGCACTTATTTCTCTTCTCTCTCCCCTCAGGGGGAGGTTCACCCCCCCCCCCCCCCCCCCCCCACACTCCTCCTGCATCTCTACGCCCAGAATAAAAACCGCACCAGTGTCCTCCAACAGCCAGCCTGAGTCTGGCAGGACGGATGCACCGCGCCTGTTACACTGTTCCAAGCACACACACCTCCCCAACTCCCTCATGTACGAGCCGACTGCAAAAACTCATGAAACCGCTCACTGAAGTCGTGAGATAATCTTGCTGTTTTCTTTTTTCTTTTAATATTCTGCCTCCCAGTTCTCCTCCACCACCTTGTTACTCCTCACGCCAGCACGGAAACAGTCTCACTAATGCCTTGAACGAGCTGTTAACGGTCCGTCAGTACAGTCTCTTTCGTTTCTGTTCATGTCGTCGTTGTTCTTCTCAGTTCTATTAGACACAAACACAAGTGTAAACAACTTTTACAGGCGCTGAATGGTCCGATCGCATGACCAACACTCCTGACAGTTGCCATCAGGCTTCTCTCACAGTAAAAAAGAATCTAAAACACTGCTGACAAATTGTAACGGGGGATATACACTTTAATATATAATGGTGTATTAAGTAAATGAATGCAATATCAAAAATGCATGGCTGATGTGTACATGAGACTCCACCAGTAAGTCAAAACATCATACCACTGAACTTAGCATCTGAGTGTTCTGACAAAAGAAGAAAAAAGATAAACATTGGTGTTTGGATGTTACGTTGCCATATTGTTTTTGACTACTTTTGAAATTTTAACCGTGAGCTCGGTGGAGGTTGGTCAAAGAAAAATATTCACAGAGAGAGGGGAATTCTGCAGCAAATACTTGTTTTATTACCATAATGGTCATTTTTATATCTTGTTTACATTAATGTAGCAATTTTGTGTTTGTATACAGTATTGTTTTGTTACCAACAGACATTAGAGGAAAAAGTTACTTGAAAACTATTCATTGCATATTAAAGGGAGTTTTATCTTGTTTTTGTTTGGCCATGCTTATTTCTTCAGTGACTTTTATTTAGATCACTAGATAACTGACAATTCAATCTACCAAGGCGAATGATGAATATAAGTGGAGACGAAATAAGGCTTTTTATCAAAACACCAGAAAACATTTAAGCAATAACATTTAATTACAGTAGTTAATGTTGCTGAGTTCAGTATGAGTCAAACTCACAAAAATTGAGTATTCTACATTTCCCAGAATGCAACTTTTACAGTATTTTCACCCCATCTGGTCAGAGGGTTCATAATTAAAATAAAGAATGGGATTTCTTTAAAAGAACATCATAAATTATGGAGATGTCATTCTACAACGTCTCAGTCGGCTGCTACTGGCAGTGTGACATGATGAGTCACTTAACGGTTTCTGGAATATTAACTATTATTTTCAAACTGGTGTACAGTCCAAGCTAGTTATTGTATAAAGAGGTGGATAACGGTCTTGGTTTGGTGCAGAACCAGTAAATTCAGCTCTCACAATATTAATGAAAACTAAAAAATGCCGGAAATGTAGTCAAATGTATTCCATTAATGACATCAGTCAAGTTCATTCGTTCATTTATTGAAGAAAGACAGAACAAGGATTGTTTATTATTTTTATACAAAACGTGTGTGTTGGTGACGTACAGGAAGAAACAGAAGCTCTAGTCCATCCTGGCTTTCAAGGTTCGTGTGGTGATCTTGTCTTTTTCACTGCAAAGAAGAAAATAAAAGTTTGTCAATCCCTCCAAAGCTGAAATTCCACTTAAGCATAACCTGTGCTCACTATACTTACATGACATGAACAACGACTCCCATACCGGACACGGCATCTCTATCAACGGCATTCAGCATTGCCTGGGAGATGGTCTCAAACAGGTCCTCTGGTTCCTGCACGATCAAATACTTTTGAAGAATTCCTGCAGCATGTCTGAACTCTAGCTAGACATCACACTTTACTAGAGGAGTTATGTCTCTAGAAAATGGCCTCCGAAGTTCAAATGTTTTGAGCAGACAATAGATGTCCTGACTATAAAAAGGCAGCAGATTTTTTCAAGCAAAAGTTAAACTTTATGTTGAATTGCCATTTGTCAGCGGTGTAAAGACACCATTCTCATGGTATTATTCGCCGCCCCAAAAGTTTGAAGCAGACAATTTACCAAAATGAGACTACTAGCAAATACATGTGTATGCAGAAACAAGGCTTCTCATTACCATGTGGGATCTTGTGAACATCATACTTTTGCGATAGCCATTTGCAAACAACCAGCTCAACAGTGAGCTCAAACTTAACACACTACTTACCATGTCTGGCTCCCACAAAGATTCACACATGCCATACATCTGCTCTGAGCAGGTGCCACTGACGACAAAGTCTTCGGTCACCATGGGGCAGCCGATCAAATCCAAGGAGCAGATGAATGGCTCAAAGGTTTTGGGATCAAGTCCAGCAATCACAGGCTCAATATAGTATGGCCCAAACCTAATAAAAACGTCACATATCAACAAGCTATTCTTTTATAAGAATGTATGCCAACAGTGTGCCGTCTATCTGCAGATTGCAAGTTCGACTTGGGTCTTGTCTAAACTAAATTGTGTCGATAGTAACCGTGGCAATCTCACCTCTTTTCATACAACAGGTTGGACACCATGCTCATGAAGGTCTTGGGTTTGATTTGCCGACCCTCCTTCAGTTCATACAGGTTCAGTCTGAATTTCAACCTCTGGGATCTACACACAAGGAAAAGACATCATCATTCCTGAGACATTTCACAAAATTGTTTTAATAAACCACAAAGACCGTACATTTAAATTACTTTCTTAGCTGCCACTGACAGTATAACTAATACCAGTTTCCCCATCATTCTCAGTTATACCAATTCATGAAATCTGAAAGTAGTCAAAGTGGTTTTGTTCACGTGCCGTCATCATGCCCTGGTGGGGAAATAACTGTTTTGCCACCAAGAAAGAAAGAGGTTAAACACACTCACACTGTCTGAACATCAGTGGCCAGTCCAGCCAGCCCGATGTACAACTTCTCTCCCATGGGGAAGACCTTCTGGAAATCCGTGGTGACCATCTGAGCCTGAATGCCAAATCGCCGGTCTGCAGCTATTGCCACGCAGTTCTTCCCCCGCATGGCCATGACCGCCCCTCCATTATAGGACATAATAGACTGGATGACAAAGGAGAATTCACTTAATTTATTTTCACCTTAAAAAAAAAACCTTTAACATGTTATGTTGTAACTGATATTTAACTGACCAAACAATCAGTTGCTTGAGAAAACACCCATAAAATGATAATGAATTACTAGGAGATAAACATAATTAACAATAAAACAATCAAAATAAATAGTAACTTCAAACACAGAACAGTGGTATTTGAAAGACTACTGTAATTATATTATGTTGGCCCATGTCTATTATATTAATAATAATCTATGCATTTGTATTCAAAATATAATTATTAAAATGAGTTTACTTCAGAATACGTTCAAAATAAAGCACGTGCTGATTATGTCAAACCCATGTGAAAAGACGGTGGAAAACGTCATTACGTTACTTTAGCCCATCCAAGTGCTAACTAGCTAAAGTTAACTACATTAAATGGAGGGTTTCGCTAATCAAGATGACACAATCCAATCAAACGTTAGTCAATGATGACACAAAGGGAACGACTGTTTAAACTTAACCTTGGAATACAATCAAATGTCTGTACGGTTATTGGATGAAAGCAAACCAAGACACCGGAATTGTACAAAAGGCAAAGTTAGCTTATGTACAGCTAACGTTGTGTTGGGTGACGTTAGCTGTCACGTTATTTAGCTGTACAGCTATCTTCCGCAGCCATAACCATGTTTCTTCTGTTTTGCGGATTGAAACAATTACATTGATAATCAATACATTTGAGAGTCGTTAGCTAATATTAACTTGTGTGTGGATTCTAGAGATGTGTATGCACATCACCTGTTAGCTACGAAGATTAGCTTAGCCTTGCTCTTGTAACCATCATCCTTATTAACTGGTTAGTTGGACGATTTTCCCTCAAAATCCGTTAGCATATAACCTGGTGTATGTGGTTCTTACCATCGTGAAGGTTTGCAGTGAATTCCCAAACGATAGAACTTGCCAAACTCCACTTCTTCTTGACTATTATGAATTACTTGGTTGTTTCCAAGAGTGACTACACGATTTAGAAACACAGCGATCACAGAAACATGATTCTGCTACGTCACCGCTTCAGCAGAAGTCATTGGCTGGACGAATGGTACCGGGTGCAAAACGCTGCTCTCATTGGAGGATATCGTCAGAGGCGATCGTTGCGTGCATAGTTTGTTCGATGGGCGTTAAAGTGAAATTAAAAACCGAGGTGTAGTTCCATACTTTGAAATGTGCTTTGTAAGACTTAATTGTCAGTAGCAGTGTTTTATTTAATGGTCAACCGTATTTCTAGTGAATATTTCGGACAAAAATAACTGTCCATAATGTGCGTGTCGGTACACCGACCCAAAAAACTCAGTTGCAATGTAACGTTGTTGTCAGAAGTTGGCGCCAGAGACTCCGCATGGTGTTTATTTGGCACTAAAATGAGACGAAGAACAGTTTGCAAACCGGAAACAATACAGTTTCTTTTAAGTATTTCTAACTAACTCAATCTATATTCTAACCTATGTAATATCAAAAAATTAAGGAGTTCTCCAGATTTGATTCAATTGTGCAAGTTTAGTTGCTCGTGTCATTTTGTCCGGAGATATCGAGAAAAACGAGTGCGGAAACAGCTGATCCAGTAATGTGAGTAAATTATTTGTTGCGTCAGAGTTTACTAAAATAAATTGAGTTTGCACCCAATGATTGGTTAGTTCTACTAGTTGCATAATAACGAATGACAACAAAACAAAAAAAATATTTTACCAAGGGCTAGTAAACCGTAAACGACTAAATATAATGTACGCGGTAGAATAACTTGGCTAAATGTATTAGTACCAACTGTTGGGTGATGTTTGAGTCATAGAAGTCCTACAACTGAGGATTTTGTAACCGTTAGTTAAATTGTCCCTACACATCATCACATATAAGAGGTACTGTGCTATGGTATAAAATAGGACATTTATGTTGCTGGACCTGATATGTTCCAGCAATAAAGAGTGTTGTTGTTGACATTTAGCCACGTTTATGTTTGATGGTGGTTTTTCTTTTAGTATCTTAACGCCAAAGTGGGGAATATGTTTTTATTACATGTGCCACTCACATAAGTAACAAAAATATTACAAAACCTGTAAAAACCGGTCACACTATCAAGTAAAAACTAAAACAATACAGTGTACAACGTTCTGATTACATGAACATTAAAAGGGGGTATTGGCCTTTTAAGAAAGTAACAGATGAGCCATGATAGCCATGAATATACATTCTGTTACCATAATGGAGAATACTTTTCAAAATAAAAGCATCCGTAGGTAGGCAGGAGCCTGTAGTTCCTTGTTTGAACTCCTGACAGATTCCCACCACAATCAAACCTCAATGCATTAATAAATGCACATCTGCTTCAATACATTGAAAAGACAGATAAAGGAGTGGGTGTCGCATTTGGTTGCCGAGCTTTTTCTATTGAGATCATCTGTATTATACATGTGTTGTGTCTTCATCTCTTCATGAAGTTGTCCAGTGAGGCTGCTGTCCTCTGAATGGAGTGGATGTTCCTCTTTACTCGGTCCTCTACAGTAGAGCTTGCAGCGCTGTCCAGTTTCATGTTACTGCGACAGGAAAAAAAGGAGATTTGTTACTGGAGCGAACGATTCAAGCAAGGCTTTATTTGAGTATAAAACACTAATAACAGTTGTAGTAGACATGCATGTCACAACCCTTGATTATCTGTGTCCTAGTTGCTCAGAAACTTACTGAATGAAGCCAGCATAGCGGTCATGCTTGACATTTAGTTCTCGCTGCTTTTCCTGCTCATCTTGCCTCTTGTATCGCTTCACATTATTCTCCCTGTCCTCGTCCCTCTGCTTGGCCTCGTCCATCATCTCCCGCCTCTTGCGCTCCAGCTCCTCTGAAGAGAGCTTCCTATATCAGACAGAAAATTACAGGAATCAATTCAATGTGGGTGGTAATTACGACAATGCTCTGAAAAACTTGGTTTCTTCAACCAAACCATAGAGTAAGCATAATAAAATTAATACGCTCAGTAACTTGAGACATAAATGGTACAGCTACCAAACTGTTTTATGGCAAATTTACCCCCTTTTTTTAATATACCGAGTAGAATAACTCTGTCTTAGCCTGAATAAAATGTTGTGTTACTAAAAAAGTTTACGGTTAAAGAGATATATACTGTGGCAGCAGAAAATTGTGGATTTACATTTAAATACCAGAGAGAAACTCCAACACTGCATTTTATTGAGGAATGGTTGACTTATAAACATTATCAGCACGTGTTTGAATGCAGGCAGGTAATGAATCTTCATTTGACTAAGAGAAGTCTTACTTGGACACAGGGTGCCTCGATCTCTGGTAGCGCTCGCCTTTTTGGCTGGAGGCTCTCGATTCGACCTTCTTCACACCTCTGTCTGAAGACGAGTTGAAGTGACTTTCCTTGTTGTTTCTGTGCGGCGATTGAGAGCGGCTCCTCCCACGGCGCCCCGAGTGATTGGAGGGAGATGAGGCCTGGTGGTGTCTGCCAGCAGGCAGCTAAGAGGGAAGATATAAATTGTTAGGACTTATGGGTTCTGATCCAGAGCAAGAATGGAAGACATGGTGAAAAACTGCCTTGCTGCTTACTGACCAGTAGGCCATAGCCTGCATGGTGATGATGATGATGATGATGATGGGAACGATTTTTAGTATCGGCTGAAGAATCATCTCGGGAATGTGACCTAAAAACAGATAAAAAAGATTTTGAATCAGTGCAGTGGGCTTTGCTGATCAAGCGGACATCTATGGAAAATAGAAAACAATCCCCTTACCTGTATTTTTTCTCTTCTTCCTCCTCTTCTGAGCTGGAACTTAAACTCCTTCTCTTATGCTTCTTCTCCTTTCTTCTCTCTTTGTCCCCTTTCTTCTCTTTTTTGTCCTTCTTCCTTTTCTTTTTCTTCTCCTTCTGTTTGAGATTTTGGCGCAGCTGTAAGAGAAATAAGAAATTCTTCACAATCTCCCCCCTGACACTAAACAAATCTCAAACACAAATGCTGTTTGACAATAAAGTTAGTTTAAACTTTGCCAAAAGATACAATGAAAGAAAATACATGAAAAAGTCATTTTTTATTTTTACCATTTCTTTGATTTTCTTCATCTTCACTGGATTACTCAGCACCTCTCTCTTCTTTTCTTCTTCACGTTTCCTTCAGAAAACCAACAAAACATAAATAGTACAATTGCAACTTCAGGCATATTTCTAGAACAAATTACAAAAAATAAGGACTATACCAACCTGATTTCAAACAGTGGATCTTCTCTGATCTTGGCAGCCAGGTCGAGGTTTGAAGCAGGAGTTGTGGGGTTGAAAATGGACCCAGGCAGGAGGCCAGTCTCGGCAGATGGACCGCTCTCAGGCTCCTCATATTGGTCGGTGATCTGCTTGTCAATGGCACGGCCCAGAAGATACTCATCTCTGGAGACCTGACCAGCAGGGCCCTGGTACATCCAGTCCAGGCGGTCATCCTTCTTCCTTACACAATGAAATAAGATATTCTGACTTTGACATTACGTTTTTCTTCGACAACAAAATTACTTCCATAATAATATCAGAACTTACTTGATGGAACCGGCTTGCTGTGCAAATCTTGTTATTTCTTCTCGAGCGCGTTCATCTTTCAGCTCTTTCTGGAGCTCCTCGATTTTCTTGCATTCAGCGTCATGTTTCTGTTCAGCTTTCCAAACACGCTCAATATTTTTCATAGTCTGGGGATGCCAGCTTTTTTTCAAATTCTGCAAGAAGAAACGATTGTTGACATTTAGTAACTGAGTAGCATTGGGTACATGCAGGACATGCAGAAAGAAAACAATTATTCATGTACACACTGACTATAACAGACAAATATATACAATAAATAATGTACCAGACGAAATATCCTCTTCTGGTACATTAGGCAAGGAAATATTTGATGGTGAAACTGAATATTCCAACGAAAATCATTGAATTCGTCAATTTGACAGTTAACTCTGAACGTGTGTCTAACGTTATATAGGATTGATACGTCTGTAACGAGTAACCTTAGTACGTCTTATTGGTGAGCAGACCCGTTCTCTCTTAAATTACCTGTCATTGTACCACCTTGTTAAAATACATCCATACGAATAGTGAACTGTTTTGGATGATCAGTCAGTTGACCTTAAGCTAACGCAAACTAGCCGTTACGCTATTAGTTAAGTTAGCTACCGCAACCGCTATTAAAATAATAGGACACGTCCGAAGTTAAAGTGAATATTGATAAACTGGAGCTAGTTACAGTAAGTAATACTTCATGTTGTAACAGACACAGGTAGAAAACAATAAGCTATTGAACATGTAACGTTAAACGGGAGTTTGGTATCAATCGTCTCTGAACAGAAGGCGCCGGTTTTGGATGAGAAACTTACCAGATCGCCGCCCCCCATCTTGGAAACTTTGTGGTTTCAATTCAGCGATAAATTGAAAAAGACCAAACCGTCTATACCGAAACGGGTAGAACAACGAAGTTCAACGCAAGTGAGAAAATGGAGCCACGGACGCCTGAACGTTAAGTTGTTTGTTTCATATACTTCCGGTTTTGTATGATTCTATTTCCGGTTCCGGCTCTCTAAGTGCCTTCAGGCGCCCTATCGTTATGTCGTGACATTACAGCACCATCGCCAAGAATAAACCAAAACAATCAGCCATACGCCTCGCTTTGACTTTTTATTTGTGCGTGTTTCAAGGGTTGTTACGGCGTTAATTAGTGGCTCATACTCCTTTCAGGTTTCTAACGCCACATCTAATTGTGTGATATCTGATAAAACATTTACAGGCTGTGAGAGACATCCCACGTGTTGCTACTACTTCTACTAATACTGATGATGATGATAATATTATTATAAATGATAATAATAATAGTAATAATAGTAATAATAGTGGGTCGGTGGTACTTAAGTACAAATTTGCACATCTTTGATCAAAATAAATATTCAACATGGACACAGAATATATATATTTCTTTTTTATTAAAAGGACAAAAATAGATTAAATACAAGTTATAACACCATGATACTTAACTTATTCAAAGTATTAGAACTTTTTTAAAAGTCAACTAAAAATTCACTACATCAACAAATCCATAATAGAGTTGTCCATTTTATTCTACTGAACAAAATAAAATAAGACTATTATTATTAGAAATAATATAAATAGTCAAAACACAACAATTGACTAATGTCATGTGAAGCATAGTCTTCCATTTATTATCTCTTTTACATAAATACAGCAATTGTGAGCTTCCAATAATGCAAGCTCCCTAAATATATAGAAATCTCCGCCTAGTGTCTGTGATGGGTTACATACATCCTAATAGTATTTTAAACTGTAAAGCTGCCTACACTGCTTGCTAGAGAACTACTAATCACATATTATTGATTATGAAAGTTGACTATTTCAAACAAGTGATGCTTGCTCTGATGCTTGTGTTGTTAAACCTACATTTGATTCTATGCTAACACAGTAGTTCTCTGCATGCTAATTCAGAGATGTTTCAAAACATGTTTTGTTGAAGGAGTTATGTCATTGAACATGAAAGAACTGCTGACACACCAACGGCTCCTCATATAGTATGTTGATAGACAAGCCCCTCGCACGTTGTTTGCTGACAATTGGGGCTAAATGAGGTACACCTGGATACTATTGGTAGGATAACCTACTGCTTCAACCACCGCCGGAACCTCTTCAGGCATGAATTTAACAACAGCTCTTTTAAGATCTTCTGTTGCCTTAATCAAAGCCGATTTTCTCTTTGGACATGTGATGACAACATAACTAACTGTATTTACAAAATTGATATCTCATCGCCGTGCAAAGATATGGCAAGGCTGAATTAAAAGGTAAAATTGGAGGCCTGAAAACCAAACTTTCTCAAATATCCTAAAATATCAAAAACTCAGTTGCACCGCTGAGTTGTGTGAGAGTAATTGTGTAGTAATTAGGCGATTAGTTCACCTTTACATTATGTGACTGCAGAGGCGACTGTAGAAAATGTCCCAATCGAGTTTCATTGAGCTGCACCAGCAGCCTGTATTGACGGACCTGTGGAGTCGTGTTAGTAGCAGTAACAGATTCATTTGACCATGCAGCATTTTTGTCCATGTTCAGCAAAAATTATCACACAGCTCAGTTTACACTATTGTCATTATTGACGTGCCAAAAGTCAAGTGCATCACATTATTTCCTCAGCAGCTCTAACCACTTTTCATTTCTAGTTTACATTAGTTGTGATTTTGTGAGTTTCCTCTTTTCACATCTTCGTCACACTTAATTCATGTTCGTTTGCATAGTCGTGGTCCACCTGGTAACCTAGAACCAACGTCCACATCCTCCCACTGCGTGATTATTCTGATTAACATGTGATTGGCCATCGTACCTAAGGTGGCACCAGAACGAACACTTCTTTGTAGTGGATGGAATTCCCATTTTTACATAGGATATTATCAACATTATGGCAAGTTGCCACAGCACAGTATTATGTCAGTTGTACAGTTGTGTTTTGTTTATGTAAACCAGAGCGTTAATTATTGCATACCAACATACACACACCGTTTTGTGGTACGCACTTCAACCTTCCAAATGGTTATTGACCTTTTTAAAATGATACAATTCTGTATTGTATTCCAGTGTCTGATCACACCTCGCAGAGTAGACTACACACACATAATTGGAGACAAAAACTAAGTATCACTGTCTCTTTTCTCCGTTCAAAGCTGGCCAAAGCTGGCATGCTGCCCTTAAAATTCTTATATTAAGCATGGAGTCAAACAACTCTCCAAAACTTCCATTGACACGTTTGATTAATTCCTTTGTAAACAAGTTAACAAGCCACCTTCTATTAAACTCATCCCACTCTCTTAGTTCAATGGTCTCTGTAGCTTGAGCAGCAATCCTTTAGCCACCTCCCATTTTAAACACAGTTGTATTAAAAAAAAGTTTAAATTCTTTTTTTTTCTGTGTGCAATAATGTTTGTAATGAGTATCACTGAGTTAGCCCAGTTTGCAATTTACCGGACCACAGACGAACACTCTCGCTGTCCAGCTTTCATCAGAAAAAAGTTTGTCCTAACCTTTTTTGTATTCTCTATTCTATCTTAAAACTATGACAGCAAAACACAACAGACAAATAAAACTCTTATGAAGTTTGAAGAAATTAACCGGTCTACCCTGTCACACCTGAGACTGAGGGGTCTGTCTCACATTTCAGCTTCAGCAGAGGCTCCGTGGCATCTGACCCGGACACGTTTGAGGAGGATTGAGGAGTTTCAGGTGCATCAAAGCCCTTATCCATCCTCCCCTCTCCATTTAATCTCTCTTCCACGTGTCCCGGTGGTGACTCGTGTGTGCGCATGTGCTTGGCCAGGTGGTCGTTCCGCATAAACACTCTAGGACATAATGAGCAGCTAAACTTCTTAGCACCAGTGTGCGTCTGAAGGTGTCGCTGCAGTTCATCGGAGCGTGTGAATCTCTTGCCGCAGAAGAGCCAGTTGCAGACAAACGGACGGTCCCCGCTGTGCCATCGTAGGTGAGCTTTCAGATGGGAGGTCTTGGCGTACGCTTTGCCGCAACCAGGGATGTGGCAGTTGTGCATGTGCTTCCTCCTGCTGTCGTCGGTGCTCTGGCCCAGCTGCTCAGCGTGAACGCAGTTAGGGCAGCGACACGCTGCCTGGCCGGCTCCTCTGGCTGAGGAGCGGCGCTGCGGTTTGGGGCGGGCAGAAACAGTGTTCTCCTGTGGCTCCTCCATGGAGAACGGTTCTTGCTGCAGCATTTCAGGAGCCATTGGCTCCATCTTGAAGCCATCCTGGGGGTATAGATGAGATGAATGTGAGGCGTGAGCAAGTTGAGCAGGAGGTAGGGTGCACAGCTGTGGGTCAGATCCGTAGGGCCCTAAAGAGTGCTGCAACCCCATGGAGCTCCCTTGATTTACTGAAGGCAAGCTGACACCCTGCCCCGTCTGCAGGTCTATCCAGTTCCCTGATTGGACGTCCCTGTGGAGGTCCCACCAGGAGGGGATGTTCATGTCTTCTTGGCTGCCACTCGGTGGGGCTGTCCGTAACCAAGGCTCGTACGGGTGGGCCATGGGAGAAGCTCGTGCAGGTGCAAGACTGCCGATGAGGTTGGCTGTTCAAGATGTTTACTTTTTATCTGGGTAATGCTGAGGAGTTTAGCGCATGGTAGGATGGAAAAAACCTGCAGAAATAAAGAACAGACAAACTGTTACCTTCAGAAATGGTATCAACTCAGACCTTCTCACTCAGTTGCATTTTCTCAATGACTTCACGGAACCACGTGCAATGAATTTAAAGCCTTGAGGTCATTTTTCTCAAGTCTGAAAGGCTTTGAAATTGCTGAGCTTCTGCTGATCTAACGTTTCGGAACTTCAGAAGTGAGACTTTCAGGCCTAAAGCCTCCCTGTCTACAACGTTTAAACCCTGAGCACACCACCTTCATTGCCATGGATACTGCAGTTCTCACGCTGCATGGTCGAGGAGACAGAAGAGAGGGGGAGACAGACGTGTCCAGGCAGAAGCCTGCCACATGCATCCGTTGCCAGGTACTTCCCATGGAGGACAGTCAAAGACAAGCGCAAAGAAAACAACATCATTGGCCCTGTGCAGAAGCAAAGGCGGGGAGGGGGGGTAAATGCTGGAGAGATTGTGGGAGGGACGAGAGTGAAGGGGAGTGTTGACAGGCGTGCAGTTCGGTAAAAGAAGAAGTTCCAGGGAGGTATGGCTGCAGGCCAAAGTCTATTTGTACGTCTCTGAGGTTTGTGAAACCTGGCAGACAAGGGAACCTGTTTTTTATGAATCACACATAATTTACAACAACAGCCCTCCAGGCCAGTTACAAAAGGAGCCCCGTAAAAACGGCAGAATGCCTCAACACGGCCTGAGAATGGGAGACCAGCAATCACATTGCTTTATGCGTATGATTAGGGGCACACGCTCCAAAACAGGATTCCGTCCCCATCCTGGCTCTGATTTTTCCAAAGGTGACACAAAGCTTGTTAAAGTTGGACCAGACTGTAGAAATCTATGACATGAAGCTACCAGCTTGCAAGACCGGTACTTGGCTCCAAACATGTTCTAGCCCCGAACAATGTTGTTGACTTCTACCACACCCACATCCTCAAACATCTACAATTATCTTTAGAGCAGGAAATAGTAGAGACAACTAAAGCTTTCGAGGTTGACGTCCGAGTCCCTTGTTATATCGACTATATCTACTATCATGTATAGCAAAGGTGCCCGAAAAAGGGGTGTGGCTCCAGTGGCGTACATACTGTCTGGTGTGTAGTTACGTTAGAGTGAGGAGGAGCATGCATGTGCTTCAACACACCGGTGGTGTCCCTTTGACAGACAGCGAAGGGTCCCCCTTGGTAGATCCCAATTTGTTGGGTCAATACAGCAAAACCAAGGGGTTTATACACAAAGGTTCGCACAAACCAACTCAGAGATGCTTGTAGATGCAATGAAATTGTAAAGCAATTAGTTTGGAATTCCCAAATGAAAGGCCTGATGTTAAAGGTCAAGCTGATTTATTTTTATGTCGGCCCGGAGCCAGAGCCGCTGCTCTCTAATCTTTTGGGAATGCGACTCAGACACTCGACGGAATGGCCCACTCTGCTCTTCGTGACATGACCGTAAACAAGCGACGACAGCAGCATCCTCCTCCGTTCTCCAAAGTGCTGGGAGCGCTACGAGCTCCTAAGGGAAACAGCTGGCACAAGGGGGGCCCCCAGGGGGACGGCAGCTTGGGTGGAGGAAGATGGTACAGAGCAATGACAGAGGCTTGGTCATAAAACCTGCCCGACCAAGATCCAGCACAGACCCCGGTTTACAAGTCTGCTGTTGGAAAAAAGAGGGAGGAAACATCCGTCTTGATTTTTAAAATGAGAACACGAGTGCAGTCTTCCTTAGTTTTGACAAACCTTTGTTCTGATAAGAGAGCCGAACGATTAGTGTTTTCCAACATAAGTTGCTTGCTTCAAACTCCTCACCTCTTTGTTTCAACTTTCGCATTATTACATTTTGACGTCAACTTTCAAAATAATTTACAGGCCCAATTTGCGCTGATTGTCTGTGGACACTCGGAACCAACCAGTCTGGGTCGAATGGCATTTACAAGTACGTAGTTTGTTCCTGCTTAAGGCTGGCGCATGCTTCTGCGCCTGCGTCTTTACGCACCGTTGCGTCGACGCACTCGTTTTAATTCATGGTTCTAAAAGTCTTGCGTGTGTTGCAGAGCAATTCACTGCCAGAACAACAGGTGGAGTAACGTGTTTTTGTTGAAGACGACCTAAAGAGTCACGTCTTTGTGTGTGGAAGTTGTTGGTTTTTTATCATAGACTTTATTGCCCCGTGCATCTCCACTGCTGCTTTTCATGGCGGACACATTTGTCCCGTATTTTAAATATTCTTCTTTTTTATAATGGCGGTATTGTGCTATGAAAACGGAAATGCGAGACTCCGTAAAGGATGTAGTTAGCAGACAAATCACAGCCTTGTGCGCTGCAGGAGGCTTGCGCAAGCACGCAAGGGGCTCTTGCGTCTGTGTGTCCTTGCGTCGCTCTGAAAACGCAGAAGCATAAACTAGGCTTTAGAGGACAAAATGGATGGAGAAGATGGAGGCCCCCTTTTCAACCGGGGTCAGGTAAGCTGTCAGACGAAAGTACAACAATGAACTTCAAAAACGTTTCTGCTAAATCCAAAGCTCTCTGACCTTTGCTCAGGGACCTTTGTTTGTGAGCACCTCAAAAACATACTCAAGCAGACGCAAACAAGCGGTGTGTTGCCCAAAGTACGACCTCCCACAGGTAACAAATGTGGTGGGAGCAATAATGAGGTACAACATTGATTCCATACTGAAATGTATGAATTAAAATGTCAGTTGCACCGCTGAGTGAAGGGTTAAGAGAGAGCTGCAGAGGCGAAGGCTGATCTCTGCTTCTCTGAACTAACTGCATGATAAGGGGAGACTAGAGAGGTTTTTTTACGGATGACCTCTTTATGTCACCTCTGATTTAGGAGTCTGTGAGACACTTCTTCATTCATAAGCAGTGTTCACTGCAGTTAATGTGAAAATTGTTTGATTTACAAATCTTAAACCTGTTGTCAAATGACATTACGAAATGTGAGTCACCAAGTTCAGCTTTGATTACTATCCAGATTATCAAGATTGATATGTGGTGAAAAGATACTAACAACATTAATTTGAGGTCTGTCTTTACACTTCAAATTGTACTTTATGAACATGTAATAAAGTACCCTTTTTTCTAATAATTATAGTTTATTTTCTGAATTACAATAAATCAAAACCGACATTGAGTTTATTAAAAGTGCATTGTTTTTCAATTAAACTAAACAACAGCATAAGTTCCACCTCAACCAATAATAATGATCCACAAATATGATGATGTGGAACACGGCCATTCTGCATATTAGTATTTTTGCAAATAGGACAATTTGATATCTTTACTTGTCTTTTACTTTGTGGCATTACTACTTTTTGGTTTAGGTAAATTATTTGAGTATTTATTTCTCAAATGCACATATATCTTTCTATTCTATCTCTTACATTTGTAGATATCTTATATTTCATTTATCTATACCAGATTGGTGTAAAAGACATAAGCTTTGAGACCCAAGCATGTTGTGCCTCCTTTTTCCTCCAAATATTCCATCTCTCTGCCATCAAATAAGGGCATGTGTTAAAATATTTTTTTACTAAAATATAACGCTTGCTAATCAAAGAGAATGAATTAAAACTCCAATCAGAAGGCCCATATTGAAGTACCACACTAATTGGATGGATATTATCAAAACCTGTCACGTATACTTTGTATACGCACGGTTTGTGCTAAATAATCTTAATTCAAATGTTCCTTTTATTGCATGTATTATATATTTGTCTTTTATTGATACATCTCACAGGCTCCCTGCAGAATCATTCCTATGAAAACCTTAAAGCAGTTCTTCACGGGGAAATAAGGAGCAATAAATAAACAAACAAATCTTAATGAATAAATCTTAATTAATGTGTATATATATAGGTAGCAGCTCCTATGGCCTCTGTACTAAATGTTCTTTTTATTCCATATGTACATAAAGTTTTTCTTTTTGTCTGCATTTAATAGGACATTACTTTCATGTTCTCATACAATAATGTATAATGGCAGTTTAATAATTCTAACTCAATGTTAGACAGTTCATTGATAATCAATTTCAGAATATTAAACATAACGCTAACGCTGAATGTAGGTCGCAGTAATTGCAAAAGAAAAAAAATCCCGATTTACCTGTTTGTCCTTGGAGCAACTGCTACTATCTTTTTGGGAATAAATGCACTTCGGAATAAGGAACTTTTATCTCAGCTCAGCTCTGCTGCTTCCTCCTTCCGTCGACAAACATGCGCAGAAAAATAATATCCTCATCATATATTCATCTGGTTTTCTTCATTGCAGACGGTCCAACTGAGGTAACATCTGCGTTTTGGCGCACAGGTAAGCAGCGCTCTGAGTACTGACGAACTCTTCGATAGGCTGCGCGTCTTGAGTGCGTCTAGGCTCCGCCCCCCCGCCGCCGCGCCGTCTCCGCCTCTGCAGATGCGCCTTCTGAGACTGGAGGTGAGCAAACGGCTCGTTGGGACTCTGTTCAAAGTATAACGTTAAGAAACAGTTTTCCGAAGTTTGTCTTGTTACCCGTTGTACGCTTCTATTGTATATATTTAAAGGATGATATGATTATTTATGATAATATTCTAGTTATTGTAGGTTTTTTTTTCCAACACATGTATTTGTCAGCTGTCGTTAATGTAATCTTCAGTTTGAGATTTCACAGACAAAACATATTGTCTTATTTCATCTCATAAAATATTTTAACGTTAACATGTAAAATTCAAGGAATTTAACAAATAACAAAAGAATAGGCACAAAAAGAGATGAATTGGATTTATGTATTTGTTAAAATCTAAAAAGCACATGAGGTCGTTCAAATTAATTCCACTTTGACAATCTGCAACATCAGTCTAGAACTTAATGCATAATGATGACAATAATATATTCATAACTGATTTCATTCTACATAAGTGATTACTTGTGAAACTTCTAACTGTCTAAAATATATTTAGTTGCTAATACCTTTGCTGAAATAAAACTGTTGCAAAACTATTTTCTTTAGTTTAGTATTGCTGCTTTTGATTAAGTAGAAGACCAGAGTTCTCCGTCAACAATTCAAAAATAAAAACATGAAAAGAACAGTTATTTTAGTTATCAAAATGTACATTCAGATTCATATCAAAGTAACGTGATCGGTTTTGCAACTTCTTAGCATTAGAATTCTACACATTTTGAAAAACAGTTTCATAAAGTCTAAGCTCAAAACTTTTGGGTAAGGGGGGTCAAATTACAACTTCTGTTTTTGCTGTTTGCTGGTCCCCAGGAGGTTGGGGTCCGGTAAATTGGAGCACTCAAAATTTATTCTACTTAATGTATTCATGTATTAATGTATTCTACTTTATTTTTGCAGCACTTTTATTTAAAAAAAACATTAAATACAAAACACAAACCAAAATAGATGTGGAACCTCATAGTACTGTCTGACTGGACCCTGTCGTACTTACTCTAGTGTATTAAATCTAGACGAACCCTCACACACTGTGACGCGTTGACGCAGGAACCTGGTCGGTAAAGCGACTGCAGCCTGTGAATCAGATATCGTTGAGACCAGGAAATCCTTTGATTGCGGACACTCCTGAGAGGTGGTTTGGCTCGAGCCAAAACACAGGCGCAATACGCAAATCTTCAGATCTTACTTTGCAGAAAACCGTGCACCGATTCTACTTATTAAGGTCCTGAACAACAAAAAAAACTGCATATGTTAGTACCAACTGTCTTCAGCAT